CATCCTTTGAGTGCAGAGACGCCGTTTTTGTAGATGGGGCATTGAGTGCAGAGACGCCGTTTTTGTAGAGAATTCTACAACATTCTTTGAGCGCAGAAACGCCTTCCTTGTAGATGGGGGTTCTTGCAAGGAGCGTTCTTGACCTGCAGGTGAGCTGCAGCATCATCCTCGATTGTGTGTAAGTCCAGATCACAACATCAAGCGGTTGCAAGATGATCTAGTACAATGGATTGAGCGAAGGAGATGCGCGCAAACGAGCAGAACTAGTCGTCCGATAGCGATATGAGCGTTGCATACGCGAGAGAGTAGACCCATGAACATGAACATGACGACTTGATTTCGCTGGTCTTGCACTCTTAGTACCGCTTCGTGTGTTTCGCAAATGCTGTGTGTACCACTGCGTGAAATTACTGCAGAAGTACTGTCCTCGACGACAAGACTTTACTGCAGCGTGACGCCTCGATGAAGAAAGAGATGGTACTTTGCGGGGGGGCACTAGGGAGTGGAACTAAGAAGAGTGCTGTTGCTGCAAAGCAAGAGGAACAACATCTTTTTGTTGTCCCTGGTGAAAAACCTCTCGATCCCCTCGGACGGGGACTGCTGGAAAAAAACGCATTGGTGCAAACATGACAAGGATTTTTACTTGTTGTACAGAACAGTGGAAACTTGACACCAGTCTTATTCTTTTTAGGAAGAGAGAACAGAAAGGAAGACTTGAGCTTAAACTCAAGAAGTGGATACAATCTAAACAATTCATCCCTCTCTCTTCTTTTTAGAATGGGAAATATATTTATTTTCAACTTCAAGTTCCCCTCGTGCCCCCGTCTCCAGCTGTCTACACGACAGCTTCCACTGAAAGACTATTAACTTGGCTCTATTGTTATATTTTTTTGTCCAAAGAAACTGAAGGATCTTGGTCTTCTTCGGTTCAAAACATTATTTTCAACTTCAAGTTCAACATTTGGAGATGATAGAGGACAACACCCGGACCCACCATCGGACCCTCTTCCGAGCCTCGTCCGACCCATGGGCGGTCAAGAGGTCATCTCTTTCATCGAATCCTAACCGTACTTGTGTTATCAAAGAAAACTTTACAAACAAGTAAGTAAAAGCGCTACCAAATCGGTCATAGACGAACGGGTAAAAGCGCTGCCAAACAGGCAAATAAAGGTAGTCGGTCATAGGCGCAACAACTCACTAGAGATATTAGGTCGCTGTGGACTGCCTCGTGACGTGTGCGCAAATCTCGGTCGAAGTTTGATTTCTGCAGGCTTCGTACCCTCACGGCTCACTCTAACATCTTCCATAAAAATCACCTCCCGTAGACGAGAAAAAGTCGTAATCTTACCGAAAACGAGAAAAGAAGCCCAAGAGACTCTACGTGGGCACGCTCATTCATATACCCACTGAATCAATCACCCACTCACGACTCTTTCTTGGCGTACTAGATCGGAAGATATAGATACTATAAAGAATTGGATGACTGCAAAACACGAGTGATAAAAGAACGAGAGAAATAGAAACGAGTGATACAAAGAAATCAGTGTTCACCAAGCAAAAGAAGAAAAGATCTGGTGTAGTGTTGCGGCTCGTGTCCTAGTCAGACGAGGGAGGTGCTTACACTTGTTCTAGTGGCTCGAGGGTAAGTGGCACCGGAAGATATCACTGCAGAGGGCGCTCAGGCTCACGGTGATGCCCCTGGCCCTCATCTCGTCGTGCCTATTTGTTGGCATGATCGCGCTCGGTTCCAATTCTCCCATCTGATGACCTCCACAAAGTCCTCTCCCTACCTCCAAGCTTTCCCAGTCAGTTGTTTAAGAAGTATGACAAGACAAGCATCTGTTATTCACTGATTATACTCCTTGTTTACTGAAAAAGCGCATGATTATCTTGCTTACTAAAAAGCCTTCCAGAACACCAATAAAGTTTTAGGAAGGAGGAGTAAGTAGAATTAGTAAGTAGTACGTACAAAAATCCAGAATCTATTTATCTCAGTGTTCTCTTGCAGGACCAGGAGCTTCTAGTGCTTGGTAGCGTTGTCTATCTCCTGAGAAGAACAGTTCTTATATTTATGACCTTCTAGTCGGAGCAGGTGGAGTGCGATCTTCAGGCCATTTTCGTCTTGCGAGAACGAAGACAAGATGACGAAGAGAAAGACCAACACGAAGAATAAAAACTCCTCGAAGAACGCGAACAACAAGAAGAGGAAGAACCAAAACAAAAAACGCGTCCAGGAGCGCCAGCTGCAACCAACTTAAGGCGTGGCTTCGTTATAAAATTTTATCCCTCAGCACTGATACACATACAGATCCATCTTCTATTAGATAAGCCGTCCGGTGTGTAGTTTAACTCAAGAGTAAAACATGCAGGTCCACGATTGCAGTCGCCCTTTGTTATTTTCCCAACAAGGCCTCCAACAAGTAGCTGCACATTCACAGGAGGTCTATAATAAAGATTGAGATGAAGATTATGAACATCAATGTCAATCCCCACCGACATATCCCGTTGATAATTCTTGTCGTAATTAACTAAGTTCACTTGCTTAACCTGTTTACTTTCGAAATCGAACCTCTATTTCACAACATTATGAGCATCATGGAGTGATGTGAGCTCTAACTTCTCTCTTCGAACTCTGTAGAGCGGACGACGCTTCAGGCGAAACAGACAGCAAGACGCCACAACAGCGGTGCGCGATGCTGCCGCTCGCATCGCGGATGGTCCTCGGCCGGGTTGGCCTTCCTCTCGAGCATGCCGGAAGTAGCTTCCCGTGAGCACAAGCAGAAGCAGAAAATATCGCATCTTCATGAGTCGGGTCAACACGGCGCTGGCAGTGATCAGCCTCTAGGTACTTGATCGTCTCGCAGCTTTTGTTCATACTATCTACTACTTAATATTCCTTTTTTCAAGTTGTAACTGTAAGCAGTCACTTTGTTTTTGTAGATGAGTCGCGTTTCTACAATAAGTAGATGACTCCTGATGGTCTAGATCTATCTCCCCACTGCGACTTCTTTGTATCAAGAGCATACTAGTACAGTATATGATGCGGGAGGTATCATTTTCTTATCAGCATGCTCCTGTTATTTTCTTATCATCATTATACAGAGTTTCTCACTCTTGATCGCCTCGCCGCTTCTCTTCATAGAAATACTTCCGCATCTAATCAGACACACACACAGACACTCTCAGCGCAAGTCACTTTGTAGCGTGTTGCTTATACAAATAGAGATGATCTCCCGCCGATTTGGATTCCCACCTCGTTGTATCTTCACTCAAGATTGTACTAGCCGCAGTTGCTACTTCTCTTCACTGATGACCAGGGAAATCCGCCACGCGCGCGCGGAGAAGGATTCGCCTACTACTGACTGCGCTGACCGCACTCAGAAAAGTCCCGCAGAGCCGCCACCGCATTTTGGTGGAAGGAGTCCAAAAACCTGCAAAAGACGGCGCCGCCCAAATGCCGCCAAAAACTGCAGCAAAATCGGAACCGTGTCCGGGTGTTTTGGTTGGTTTTTGGTTGTGTGCTGTGTCTCCACCGCAAAAGGGCTCTGCTTTCACGCGCCTGCCATGTCTTTCCGCTCCGACGGCAGTCGGGTGCTTCGCTTGCTGCCGATGAATCCTGACGGAAAGGCGGTGGCCAGGTCTGCGGAAGTGTCGCCGCCAATGAATTTGGCTCCGGCGCGTGGGGTCTGGCTGCTGGTTTTTTCTGTCCGTGTCTGTGCCTTCTCCCCATGTGTCCAGCGTGACGGCATCGCGCTGGCCAGGTGTGTCTGTGGGAGTGTCGTTGGTAATTTGCTGAGGCGCTGCGCATGGGGATGCGGCTGCAATCTTTCGGCTCTTCGCCTCCTTTATTTGCTGGCCTTCGCTGTCCTTCTTGGGCTGGGTTGTGCGTTTGCGTGTAGGCTGCAAAACGACGCGCCTCCATCTTGGTGGCTTGCGTGTAGGCAGCAGAACAGGGGCTGGAGCTTTTTAGATATTGGGTTACGGCTTGGGATTCTCAGGCGCCTCCCCAGTCGGACGAGTCAGTGTGGCGTGTCTGAAGTGCGTGGGGAGTGCGTTGCGCGTCGTCGTGGGCAGGGGGGCGCCCGCGTAGTTCATGAACCGCGACCGCATGGCGCTGGTCAGGTCGTTGAGGTTTTGGACTTGGCGCCCGAGGGTCTGGCTGCTTGTTTTTTCTGCTCGTGGGTGTGTCTCCTCCCTATGAATCGCGACGGCATGGCGCTGGCCAGGTCTGTGGGTGTGTCGCGTGCCGTTGGGGCTTTGGCTTTGGTGCCTGGGGGTCTGGCTGCTTGTTTTTTCTGTTTGTGTGTCGATCTTCTCCGCATGAATCGCGACGGCATGGCGCTGGCCAGGTCTGTGGAGGTGTCGCCGAGCTTGTGGACCTGGCGCCCGGGGGTCTGGGTGCTTGTTTTTCTTGTTTGTGCGTCTCCTTCTCATGGATCTCAACGGCATGGTGCTGAGCAGGTCTGTGGGGGTGTCGTTGGGAATGTGGCCTCTGCGCCTGAGGATCTGGCCCAGATTCTTCGGCCTTGTTTCGCCTCTGTTGTTCTTTTTCGTGGGGTCTCTTTGGTCGTTTGCGTGTAGGCTACAGAACGCGGCGCGTTTTTCTATCTTGGTGGTTTTACTTTGGAAGACCATTCGCTTGCGAAATCGCTTCTGCGCTTCTCACTGTGGCGGTGGCAGTTGTGCTTTTGTCTTGCTGTGGCTTAGGTTGCGGGGGTTGTGTCTTGAGTGAGATGCGGAAGCTGTGGGGGTTGTGTCTTAAGTTGTGGGGGATGTGAGCTAAGCTGCATGAAGGAGCCTTATGAAAACGCCGCACTTTGTTCTTTGGCTGTTCGAATTTGAGCACCAACATGAGACTCGAAAGAGCCGCGCGGGCTTTAGGGTGTTCAAATTCGAACAGCCCGAGGGCAGTGGGCCTGGGCCTTTTCGTGAGTATGCTTTCTGTCTGCGCACAACTCGCGCACGCGCTCGCCGCCTCCACCTCTACCTCCACAAGACAACTCGCCACAGCTTTCACAACTTCCACAACTTAGGAAACGGCCGCCACAACTTTCACCAAGACAACTCGTCCCACAACTTAGGGCACAACTTCCACAACTTTCCAGAGCTTAAAAGCAATAGCGTGCAGCCTTTTCGTAGGGTTTTGGCCTGTCTCGTGGTCTATGTGTAGGCTACAGAACAAGGCAGCTTTCTAAACACTGGGCGCGGGCTGGGGACTCTCAGGCGCCGCGCCACTCCAGTCGGACGGGGGTGGCTTCTCTGAACTGCGTGGGGAGAGCGTTGCGCGCCGTCGTGGGCAGGGAGTGAGAGCGAGGGCGCCTGCGTAGTTTGTTAGCATGACAGCCAGACGGCAGACGGCGCGCCTTGGGTGTTTCTGTGTGCCATCTGGCAGCCAGCTTGTGGGCCTTGCTTTCACTCGGTAGCGATGGTGTGTCACGGCGGTGCCATCGATCGGGGCCGCGGGTGGTCTTCTTTCTTCCCTTTGCTTGACGGATTTCTTTTTACTGGCCCCCGAGGCCAGGGATGTAAGGCAAACACTGACTCTCACACGTAATCAGACGGATTACGCAGCAATTGCTACTTCTCTTCAGTGATGACATCTTCCTTCACGTGGATTCTCTTTGTTTCTCCTTGCTTTCTTATAAAGTAGCAGCCTCGTCGCTTTTTGTTGGTCATGATCTGAGTCCATCGGGATGCCATGAAGATCCACAAAGATCTGAAGGACGAAGGCCACCAAAATGACCAAGATCGCCAGGCGAAAACGGTAAACAAAGCGGCCCGGAGCACCATCCAAACGCCTGACGGGTTTACCGTCGCGCGGGCTCCTTTTGTTTCTCTTCTCTCTCGTTCGTTGTTTCAATAACTCAGGTCCGCCAGGCAAGGAAGCGTGCGGCGCACTTATCCTGTCGCTACAGAGCCGGCTAGCTTGGAGCGAACACGCTTCGGGGAGCCTAATTAGCAAAAGGCAGGAACTGGCGGAATCGATGGAGGCGTACGAAAATGCGAAAGGCGGTCTGAGCATTAAACAAGGACTCTCTCTCTTTTCTATAAATTTGAATTGGCTTGCCATAAAGGAAATAGGAATATATATAGACACCAGACCATATCCTTAACGGCGGCGCAGAGGGCGCCGCCGGTCTAGTTCTTTTAGCGGCGCAGCCGCAGAGAGCGCCGAGGGTGCTGGTTAGACTAATTGGCTGGCTGCGTTTATTGTGATTGCGATCGAGAAAGGACAATGGGCGCGAAGCAAAGATCTGAAAACTCAAAAAACGGACTGGACAGAGATGCCTTCCTGTCTTGTTCTACATTCGTGAGGCGGTTCTACATTCGTGAGGCGCGAATCAATGGACTTCCCGGCCATATCTCGTGACCGGTATCACGCAGGTAGTATGGCCATGGAGTCCAAATGCATGAAGGCCTCCACCTGTTGCCGCGAGGTCCTTGGACTTCCCGGCCATATTTCGTGACCGGTGTCACGAAGTATGGCCATGAAGTCCATTTGCGCCAAAACTGGTTAACAGTGAAGGCCTCCACCGCGCCTGTTGCCACAGTGTCCTTGGACTTCCCGACCATATTTCGTGACCAGTGTCCTGAAGTATGGCCATGTGGTCCAAATGCCTGCAGGCCTCCACCTGTTGCCACAAGGTGGTCCCTTGACTTCCCGACCATATTTCGTGACCAGTGTCACGGAATATGGCCAAGCGGTCCAAATGTGTGAAGGCCTCCACGTCCATCTGTTGCCACGAGGTCCTTGGGCTTCCCGGCTATCTTTCGTGACCAGTGTCACGAAGTAATGAAGTCCAAAAGCTTGCAGGCCCGCAAATTAAACCTGACCCATGAAGGCCTCTACCAGTTGTTGGCCAAAGCTTGGACTTCCTGGCCATATTTCGTGGCAAGTGCCTCGCAGTATCGTCATGAAGTCCAAGCGCATGGACGCTCTTGAACTTTCGGACCATATCTAGTGCGCAAAGCTTCGAAATATGGGGAGCAAGGCGTACCGGTTTGGACTTCCTGACCAGATTCCGTGGCCAATGTCTCGAAATATCGCCAGGAAGTCCAAATGCGTGGACGCTTTTACTTGTTTGGACTTCGCGACCATATTCCGTGACCAGAGCCTCAATATTGTCAGCAAGTCCAAACCGGTTGTCCTGAAACACGCCTGGCCTTCCCGGCCATATATTAGCTTGAACAAGAAGTGGGAGCTTCTTAAGAAGCTTCCTTAAGGTGCCTCCTTAAGAAGCTCTCTTAAGCGGCTCTCTTGAGAAGCTCTCCTAAGAGCGGGCTCTTGAGGGACCCCTTCTAAATTCTTTTATTATTTTGTTACAAAACTTGTAACAAATTCCCGATTCATATTTGTATACTTAGTTATAATTATATTTGTACTTAGCAATAGCATTTATTTGTTGTTGTTGTTGATGTTATATATTCGATGTCTTTCGTTTCTTATGGTACTCCTCTAACTTTCCATCATACTCATAGTGTATTTCTTTTTTCCTTGCTTGTGGTAACTTTTATCTTCTGACTGCGCTATTAACAGGTTTGTAACTCAACATAGGATAGCTACGGGAGGAGGTGGGCGAGAGTTACAATTTGAAATTTTGAATTATGATTGATTATTCCCTCTCTGGGATCTTCAGGAAATGATCTACTTAACCACTTGCTCAGGAACCATAATCGTTTATCTGTAGAGGAGCGAGACTATCCAACCTACTGAGTTTTTGAGTAAGGGAACGGGCAAGTAGCTAGAGCTGAGCACAAATGATTGCGAATTTTCACCCTGGACTGAAAATCATTTGATTCCTGTTGGGCAACATTATTGATTGACAGTCTCCTTTCTGAATCTCAGCAGGGTTACTAATTGTTTTTCTTTCTGGGATCTTCTTGAGCAATTATTTATTTTTTGAGCTCGACCATGACCTCTAAGAACAAGTGCGAGCAGGACAAACAAGGTGCGCCGACGGAGGAGGAGGATGCCAGGGTGAAAAGGGAAAAAGTGGAAGAGGAAGTGAAGAAGACGGAAGACGAAGTAAAGCCGAAAGCAGAGGAGATGTTAGACAGATTAGAAAAGCTCAAGAAGAAGCTGGAAGATGTCGAGATTCCCAGGGCGAAGAAGCTGAAGGTGTGCCACATGTCGGATAGTTAAGGCTTCCGCTAGCTCATCTCTCTATCAAGTGCATGAGGATCTTCCCTGAACCTTATTATTAAACCACATCAACGGATGAGTATCAGTATATTGATATTCTTCGAGGGAAGATGATCCCCACGTCGACAGGGATGAAACAAGCGGGGTAGCTCCAACAGACCGCGACCGATGCGGCCAACAAAGAAATCTCGAGCTTTGAAGACGAGACTCGTCGCGATGCTCTCGAACTATATACAACTATGTTAATCACAGCAGGGGAACTGAATGATATCCGCCATGCCCTGGAGTTGGATGTAAAAGTTAAGGACTTTCATAAACTCATGCGATAGCTGTTTTTTTGAATCCTAATGGGATAGCCACAGGTGGATTAGATGGTGGGAGACAGGAGTTGTACGAGCTGCAACTTTAATAAAATGAGACTGGTTTATTATATCACAGACAACCCAGCATTCAACAGCATGTAAATCTAAATGTATAACATTCACTGTGTATTCTTGATTCATAACCTAACCAACCTTGTTCCCTTCCTCGCATGATCATTTTTTGCTGAAGTCTGTCAAGAATCTGAAGTTTTGAGCTCTACCTCTAAGAATACTTGTGAAAAAAAACTGGAGCAGCAAAAGGCAGGGGATAGTATGCAGGTGCTTATCGCATTTTCGTACTTATAATTCAATAAAAGTATGTTGTGGTTGAGCGTAGGTATCTGGAACTATTGTTCATTGTACTAGTAAGAAATACATCGGGTTTTATGACTCTTTAAGTCGACGTGTAAAAGATGATATGTGATACTCATCGTCATGATACAACTTAATCTTTATGGCCAGGCCGAACAGAAGTCTTCTACGGCGCACGCGGCGGAACCACATCAAGCGGAACTGCAGCCTTCTTAAGGCGACCGTTTCAGCACCCTCAATATTATCCTTGGCTCTTTCCTACTTGAAAAAGAAGCCAAGAATGCTCCCGGGGTGGTGGATGCCAGCGTGGTATCTCTAACAGGAGAAGGCGAACCAGGAGGAGGAGCCTAGTGACGCGACAAAACTGATGTCGATGAAACAGGAGAAGGAACAGAAGGAGGAGGATACAGCCACACCGGAGGTGGAACCACAGCAGAAGATCGAGGAAAAAGTGGAGGGGGCGCCGTCTGGTGCACCGGGATGTTGTAAGTAATCTGAGAGGAAGTATGAAATTTATGAAGTAGGAGTAATCTAGTAGAAGATGAGTCGACAAAATCAGCTCTGTTGAAAATGAATAAGAATATCATTCAACTAGTAGTTAGCTGCCAGAGGAGCAGCCACCAGCACCACGCTCCTGCCTCCAAGGACAAGTGACCTGTAGTTCTGGGGGTTCGGTCATTACAAATCAATGGATCTCGTCATGCAGAATAGCCTTCATCGATAGAAACCGCATGCAATGAAAACCTCAGCGTATCGTGACAATGAGGATTCCAAGAACTAGACCTGGTTCTACGTTAGCGAATCATGAGCTTACAAAGACCACAGAATGAGCATATTTCAAAGACAGACCAAACGTAGTTTGACGCCTAACAGGCCGTGAGTAGCAATCTATACCACTTTCTGTATCCCATCCACGTCTAGATAAGTATTCATAAAGATAATATTATTTTATTACATCGTGAACAAGAAGATCATCACATTCTCAACATCGAAGAACTCGAAGAAGCTCCGCGTGACTGAGCCTCGTTTTGTCACAATATTCATATCTGAAGACGACTGTGAACATAAACAAATTCATAAAAAGATATTCTGCCGTTGCACATATGAATCGACGATTATATTGCTTGTGCCTATCAACTTAATCATGAAAAAGGACACCGAAATCAGTTTTCAAGAACACTCTTTGTATACGATAAGATTGTTATCCATTATAGTTAATAGTTGTTCATCATGTGAAGATGTAGTGCTGGAGGTCGGAAGATTCTCGCCCGTGATCATGAGGGCACTGCCACTCCTGACATATTCCCTGCACACTGCTTCTAACATCAAACTGTGTTCTCGGATTCTAGGTTTAAGAGCGTTAGATGATGATGCGGGTAGTAGGGCTGACACGAGAAAAGATCATATTTGCCGCTGCAGCGCGTCACCCACCACGACCTCCGTGAAGATGATATAGAGAAGCAGCATCTTCAAGAAGCGGTTGCATAACCTTGTGATCGTACTTTATGCTTATTGACTGACATCAAAAATATCTGACTCATCTAAAAAGTTCTGTCGCTCGTCATAGATCTAGGTGAGCATAACCACTACAACTACCACTTCTACAAGATCATCAACATGGGGCTCTTATTCTTTCGCAAGGACAGTTTTCTGTTTCCGGCATGGTTGACCTGCCACTTAGCTGGAATGACGTCACACGCAGGTGCAGTATTCGTCACGACTCCGGCAGCCCATGGGCAAACAAGTGCAGAACAACAACAAGGTGTGGAAGAAGATTCATCTACTCAAGAACAGCCCCCTCTTGCGCCATCTTCGTTGCGGGAAGAAGATTCATCTACTCAAGAACAGCCTCCTCTTGCGCCATCTTCGTTGCGAACAACTTTGAAGAAGGATCTGAAAAATCTTTTGACGTGCTGCTCCCGACGATGGCGTCAGCCGTCCTCCACGCCTTTGCTCCGTGACGAAGATCAGCAAGGAGAACCTGTTGGCACATCCACAACAGACACCACTGCAAAAGCTCCAGCGAGGACCCAGAACAGTGGCAATGTTGAGGCCGAGCAGAGGGGTGAGGAGGCATCTATGACAAACGCAGAGGACCGAGTTGAAGGCCAAGGTGAACAACAGGCTCCTGCAGGAGAAGAAGAAGCCCCTCAAGCCCCTCAAGCAGAACCAGAAGTAGCAGACCAGGTAGAGAGCGATTTGGAGTACGCTGACGAGGAGGAACCAGGTGTGGCAGACCACAGTGACGACCAAGTTGTGCAGGAAGCAGAACGGTTTGTGACGAGACTGAACGCGCCAGAAAACGCTGCCCGCAGACCGCTCGTTGACCGATTCTTCAAGTCCAGAACGGCTAGCCCAGCGTCGTGGGAGTACTTTCAGTTAGGCGCGCGTGGCAACAAACTCTCTAGGGTGTTGCATGCGCGACTGGATCATGACCGTGTGCGAGAATACGCCGAAGACTTGGTGAAGCACCGTTTCCCTCGCGTTCTGCCGGACCTGGAGCAGCTTCGTCGCCAATTTCTGGATGACCAGCAAAGTTTATGACTTTGACTTTAAATTAGGTAAGTTAGTCTAGTTGTGAAGTTTGTCTAGTAGTTAAGTTAGTTTCGTTGAGTTAGTATGCAGATGCTTATGTTCTTAGAAATTCTTTGCAAGAAGGATGACCGAAGATGTTCTTTCTGAAGATGCTAGCTGCTGACTACAGCATGCAGTGCTAGAATCTCAATCTTAAAGATCACGACCGGCATAGAAGTCCTCTCCTTAGATAGCCTAAGCATCACAAATTAGAATTACGTCCTCATCTTCTAACCTAAGTCCGTGCACGAAATGCCATTGCCCGCCAGAACCGAATCACGGCACTGGAATGGAGGAGAAGTAGGGCTTTTGAGCGTGGACCCCGCGAATTTAAGGATCATCATATTTATTATTTTGAGCGTGGACCCCGTGAATTTAAGGATCATCATATTTATTATTTTGAGCGTGGACCCCGTGAATTTAAGGATCATCATATTTATTATTACATCCTTCGACGGACAACTTCTTTTTACACTACAACATTAATGCATCCTGTAAGACTAAGACCAGGACAGGAGCATCCTTGGCTCTACTCGGCCTAGTAAGATAGAAGAAGTCCGCAGGGATGCTCTTCTGAAAAAAAGTGCAAAAATCATGTCACAGCCTGGCCTGCTCTTCTAATGTGTCGTTTGCTGGAGACGAATACGCATTTGAGGAGGAAAAGAACCCAGATGAATGGGAAATGACACCAAACGAAATCATCACTATCGCAGAGAACAATCAGCCACAATTGACTTAAGCCTTCCCCTAACCCATCTTCGGAAGCATCCTGGCGAGACTTTCCAAGGGGAAAAACCCCCAGGGCGGATCTCGAGATGGATTCGGGTGAGCTCTAATTGACGTGGCATCTCATGTTCTTTGTGGAGGATGCAGAGTGGAAGGAAATCTTTCTCACAGTGCTTCTTATGGGCCAGAAGCAAGGGTGAATATTAGACAGTGAACAAACTTGATTGAAGATGTCCTCTGCTTGTTTTTTTCTACAGTCTGTCATAATTTTCTGAGTGGTCTGTACCTGTAGTTGACTCTTCTAATTTGAAAACAGAAATCACAATCGCCCAAGCGTCGGATGATGTGGGTCCGAGAATGCGGCTTAGCCTTATGGGCCAGATTTTCGTGTTGGTTGAGATACTTCTAGAACATGCGAACGAGCACACGGCGATTGAAAGTGGAGCGTTCTAGAAGAATCAATCACCGTGGCGATTGAAAATGGATGTAGAAGAATCGTCAGGGTCCGATAGGGGATGAGACTGAGGAGATCAATACTGTATTTGGCCCAGCAATGTTGGCTCTTGGATAAAAACTACAACAACACGTACTTAGATGAAAATACAACATTTTTTAGTTCTTCTTGTGTATCTTTATCGAGTTCTCAACATAGAAGTATTAAAGCCATATCATAGTCATACTCATACATACATATTAGTAGTAGAGAATATCGTCTCCAAGCTGAAGCACGTGGACTTCATGGGGAAGGGACGTCGACTGGCCAGTTTTATGAGCATTTCAAGGATTCTTGACTGTAGATGAATCGTTTTCGTTATTTATAATACGTCATACGATACGAGTTATCATGAAAAACCATCAAACAAGCAAAGGGTCACTCCTGGTCTGCAATTGCGCACCACGGAAGGGGACAAAGCGCAATTGCAAGTTTTCAACAGAGTACTCCTGTCTCCCGGAATCTGTTGGTAGAATTTATGACTCGGTTGTATTCCAAAAAACACGTTCTGTTCAGAAATCTCTGGAACGTTGAATGAGATGTTGCATCTGTTGTACAAGCAGTACCTGCGTGTGCGTTTTTCTTCAATGAATGCCAATGCCATTGCTTTCGTTCAGCTCGCGAAAGGAGCGAAGGACCCAGTTGTGATATTTTCTGTGAACGCATTGATTTTTACGATGAGAAGCTGAGAGTGACCGCGTTTACTTACTCTCATTTTGTGGCTTGTCAACGATTATGACAATGAAGATGTAGGACCATATCCGCAATAGTATAAAAACTTCTTGAAATTGATATGTGTAGTATAAGAACTTCTTGAAATTGATATGTGATGAATGTTGATAGAAGCCATTACCCTGCTTCTTTCCCGCCGCCCTCTCCCTAATATTGCGCTTTTTAACACAACAACTACGTGTAGATGTAGTAAACGAATCAGTAGAGCTGCTCAGTTCGATGTATGAACGACGACATAGTTTTGCGACTATATTTCTGAGTCTGAAGATTGCAGCTAGTATCACCAACATAATCTTCATGATCTTATACATAGTTCTCAAAGTTCGTCTTGAAAAATACAACTAAGAACCGCCAACAAGAAGGACCAAAATGGAGTCAAAAAATGGGGGGCTCGTTCGGCTCGCGGACCGAGGTAGCCAATACCCGGAGATCGTCACGTTGGACCCTAAGAAAGAACTACCTTTTACCTCCGAAATATCCAGGAGTAAGGAGCGGACCGAAGAGCGGGTCGTGGTGCGGTCTCCCAAGCAGGGTGGCGTGGGGGTTGATCAACATAAGGTTCATGGAGACAGCAAAGAGAGAAGTGGGAACGCGCCTGTAGCGTCGAAGGATGTTGGACCTCCTGTCGCTGAGGACACAACAAGCGAGCCACTTATGCGACCGATTTCGAGCAGGAAAATTTTCGATAACTTGTACCTGGCGCCGTCTCCAGGCAGTCATCAGCGTGTGCATCAGAAGAACTCTGACCCTGCATCCTCGTATTCAGGTAGTACCATGAGTTACAATTAAGGCTACCGCTGAAGCATCCCCAACGTTATCCTTGGCTCTTTTTCTACTTGAAAAGGAAGCCAAGGATGCTCTCAGGGATGCGACCGCGGTAGCTCTAATACAAGGGGACAACTACAGCAAGCGCACCTCCCAATGCAACGCCAGTTGTACCATTAAGCGGCCTCGATACAATTCATTCCCAAGGGTCATTTTCTCCGGTGTCCCCTCTCGGAATGCCCAAAAAAATGAAGGGAAGATATGAATTGTTTTGAGCTCTAATGCCCGTATTGCAGTCTTCTTCTTCTAGTGCACCAACAGGAACGGGGCTTGCGTCAGCGACCTCTTCACGTGTCGAGTCGTGTCCTGGGACACCGAGTACCACGTTGCCGCAATTTCACTCCGCACAAGATAACGTCGGGAGTGGAACACACCCCGTGCATGGTGGTGTCCGTGCACCACCGAACTCTGTGGTAAAGGACTTTCTCATTTCACCTGGGAAACCACCTGCCTTGGGAACATCAAGTAGGGTAAACGATCATGTCGGGCTCGGGAATTACAACAACAATTGCAAAAATACCAATATGGCTGTAAACAACAATTAAGGCTGTAGCGAATGCATTTTTGACTGCATCCTTGAAACGTAGGTATGGGGGAGTATTCCAGTGCGATACTGTGGCATACTTTTCAAGGATGCAGCTGGAAGATGGATTTCGGAGAGCGTTAAAACAAGCCGATAGCAGAACCAGGAGGAACAAATATGCAGAACTTTATAGACGATTTCGAGTATGACCAGACTGCTGCTGAGCGGCAACGTCGTGTGCAAAGAGTTCTGGCGCAAAGGAAGCAGCGGAGCTACGATATTCGACGTATTCTAGATGCGATGGAAGAACCAAGGAAAACTAGAATGGAGGGGAGTACGAGGTAAAAAGTTGGAGTTTCTTGCGAGGAAAGCTACTAAAACTAAATAAAGCCTACTTCTACTTAGAAGTTCTTCTTCTTGTAGTTCAAGTTACTATGAAGAAACACGGCGCAGGGGGTTGTTCTTAGAAAAATTAGTTGATGAATTGTGTAGATGAAGGTGTAATTATGACGCATATTGATTTTCAAAACTCATCAGAACAAACGGAGGAGGTGCGGCCGCAAATAGTGCTGCTTTATCGAGGCAAATTGAGGAGCTAGAGTCCATTGAACATGGCGACTGTCTAACGAACCTAGACTTTCCGCGAACGACTGCTGGCGCGCCTTCCGGTGTAGATACCATCGTAAGTAGCAGAGGTAGAGAAAACAGTAGGGATCTTATGAAAGACTACACTGTTTTTTTTTCTAGTACTAACTAGTTTGCTTTTCATCTTGAACAAAGGATTAGGACAGGAGCAACAGCAAAGTTGTCACTGAGATCTCACGTCGTCTGCCTCTACTTCTAACCTGTGTAGCGGCGAAGACCAAACCCACGCTCTTTCTAGCACAAGTCCATTCAAGCCAGGACCTAACGGTTTATGGTATGTACTAGGTCGCTCCGGAGGTTGGGAAGCGTTTCGACCTTTACTGGAGGAAGAGGACCGGCTTCGACGGGTATATGGAATGCCACCGAAATTGCAAGATGTTGGTACTTCTAACGGGAAGAAGGGCGTGAGTCAAGACCAACAAGAGCACCAGAATAACGGTCCTGGTGTGGCCGGCAACGATGAGGTGAAGAACCACGAGGAAGATCATGCTGAAGAGTCTTCGTGCCTGAGTTCAGGTTCTTCTTCTCTGGAGGAGGACAGTAAGGAAGACCGACCAGATGAGAGACAGCAGGCAGACGGACTTCTAGATGAAGGTGCAAGTAAGACTAGCAGTAAGCAACGAGTTACGTCAACTAGTAATCCTATGACTGCTAGCGCGCGAGAAGTGCCAGCAGCTCCAGCACCTACACCCGCTGTATCTGGAGTTTTCAACACTGCCGGTTTGTATGGCGGGGTTCTGCGACAAGTGTACATGTCCTCGTTGAGCAAACTAGGGGACTTAGTGTTGGAGGAAGAGGAGGAGGACGAAAAGCAGGAGGCCGAACGGAAATTGAAGGATGCAGCTGAAGAGGAGGAGGATAGAAACAAGGTCTTGGAGGAGATTGAGAAGATGAAAGCACAGCCAGTGTTGTACAATTACGGCAACTTCTGTACGACCTGTAGCAGTTACAGTACAGTTACAGTTACAGTTACAGAATTGTGTAATTACAGTTACAGTAAGAAAGAGTACTAGTACTTAGAAAAACGACATTTATTTTATGGAACAATAATAGCCACCAGCTTGTTCTAATATCCTGCCGATGCCAGTGCTGTTCTTGCACAATTATCCAAGCTGGGTGGTGGAGGATCGCGAAAGGCCTCAGTTCAAGAAGATGGTAACGGCCGAAAGAAGGCTGACCCAGATGCAAAAGCGAAGCAGATCGAAGCTGCAGTAGCACAAGTTGTTAAACAACAAGATCAAGCTGTAGAAGAGGTAGCACTTCTTGTAGACGGGGAGAAAGATGAGAAAAAGGACGCTCAGGAGGACTTCACGATCCGCAAGCAAGTAATATCTTCTTCAAAAGTAGAGAAGAAGAAAAAAGTAAAAGATGAAGATCCATCATCTTCTCCAAGAAAAAAGAAACAAAAGAAGAGTTGTGCATCTACCTCTGCGACGAAGTCTCAGACACAGCACATCGTTCTCAAGTCTCCCGATCGTGAAGTGCGACTGGCACTGCACGACGATGCTAGGAGTCCAAACCTTCTTGCTAACGCTAATGCTAAAGCCAATGGTAAAGCCAATGCTCCAGGTGAATCACCTCAACAACACGATAATTTCGAGTTGCGATCACCTGTATCACGTGCCGATGTGGACAAAATTTTGGAACAGAAGCAAAGGGGACCGGTTTCTGGACGTATCCTGGCTGCACCAGATGAAAAGATCACTTTTTTCTATAGTTCCACTGTTTGCGACTTCGCGATCAACGATAACGACGATCAGATTCGCGCAACGGTGACGCCATTTCTCGACCATAAGCATGCGCGCTCTCACAATATGAAGATGGTGAAAGATAAGCATAAGAAGAAGAAAGGAGTGGGAACAAGTGCTGGAAGAGCTCATCATGTTATGGGTGTAGGGAATTCATCTCCACAGTCATCTGGAAGAGAAAGACAAGAGGAAAAAGGGACCCAGATGATCCCTGAGATGAATTCCCGATACCTCTAATCATGGTCATGATGGAGGTAGTAAACAGAGCAGCTCCTCGTCTTCTTCCACGTTTGGTGGACAACTTGGCGGAAGCAGAGAAGCGGTTCCTTCATACTTTGGCGACTCTGTAGGTCCATGCTCCAGAAAGACACCTGCAAGGAAGAAGAAGAACAAACCGACGTCTTATTTCGATTACGCTAGCCCGAGCTCCTCTTCTTCCTTGTGCAGTAGAGCTGATGCGGACGCAGGTAGCGAACAAGAGCAAGATGGCGATCATCACGGTGATGCCTTGGAGGACGATCACGATGATGATATTAGCCAAGAACTTCTTGCGGCTGGAGGCCTCGTCTCCAATGAAATCACCTTAGAAGCAAGTCCAAAACCGCTCCACGCTCATCGTGTGTCTGTTTTTGCGCGTGGTGGAGCGGGCGACCGCGATGAAGATTGGGAGGGAGCAGCTAACAAAGCATCTAGTCCAAAGCATGGTCGCGGAGACACTGAACTTGAGCATCACGACGAAACTGGAGGTGAAAATGCTCATCATCACGACCACAATCTCAATACAGGAATTAACAGTATTATGCAGAAGAATAGCAAGACTTCTTCTACTTCCGACTGTAGGAACAACTCTAGGAGCCGCGAGCAAAACGAAGAATCTCGTTTTGGTGGTATGGAGCCATTGGACCTGGACTTGATTGATGCGGGTAATTCAGCCAATGAACGCGTGAATGCAAAGCATCAGCAAGCAGCGAATATTAATAAGTTTAACCGGTACAGTCCAACCTCCTTTGACGCACCGCATGATAACACGTTGTTGAGTGGAAAGACGCAAAAAAAACCATCCAAAGAACGAGGGGATTCACCGTCAGCAGATGCTAGTAGTACTACAGGGATGAGCGCCGGGTAACAATACGAATATCTCATGATCTACTACTTCATGTAACTCTCCTGTAGTTAGAAGTTACAGTTGCTTTTTGATGTTTTATTTTTTCTCATGGAAGACATCAGAGCAGCGAACAATGTGGAAGCCCAGCACCTTTCATCACCTCAACTACACATCAGCTCAACGTCCGCTGCAGCCAGTGTTCTAGCCGCTTCAAAGGGTTTCAACATTGGCTATGCAGCTACTAGTCGGCTACAGAAGTTGATCGAACAAGATAACAACTCAAACGCAGATGAAACGGGTGTGATGCAAAAGGGGTTGAGTGGGGAATTAGTTAAGGCAAGAATCTTTCCAGTGACCACAAACACAATATAGTCGTGCTGACCACAGCAGATAAAATAGACTGTCGCGAGAACGACGGCGTACGGCGATACATCATGACATGCTATCTCGCATTTCCTAGCTTGTTGGAGATCTTCTAACACCAGCGGTGGTCCCGGTTCTGGTAATTACTTTGAGGAATGCAGCCTCGCACCAGGTAAAGAGACGCGGAGTGTGGAGCATACTTTTCCAAAGTGTGATGCTTTGAGCTTTTCTCAAGGTAGCGCCGTTTCAAGCGGTCAGGTTCGAGCTTGGGAAAGTGCAGGCCTGATGTCCATGGAGCTTAGCAGCAATACGACATTACATCACGGCACGACCACGAGTACCGCTGGAGCAAGTGAGAGGATGTCGGGATTCTTGCTGAAGAACAGTACTAGATTTTGGTTTATGGTTGTTCTCTGGACGCATGATTAACTAGTACAACCCTCCAGTGCTGCGCCAGCATAGTAAAAACCGGTGCACAATCTCAATCATCTCACTCTGTTGAACCACAAGTGCTCTCATCCAGGTGACGGCTTCACCGCATCTACAGTAACAGGCCCTGTGCGAGAGCTTGCCGAAAAGGCTCGTAGTTCATCAGGCAGCGGAGGAGGTGGAATTCTGCAATCTAAGGACCGCAGTGGCGCAACAGCAACTGCAGTTGAAGGGCTACTTTCCTCCATGTCTAATACCAATACCACTACTACCTTTTTTTAAGGGTTGGAACAAGTTGACCTCACTCTCTACTCGCATATCTATGTTGGCATGTTCAAGTAGGAAAGTCATTGATACGCGAGAGAGATGAAAGGCCAACTTTCAACCCCTAAACCTTGGAACAAACAACTGAGCAAGCTCAAGCACGGAAACCCAAGAAGTCGTTTGCCTTTTCGGAGTCTTCTTTTGCGGTAGAACAAGACCAACAGGTACGAGGAGATAATTTTCGACAAGCGTTCAAAAATTCGCGGTCTCGCTCATTTGCTGCGGCCACGGCTTTCGAAGCGCAAAGACTGAGCAAACATATCACCTTGCAGCCACATTTCGGGACGAAGAAGAATGGAGGAGGAGTTAAGGAACGGTAAAGGGAAAAGTAGAAGCAGAAAGATTTCGTAGGTACTAGGCTGAATTGATTCATCCTAATGCCAAGCAACTTTAAACAGAATCTGCTTCTCCATCAATTTTTTAGGCAGGCCACAGAAGCCATCAGCATCTTCCTCTAAAAGCCGCAGCAAGGATAGCCACAGCGCTGCTGGCAGTCAACGTGGAAACAATAGCAAGAGTTCAGCGGAGAGTGGAACTGGAAGCGTTGTTGCTCCTCTACGAGATCACGGCGTACTATCAGCAGATGACCGTGAAGTTACAGGTGAGTCCAAGCATTCCTCTTCAAACTCCAATGGTCTTCTTGAAGACGCACAGGAAGACGAAGACGAACGACTTGCATTAGAACTAGCTGGGTCGAATGGAACGTCTTCTCGTACGACCAGCAAACAATCTGCGACGTCTCCTGATCATCTCCAGGAGAAGAATGCCTTTGATGACGATGAGCAAAGTGAGAAATCAAACAGTAACAGTAAATCATCAAATACGTCTTCTACAAACATCATAGTGGGAGGACAGCAACAAAACTTTGGACAACATCATGGAGCAGGGTCGACCAGTTCGTCGTTCAGTATCAATGTTGTCAACTCCTCTGGTTCGAGTTTCCTCTCTTCCTCTTTACAGACTGGCAAGGGGCTGCTTGGCATTGGAGGCTCTGGAGGAGGCTTGATGAATGTCGGTCAGGGTCATGCACCTCCACCCAGTCCTCTCGCACCAGACTTAGCTGGAGATTCTGACAGCGAAGACGAAGACGAGAAGGCGGATGTTTTTCCTGTAACTATAGTTAAGGCTCCTCCCGCTTCTACGTCACCTCTATGGAGCAGATCCCTCAACCTCCGTATCAAGGGAATTATACCCTTGAGGGATCCACCACCTCTGTACAACCCACCACCTCTACAACTCCAGAGATATGAATCAGTGAGATATGAATCAGTGATACTAGTGCTAATACAGCTGGCGCAGGAGGGACAACAACGTCAAGTGGTCCAGCTGGAGGCATACTTCGAGGCGTGAACTCCACTACTGGGATTCCGCAGCCAACTGTGGGAGCTCGTGCAGCCTTTCGTACATCCAAAAGTCAAAGTTTTTGCATGCCTGGCACGTTGAAAAGCCAAGAAGAACTCCTCTCCGGTGCAAACAAGAACGGCAAGCTGAAGAAAAGCAAAGACGACAGTCACCGACTTTCTCAGGATCATCAACCCCTAGAGCCAGCTTTTTTCGCGAATCTGAAACAGGAAATTCAGCGCAAGCGTTCGATCTCTGGAGCATCGACGGGAGTACTTCTAGGAAGTGCTGCTGGTGGCCTGCTGCAAAATATTGCACCACAAATGGAGGCGGTGCAAGAAGAAGAAGAAGTTCTAGGCGGCGAGGAGAAACACGATATTGACCACAGCACTCTAAATTAATGCCCGATACAATTCTAATTCATTTCGAAGGGTTATGCTCTTCGGTTTCATCCCTCTCAGGAGTCCGATGAAATGAAGGGAAGAAATGAATTCCTCCGATCGCTCTAACTAAATGACCACCATGACGTGGGAGAAGCATTGAAAGCAACAGTGGCCGCTTCTGGTGACGTATTCGTGGACGACGACGATGATGAGGACGACGAAGACTCTACTGACCACCATGTACTAACTGCAGCAGGAGGTCCAAGTGTTACACCAGGTGCAGCTAGTGGTGGCATTACTGTTGCAACACCAGCAGCGGGAGCAGTTGGAAACGCCGCGACATGTGGTCCTGCAACTACTACACTTGGGGGTGGTGCAACACTGGGTACAGCAAATACCAACATTCTCCAGCCACATTTTTCAACCACAGGACCAAGTGCAATGCAGCACAACTTGCTTGGCGCACCTGGAGGAGCTGGTCTCCAGATCAGGCCACCGATGGCACCAAAAAATTCGATATGCATGCATCCTCCTGGAATAGGTACAGTCGGAGGAGGTCCGGATCGTCGTTACTCTGCGTTGCCTGCACTAAGTATGTTTGGCGGAGGTAGTCAAGCGTCTCAAATGCGGCATGGAAGTATTGCTGTTCACGGAACGGATCCGTTGTTACAACTCGCAGCTCCTGGGACGAGTTCTTTCTCAGAAGCTTTATCTTCGGGTGGTGGACTAACGGGCGCAGGAGCTGGGCTAGCAACAGGGCCTGGAGGTATGTTAGGTTCCGGTGGCATTGGCAGTATGGGACGAATCGCCCAGGAGAATAAAGTCAGTACAGGAACTTCTAGTGCAACAATTACAGGCTTCGTTGCTGGAGGAAATTTCTCAAGTACTCCAACTGGTCCACCTGGTGGTCGTGAGCAACAAGTTGTAGATCCACCTCCATGTGCTTCTTCTACAACAGCAGCCCCAATAGGACCTAGTTGTACTTCTGCAGCTGCCGTTGTCCAATTGCCTTTGTTAAGGCTTCGCCTAGTCCATCTGCGGAGGCATCTTGGAGACGTTTTCAAGGGGAAAACTGTCGCAGGATGGCCTTCGAGATGGATGAGGGTGGGCTCTAACCTTGCTGTTAACAAGTCAAGAGGCAGCTTCTCCGCGAAGCAACGCTTCCTCAAGTGAAATGGTGTCTAAAATCTTGGCCGGAGATGCCAAATCTGCGGAAGCATTTTTACGTAACCTAGATGAAACACGGGACTTACTAGCAAAACAACTAGAGACGTTTCAGAATCAAGTGGCAAAAGCAGACCACTCAGGAGGAGCAGCAGCACCTGTATGCACTCAAAAAGATGTTGTCCAACCAGCACAACCACAGCCTCCTCATCTTCGTGGTCTCATTAACAAGCAGGAGGATCTACTAGTCGACGAGTTCAACTATTATACGTCGACGTGTGCTGGCTATAACGGCTGGAGTCTTGCTGACGATAATAAGGTGTTGTGCACGCCGCGCCGCGTAGACGTTCTCCTCGATGAAGAAGGAGGATCACCGTGTCACATCCAATCACCAGAGCCACACCGATGGGTGCACCAAGGACGCAAGGTTGTCGTACCACCTGCGTCACAGCAGGTTGCTCCTAGACTGGTGACTCAGAACAACGTGTTGAGAGGCAAGGACAATCACATGAGCAACAAGGTACGCAACAAGGTAGTAGAATCTTCTGAATCTCATCCTCACTGTCAATACAGTCACAGTGAAACACAAGTACAAGAAGAAGGAGATCCACAAGGTAGTACAACTGTCCTGGTCAGCCAAGACGTTGATCAGGTGAACGATCAAGAAAACGACATCCTCCTTCTAGCTCCCGAGCATGGCGCTTCGGTGACCGAACACCTCAAAGCAGTTATCGCAGACAAGGTATTCGACCTCGTTATCGACAAATATAGTGACGACTACGATTATGGCTTCCCACACACGCATTGCGCGGCCCTCCACTAACTGACATCGATCCATGCTTGGCCTCGTCCCCGGTTCCACTAGGAACGAGGTCAGAGATCATGTTTTGAAAAATGCAATATCGTCCCAAAAACTTCTTCTAACACCAAGGGGACGTCGGATGCGTGTTCCAGCGAGCGCGATGCCGCTTGTACAGCAACAACGTGTACGACATCTGCAACACGAATGTTATTCTTCGACCGGCCCTTCTAGTGAGGAAGATGACGCGTCACGGCTACTTCGAAAACGCTTTGCGGAGGATTTTGCCGTCGTATCAGAATTATGGTTCGTCTTCATCTTCATCTAGTAATCCTTAGGTATTACTACTGCTAGATCTACATCTAGAAGATGTTAGAGTTTTAATGAAGAAATAGGAATTTCTGTTGCAGCTGTGGATATAATTGTGCTAGTACTATTCCGCGTAGCTTAGCGTGGAGGTTACCAGCACCAGAAGTACTAGCACCAGCACGAGGACCGAAAGTGGCAGCGAATGAACCTTCTTCTAACACTCGCGACTTGCAGACAACGACCGGATCTACGTTGTGGAAGTGAACGGCGTCTCCAGGGACCTTGCGGAAATGTTCTATACCTTGAAAGCAGCACGAAGCCTCGTACTGTCGCTCATTATCACCCGTAGGTGAGAAGGGTAAAAGCTGACATAAGTGAACAGTTACTAGAGTGAATAGGAAGGAGAACAGTTACTACAGTGAAGTGTTTGCGACCGCATGGGCTGAAGGTCAGTCGTTGGCGCCTTGTTTGTGTTGTTTCTTGTTTGTTTGGTTGTTCGTCGTGGCCTTGTGCCCGTTTCCTTTCTCTCCAATCAAACTAGGGCTAGCAAGGGTTAGTGGGTACTTGATTGCTCATTCTTGACTTGATCATCTAGCACAGAATGGAGTAGCAGCTGCGTCTGCAGTAAACAACTCAATATTTTGCTACGCATATTAACTTATAATAAGTAAGTAGACATTGACATGAATGAACAGTTACTACAGTGAATAGAAAGGAGATTTTTCAGGCCTTAATAGATTGCGGGGTACTTGCATTTGTAACTACAACAGATAGAAGCGCTAATAAAGTAGTACAGATATTATTCGTAGTTCAAGTTTAAGATAGGTATCATACGTTTTCATCTTGTCACTGCGTGAACATCATGTTGACAAAGAAAGTAAGAAACTAGTCGTAAATCAGGCAGTACTACATGTTGTTGAAAGTTTTAGGATTGATCATGTTAGTTTGTAGCTCTGTCGTAAATCAAATGTACCACTCAACAAGAAGAGGTTTCGAGACTGTTGAAGTTTAGAGAATTTAACTCGTCATGTGTGCAGCTGCTGAACACGTGCGGGGGTAGCATGTTTTTTACCACACTACGTATCTATAAGTTGTTGATCTGGGTTATTTGAGTCATTTTGATATGTGAGTATGTCACAGGAGAAGCAAACGCCGATTGTTAGTAACATCAACGAAATTTCGAATTTGCATATAATTAGTCTTTTTAGTTCTTCCACATCCACTTTTGCTGTTCTTGTACTTATAAATATCATCTAGGAAAGCGAAAACAGCAGCTCAAGCACGAGCTGAAAACATGGAGGTGTTGACATGTCAGAGAAAGCATATCATCAAAGTATCATGATCATGATCGTCCCAGGACGTAGAGGTGCGGCAGTCGCAGCTGCGGGGAGGTCGGCGCCCTGTGGAGGCAAACTGATTGATTGGCTGCTTGATCATGGTTTTCTGATGAAGATCGCGACACACTTGCAACACTATAGCAATCTTGGAAAGGAGTCCTCCCTACACGAGGTTGCTGGCCCGCCTTCGGAAACGATGTGGGTCATAGCGCCTAGAAATCGGAAAGCGAGTGCACCTGTGACGCTTCACCCTATTCATCAAGCGCTGTTCGTTCACGCGACGCACTGTAATAAAAACTCGTCGTGCAGCTGCAGTATGCTTCCATGGGTGAAAAAACGAGTGTGAGATGAGAGAGTCCGAGCGAAGTCGACACTTCTAAACATGTTGATTAACGTAAATCAGTGTCATCGTTGTAACAGATCTTCGACAAATTGGTCCCGGAACCAATTAGAAAAAAACAAAATCCTTTTTAGGTGTAGTGGCATCACAACTAGATAAACGCTCACCAGAGGTATTAATTTATGTTCAGCTCGTGATGATAATCGCGCCGTCGTGACTTTTTTCTTGTGTTTTAGTTTTTTTATCATTAAAGTTGAAAAATAAATGTCTTCCGTCTGACGAACAATTCCAATTTATCTTATTGAGGATGAGATAAAATGAGAACAACGAGGTGACGAGTGTGCTGGTACTTTTGTTCTGATATGGTCGCTGTTGTTGCATTCTACTTGAGGTCGCTGTTGTTGACGATAAATTAGTGGCGCGTACAGAAATCCTCTATCCTTGTTCATCGAAATTATATCTTCGTGTCTTATTTGTCTGTGCAGTTGTGATCCACAGACGCAGTGGTTTTGAATTAGCATCTGTGGTCGTGTTGTTTAGCATCATGCGGTGTGCACGTGCAGTATCAAGAACGTAAAGGTGGTAGTGGTGTAAGCAACAAGTACTACAGAGTTGTGCTTCTACTACACTGTCATGTTGGTGTTGTTCGCGTAGGCGCTGTTAGTTTATTTGATGACATCAGACATCAGAAGATGCGATTTATATTGTGACCACGACGACGAGCAGCGCACAAGTGCATATTACTTTCTATATCCTTCCAATTGTAATGGTTTTCGTTTTTGCAAGTCTTATGCTGGATGAGACGACCCAGAATCAAAATATTTCGAGGAAAATCTAGCATGCTACTTCTCGTCATCGGTTCAAAACTACTGCACGAATAACTACCTACAACTACAAGCCGTTACTCAGGCACAACGAGCGCTCTACACAAGGATATCTCCACTCTTAGGTCAAAAGTCAGAAATTTGGTAATACCCTCCGGCACTCGAAGGCCTCCTAAAACAACGCTCTCCCTCTTTCGCAAAGAGCACCTCCAACATAAGTACATAATTGCTCCTTTTGCGCACCACACGTATCTTCAGCATACTAGAATCATGAATACTTCGGGTTCCGATCATTCCCGGTATGATGAAAGTTGCTCTAGTATTGATGTCTCGATGAGAATTACAATCCTCTATTTGGTACGCACATCATCAAGTCGCAATTTCTTGTTGCTCAACACGTCGTCTTCATCACGTTGGTACTGAGTATACACGCTATAGCGGATGAAGTCCTCTACTATGTTCTTGACAGATGAGTAATTCTCGAGTAATTGAGAATCAATGATCTTCTGATTTAGCTTTGACTTCTGCCAGGACAGGAGGTGTGAAATCCGGTATCTTGGCTGCTAGCTGGGGACGACCTATCCCTCTACCTCACTCGCGAACGGTTTGCAAGGAGGAAGGCGGATGTTGCCATTACTCTGGATACCAGGAGTCAGCTTCAAGAACACACTGGTGATTGGTAAGTCATCATTCATCTTTGTGTTTGTTCCTGTAGAGGTCAGGAGCTAGTGCAGCTTCTTTAATCAAATATGACGGAAACGACCTGCTGGGCCTCCGTATTTATAGTATTAAACTGTTGCACAGCTCCTGAGAGTGGACCTGCTAGCACCCGTTCATGCATCACAATAACATCTCGAAAAACCTCCACAAACGCAATAATTCTCATGTCAGAAAGTACTGGCTACAAGTACAAATAATATCTATGATAAGAAATGCAATTTTTGCAACCTTGATACAACTATCTTCAAGAAGAAGAACAACATCATGAATCTGAATGACTCTTCATCATCCTTACTCTTTCTTAGCACGACAAGGAGCTGCCAATAGCGACTAGGATCTGGACACAGTAGGACAGCATGTACCTATGCTGCTATTGTGACAACAATTTTGAAGTCTTGTGTTTGACAAAATTGTTCAATGTAGTTATTTGATGTTCGGTGGAAAGAAAGTAAGTTCTTGATACTGACGGAGTAATTTAATCTTCTACATCCAATTAGTTGTTGATCTTTGTTCTCTAGCCGAGAATATCAACTTCAACATGATTGATTCAAATTGATACTGAGTAAGTAGCAAGCATAATTCGAAGTACTCTCATCTACACCAAAAAAATTCTATGGTCGCATCAAAGAAGAACTCAATCGCCGCTTTCATTTGAAAACGAGTCGACGTGTTGTCAAATTTGCAAGTCTAGTCTTCACTTGTTGTTGATGGTCGAATAATATTGCGGCGACGTCGGCACCAGGAAACGCGAACGCAGAGGCACACGGACGATCTGCGGCGTAACGCAGTGAGTGACCCCTCTAATACATCTTTCAGACGCACGTGACGCAGCAGACAAGAAGGTTTTCGATCTTTTTACAGCTTTTGCCGACTGAGATAGCCGCAAGGACCACGAGCATTCGTGGAGGCCAAATCTGAGCAAAGCGAATCGCAGTGCGTGAAGAACCTTTTCTCACTCAAAGGAAATTTTAACCTGTTTTCTTTCTCACTTTCCAGAACCACGCTAGTGACCTCACAAGATGAAGCACGCATCACCAATTGGAGGAAGAAGTTCGAAAAAAGGTGGTAATAATATGCCTCCACCACCAGGGATTCCGCGAGGTGGATCACGCCGTCACAATCAGAACAATCAGAACAATTCTACTAGTGGGCAACAACACGGTAATCAAAGTAATTACTACAACCAGCACAATGCAGGAGCAACCGGAGGAACAAGTGGCAGCGCGAATAGTCAAAATATGAACAAGAACCACCAGCAGCATCACGGTAGCTCAACAACATCTGGAAAAGATGGAGGTAACTACCAACAGGGTGGCTCAACCAGCAGCACGACTAGAGGCCGCACTGATAGTGCGAATAGTAACGGGAGCTCAGGCTCACAAGGCAAAGGTGGGCATCATCAAGATTGGCACATGCAGCAGGATCATCGATATAATAATGTTAATGCTGGCACGAATATGACTTTCGGTATCCCTCCTCCCATATCGAACAGCGGAACAAGGGCACCAGCAACGATGCCTTTACCCGATCCCTCCCATAACCACCAGATGACTACAAGTAATCAACAACATACTTCTAGTGCGTCAAATACGAATAGCTATCAAAATTATGCTGGTACTACAAGTACTTCCAACACCCTAGCTCCTCCAACATCTGGTGGAGCGATGTCAGCTGCTACACCTGGCACCGCAGGAGGTAGTAGTGGTGGAGCGACAGGAGGTCCAAGTCCGCGGCCTGTTGTGCCCGATGGAGGAAATGAAGCCACTGGAGGAAATGGCACCTCAGGAACAGCGGGAACGGCCTCTTCGAGTAGTGGTGCAGCTGTACCTTCTGCACCAGGTGGCGGTGAGTCATCTTCTTCTTCATCAGGAGGAGCTCCGGTCGGAGGTGTTCAAGGGACGAGTGCCGGTGGCGGAGGATCATCTTCTTCATCTGCTGCTGCTCCTCCAGGGTCGTCCACAGGAAATTATAATAATACGACTGGTTGTACAGGAGGAGCAACATCAACAAGTGCTTCCGCAGCAGGCGGACCATCCGGAACTGCCGCACCATCCGCAACCGGCCTCAACATAACCGCCTACAATAAACCTTCAACTCGCTGGGCCGATCAGGGCTACCAAGTGGGCGATTTCCTGGGCCAAGGAGCTATGGGCACGGTCTTCAAGTGTTTTCGAAATGGACAGACTTATGCTGTGAAGCGAATAGATTTGGCGAAACTGAGACTGAGGAACAACGAACAACGACTGCGACAAAGACTAGTGCGGGAAATCAGCATCTTGCAGACTGTGGGAACCCATCCGAATATTGTTGTTATGAAAGACTGTTGTAGTTAGAGTTGTTCGTGTTCCACCTTCGCCTTGCTAGTTTAGATGATGCAGCTAGTCGTGAAGGTGAATAAAGAGATCGATGTTGAATATAGAAACATCAGTCATCATATCTACAACGTAAGTACTAAAGTTTTCTAATCTTCGTTACGAGGGCTGCTACGACGAGAAGGAGTCCCAGCTGCTGTTCATCGTCCAGGAATACGTTGCTGGCGGCGAATTACTAGCGCAAATCATTGAGCGTTCCTTCTACGATCCAGAGGCCTCCTGGGTGCTCAAGGGCCTCGCAAAAGGTCTCAAGTTTCTTCACGATGTCCACATTGCGCACAGAGATCTAAAACCCGAAAACGTGCTGATCTCTTCATCCGAAGACGTCGGCGGTCACTTAACGCATATGAAATTGCACAATGTGAAGATTGCGGACTTTGGTCTCAGCAAGGAAATCGCGACGGATTCAAATCCCTTACAAAAGTCGAACATATTGGTGTATGAGCAGACGCATCAGAGTTGTGTGGGAACGCCGATGTACGTCGCGCCTGAAGTGTTTGATAAAAGACTAGAGGCCAGCTTTGGTGTCGATATTTGGGCGTGTGGGGTACTAAGATTATCTTTATCACTTTTTGGATCAGGAGCTCGCTGTTTAGAATAAATTAAGATTTGTAGTTGGAGTGGACCGATACATATTTGGGGTTGTAAGAAAACAACTCAAACGGATCAACACAGGTAATTCTCTTTGTGATGCTTGAGGGTAAATTTCCGTTTAAGGAGACGCTGAACACGTCGGAGAGGGACTATGACACAGCATTCGCGCAATTCAAGAAACGACAATCTACACCGGCTCTGCAAGCCCTTCGTGGCATGTTGAAGCAAGATCCGAAGGATCGATGGAGTACTAATTCTTTGGAAGACTTAAGTTTCGTGGTACAGTTGTAGATGAAAATCAGTGCTGCCCAATCATTTTGGTAGTGGACTCATGATTGCTAATTCTTGTGAAAAGACAACATCTTATGTTGTCATTGAGTTTCGTTTTCAGCATCCATTTTCATTCCCTCCATCTTCAGTCAATCTCCATCACATCACAGGTCCACAGCAGATCATCGATTGTGGTTTTTGCCAGATCGCCGAAACTTTCCTCGCAGACATTAGGCAAGGCAGAGACACAGCTTCTGCCTATGCTGTGATCCCATCTCCAGGCGGAGACAGTGGGGCAGAGCATGAGCCGGATATAATTGAGGACATAATCCCAGCAGGGGAAAATCTTGCGGCCACGTATAACACACCAGGATCGTCTGGAGGGACGCCATATAATCATGGAGATTCTGGAGGAGCTGGATGTACTTTTTACTATACTACGACTCTGAAAACCTCAACAACCTCTGTTAAACAATAATAGAAATAGATATAGATACGCTTAATTATTTGTTTTTCTTGTTTACCATTACCATCTGGCTGCACCACATAGATAACGTGCGCAGGCATGGAAACTCTCTTGTTTCTTCAAAGAAATTTGATTACCTCCTCATTCTTTTCCTTTTACCTTCCTCCAACAATCTGAATCTTCAAACACAGCTGCTCACCAACCCCCGGCGCAGCAGCTCGCAGTCGAAACACGGCATACGCCAAAAAATGTACGCGCTTTGTTTGACTCTGTTTCGGGTGAAAACAGTGAAAGCACGGGCAATGTGATGATGATTCCAGCGCCAATCTCCAACGCCGGAGAGCAGCATCAAAGTCCGCAACTCAAGAGGCAGAGAGTGGATCCTCCTGGTGCTCCTGCTCAACCTTCACAAAGAGTGCACAACAACACAACTAGTTCTTACAACAATCAGATGAACCAAGTTCATACTACAAAATATCTTCCAGATCAACACAATGGATGGGCTACTGGAGGTGGTGCATCTTCTTCTTCGACCGGAGGAAAAGGGAACAAACATCACGGTGGAGCACACCAACAACATAACCAGCAAGGTGGTGGTGGGATGTACAATCTGCAACCTGCAGGAGGTGGACAGGGAGGACAAGGTGGTCAACAGTCTGATTACCTGTGGGGAGACTGGAAGTCACAGCAGAGCCAGAGAGTAGGTGTCGGTGGCGTGGCTGTAGGAGATCAGCATAACGCAGGAGGACAACATCACGGAGGAACATCCGGTGCTGGGGGATCTAGTTCCAGTTCATCTAGTGCGGCACCCGGTGCACCAGGACATCATGGAGCGGGTGCTGGAGGACATAATCAGCATGTCGCTGCAGGCTCCGGTCCTTCTGGAGGTGGTAAAGCATTGCAAGCGCAGATGTCACACACTACAAATCAGTGGTCTCAGTGGAACCCTAGCGGAGGTGGAGGAGCTCCTATGATGAACCAAATGAACAACATGAACATGAATAACACAACTGGAGCTGGTACTAGTGTGCCTTCGAGCCAACATGTGTCGCCATTACAAGGACCCGCTGGCGGTGCATCTTCATCTTCTAACGCGCACGGTGGTCCTATGAATCCTCCTAATTTCCATCTTCTACCAATGAACAATAACCAGCAGCAGGGTCCTCACGGAGGTGGTAACAACAATAGCAATAAAGGTCCTGGTGTTGGTGGAGGAAATAACAACATGATGAATATGAATTCCTCCAACAACAACAAGGGCTCCGATAAAAAGGGTAAAGGCAAGAACAAGAAAGGCGACGATCTGAAGAGCAATAAGAGACAGAGGCTCCCCTCAACGGACCAGCATGCAATGCCTTTATCGGAAAGCGAGCAAAATCAACAGCAACAGAGCCAACACATGATGCATCAGCAGCACCAACATTATGAGATTTTTGTTTCGAAACTTTTATTTTAGTGCTTGAGTAGATGGATGAGCATCTACGTTAGATTCGTTGTAGTTGAGAGTGTGATGTACTTGTTACTCAAGTAGGCAACCTCATAGTCGTAAGTAGTCCTACTGCACAGATTACGAAGTCCAACTTTTCTTCTAATCTCCACAGCAACAGCAGATGAACATGAACAATCTGGCGCAGCAGCCGTCCACCGTGAATCGTCCGAGCTGTCACGGCCAGCCGATGGTGATACGAGAGAATCAGCAAAAACGGCAGTTTTGGGGTTGTCATAAGTACCCTCACTGCACCAACACAGAAAACCCGAAGGTTTTTTGTATGTTTTGTTATGGCTCCTGGATTCGTGATTGGTATATTATAAGTACTTGAAACTGAAAGATCATTGTTGGCTATTAAGTAGCACTAGTTGTAGTAGATACGATCATGAATATCAAGAATGAATAATTCACATTGCTAATTCAAACACAAAAAAGTCCTGAAAAACCAACCCGCTCTAATCCCTCGCCACCGAGTGCCGCTTCCGGCGCAAAGCGAATGGCGGTTTTTTCGTCTGTCCGCAGATTCATTGTCGCTTTAAGAAGAGTATCAACGAGACAGCGCCAGTCTGTAAGGAGTGCCAATGCCAATTCATGGAGATTCGACGAAAACAGAGCACCAACGCCAAATTTTGGGGTTGCCTGAACTATCCGTATTGTAAGGGGAGTCGACCTTATAATGGGACACTCTAGTGGTCATAGTAGAAGTTACCGCAGCAGCTGCAGGTGCAGCTGTGGCGGGTGAAGACGCCATTTGTTGGGTCTATTGAAGATGTCAAGCAGGAGAAGACTAATTGAGTGGTCGCATGCTGAGGGGTGGAATGTTTTCATGATGAAATCGATTTCATCATGAGTGGTCATAATTCCAGTTGTATGTCGTGATATCAGCATATCATCTTGGAATAACAATAAGCACCTTATGAAGATAGTACATTATTATGAAGATTACTTAGTGGCTTTCTCGGTATCACGCAATGAGTTGTGATATTATAATTATAATTTCCATTTTGAGATTGGCGTTAGGTGTATTGTCCTCGCAATCTTCGCATAAGTTGTTTTTTTGTTGAAAATCAGAAGCACCAAGTGTGGTGTCATTATAGGTCGCGGGTACGATTAGATACTTACAATTTAGATTCAGCTGAATAACCTAAGCCTTTACCTCCGTACTGAAATTAAATCGCGGCAGCTGGGACGCGAGGGCTTCACTGACGCATTGCCTTTTATCGATTTCATCCACTACCATTCAGACGACGCAGGCTAAACAACTTATAAATTGCTGAATCACAAGAACAAAACCTCCCAGGAGCTAGAAGTAGTCTTCTGGTCGTTTGCCTCCAAGTCCAGACGAACGCTTCCTCTTTCTCCCCAGAGATACCCCTAGCCCGTCCATTATTTTTGTTTTTCCTGTCCATAGCGTGAGAAGTACAACAGTTGTACTACAACTATAGGACTCTAACTTACGACGTGTTCCACAGCTACAACCGATCCTGTGACTGCTCAATAAGAGGGTACTTATTACTTCGCTTGACGAGGGAAGAGCGGTTTTCGAAAAAAAACGAAGGTCGAGGATCAACATATGCATGACGTATCACTGCTGTTTATAGTATAAGATCAGTCTAGGGACCACAGCAGCTGCAACAAGAATACGATGGCCGCAGTAAAGTCTGTGTATCTCCCGGAGATATTTCAATCGGTGCCTGCCCTCAACGAAAAGTTGGGGTACATTACCAGAATTGATCTTCCTCTTCCTGACATGATAACCTTTATCGTCAGACTGTCTGGAGCCATGGCTCCTGAAATCAAGCCAGAAATCTTCTACTCTAATCCGTGAAGATTATGAACGTAAGAACTGACTGAACTTTTACTTTATTTTCAATTGCCTGCTCCACGTCCACGACCAACCAAATAAGTCTCCCTCTCGCATCAAAAAAAACTACCAGCAGGTCTCGATGTCGCTCAGCGCAATTCGAGTTTCAAGCGACGCTTCGGGACATGGAGTCTTCAGGCGCCATAAGCAAGAGAGACGGTGAATACTGGACTTTCACACCTGAAGAAGCAGAAACTGTAAAACAAAAACTTCTTGAAGCGCATGCGGGGTTGTTGCAGGGCTGATGATGACAACATCATGTTGGGGGATGAATATGAAGTCTGAATGCACCATAGATAAAGATAGGTTAACGCAAGATGATATGGTAAACGTAAAGTCCGTAGTTTTGTATTCGTCTTAATTTGATCGTCATCGGGTTCTTGAACCGGTACTAGCATCGAAGATTGAAAGTTCGTTTGTACTACTTGAAGGTGTGCTACTCCTAGGTGAGGCATAGTTGAGTCGCGTGTTGCCTAGTAAAGGCGTTGTCAGATCAGAAGAAATCAGAAAGAGGAGCTTAAAGAACACAGATCAGGAGTGTACCAGTCGGGAGTGTAACTGAACGATCACAACTTCTAAGTTCAAATCTTCTACTCAACCTTGATGATCCATCGTAATGATGGATCGCAGCGATGATGAGCATGGAGATCTAATGTACTTACTAGTTGTTGAGCGAGCTGGATGAAGTACTAGAGCGAAAACTTTGTTTTGTAAATGAATTACAGCAGTGGTTCTTATTAAACTAAATTAAAAGTAGAAGTCGCGCTGTTTCAAAACTAAATGAGTTGTTGTGTTGTGCTAGTGATAGTTCGTGATATTTGTTTTTCTTTCAGCAATTAAGTCCGGCCCTATATTGTAGTGATCTCGTATTGTCCGAAGAAGTTTCGGCTACTCACGAATCTTCCTTCATAGAGAAACAAAATGACCGTACCTTCTACCTCTACGTTGAGGGATAATGATCCCTCGTTTGCTCTCTCTTGGTCTGGAATGACTTACACCGTGGATGCACCAAACAAGACCTCCTCCGATCCCGATGCCGATGAGAAGAATAACACCAAAGACAACAACAAGGACAAGAAGAGGAAGACGATTCTTGACAGTCTTTATGGCCAGTTTCGTAGCGGAGAAGTGGCAGCAGTGATGGGTCCTAGTGGAGCGGGGAAAAGCACGTTGATGAACTTGCTAGCCGGTCGCGTCGATTGGAGAACTGGTGTAGACCAGAGGAAAACGATGGTTCGTCTCGAAATGTTTGAAGACGAGAAAAATATTGACGTCGTGGGAGACGCGGTCGAGGAGGAGATGGGCGACGGCCAGGGCATAGATGAAAATGAGTACCAGTTACAGTTGGAGATGACTGAGCAACCAGAGGTCAACATTGACGATGATGTTGGAGGACAAGTAGAGCCTCTGAATGCAGTAGAAGGAGTTCGAGTCGAGCCTAGTAGTGCTCCTCGTGCTATTACCACTCTTTCTTCTAGAACGCCGACCCCTACATCCAGAAATATAAACATCAACAGCGTGGTTAACAAAAATCGTCATGCCACAAAGAAAAACACCCCAAATAGTACTGTCAGATCTTCACAAACCTTGACCGAGAAAGACCTACGGGATATGATCGGGTTTTTGCCGCAAGACGATGCGCTTTTTCCTTGGCACACAGTGGAGGAAGCACTGATGTTTCGGGCTCGTCTAGCTGCAGTTTCGTGGACAGGCCACTTTGGCGAAAATGGGGATGCAGCTGAAGATGCTGATGTTGAGTGCTATGTAGTAGATGAAAAAGAGAACCAATATTACGATTACACGACTGCTGAGGGAGAAGATATTGCTGGCCCTCCGGACGAGGACTCAGTACTAGACCACAGCAAGAAGATGAATGGACAGCAAGACCGAAAACCCCTCTTAGTCCAGGGCAGACCATCTAGAGCTACCTCAAAGTCGATTCAGTTGAAAAGAGCACGCTCAGCGTCTTCAACTCTGTCCGTCATCCGTAGATCCAGCGACAGCTACAACCAAAATCCCAGAGGAGCTTCGAATGAAAAGAGTATCAAGACACGGGTTGACGAGCTGATAGCACGACTTGGCCTGGAGAAAGCTAGGCATACTCTAGTCGGCGCAGCGAATAATCCGTCATGTTATGAAGAAGACAAAAAAAAGAAATGTTGACATAGTGATTGAGATCGCTATTAGTTTAGTCAAAACTTGTGTGAGTAAGCATCGTGACGAAGCACTATCATGACGCCGCGCGGAAGTCTGCACTGAATAAATCTGTGCGAGATTCATTGTCTTGTATTGTATCTAGCAGGTGTAAGTTGTATATCTTTGCTTTAAATATTGGCGTTCACATTGTTGTTGTTCACTGTCTCTTACTCTTCCTCCTCTAATGATTCCGTGGCGTCTCTGGTGGTGAGCGTAAGCGTGTCGCTGTTGCGTGTGAGTTGCTATCTGGGCCACCAATTTTGTTCCTCGACGAACCCACATCTGGCCTCGACTCGTTGTCTAGTACTGAGTTGATTCGGTATTTGAAGCAATTAGCGCGAGAAGAGAACCGACTCATTGTGTGCACCATTCATCAACCTTCGAGTTACGTTTTCTCCCTGTTCGACCATTGCATTCTGCTCAAGGATGGCCGCATGTTGCTGGAAGGGAAGACGGCTTGTTGTACTACTACTACTACTACTACTACTACAACTGGTGGCGCCAGCATCAATTTTAAGGCTGTTGTACCTAATAGATACATCTTTGGACGCATCCTTGAAACGTATGGAGGAGTAATATCCACTTAAGGGGATAATACTCTCCCATAGTTGTACTTTTCAAGGATGCACTTGAAAGATCATGAATTACGGACAGCTCTAACAATTCATCTAGTGGCCCCAAGAGTTGTAGTTCAACATCAACATCAGTAACTGACGGCCTTGATCTTGTTTGCCGATCAGTGCCAGCTGGATTTAATGCAGCTGATTGGCTTCTTGCGCAAGCAGATGAGATTGCAAGTAGCGAAGAAACCCGGATTTTGGACTTTTCTAGAACTCGATTTTTTTCGAAAAGAGGGATGGTACCAAGAAACACAAGCGAGCCCCAGCTCAACAAGTGTGGAGATAACTTTGAAGATGAAGAAGAGAGTCAATTGATAGAGTACGACAACAAAGCTGGAGGTACACCATCAGGTGGAGTACGAAATGGACCTAGTAATCCCATGCTCCAAGAAGTTTTCTGGCTGTGGCAGCGAGAGTTCTGTGCCTTTCGCAGGAATCGGGCAGCGACTGTCGCACGCTTTGGAACCGTTGTTTTCTTCATCATCTTGTTTATGGCTTGGTAATTATTTGATTTAGTGATCGCAATTTTCTTGTTTGTGGTTGTAGCTTGACAAGACATGATTAGGTGGAAGATGGGTGCCTGTCACTGTCTGCACATAGAAGTACACCTAGAATCTGACATGATTGGCTTTGCCTCTAATGCAAACGGCGTGTTGTTCAGCAACATAGGTCTGGATCACGATAGTTTTTTCCAGAAGATGAGGGACGCAGCAGGACACCAACTTCAAGAGCTACCAGGTAGTAGTGCCTCTGTGGCTACTTCAACAACAACTTCTGGCTCTGCACCTGCAGGTATGAATTTGGCTGGCGGTCAGCAAAATGGTCCGGCAGCGGCAGGTCTAGATGCTGGTGCGAAGAATAAGTTTCTTTCAACATCAGGAGCATCCGCAACCTCGGGGGCAACAATGGCTCCTCCACCTGGTGCAACTACGCCATCGCCATCAGCTCCTGGTGAACAACATCAACAGCAGCAACTTCAAGCTCTTGCGGCAACACAAGCCTTAAAAGATCTGCTCTCTGCGCTTCCGAATATGCTCCGTGGAGAGTCAGGCGCGTTGCAGAGCACTATCATTACCCTCAATTTCCAATGCGCCGCTACGCATATGACGGAGCTCGTAAATTCGCGCGACATCTTCTTACGCGAATACGGCGCTCGACTTTATCGACCGTCGGCATACATTTTGGCCAAGTTTTTGATGGAAGTAACGTCCAACACTTTGCAGATTCTGCTTTACTACCTCGTGCTCTACTTCGTCATGGGACTTCATGGGTACTACGACTGCATCATCTATCTGCTTTTGATTTCTAGCTTAGCAACTGAAACTTCCGCTTCGTTGGAATTTATATAGGATGTGCGATTTCCAGCAAAGTAGATTAGGATAAACTTCTACTTACATCCACTCACACTACAACAGGGATTTCTTCGTGTTGTGTCTCTCTGGTCTCTGCTTGATGCTGGCTTCCTCTTCGCTGGCTCTTTTTGTCAGCTCTGTGGTGAAGAGTGCGGAGATTGCTACGGTCTTACAGCCTTTGCTGTTTGTGCCGCAGATCTACTTGTCCGGTCAAGTGGTACCTATTGGACAGGTGCATCCTTATGTCAGATGGACTAGATTCCTGATGCCATTAGCCTTCGCCACAGATATTTCAACGACTGAGAATTTCCGAACTTTCGAGACGAAGTTGGATGCGGAAATTTCGAGACAAGAAGAAGCCATAAAAAATGCGAATGTGGTTGTAGCGCAACAGCAGGGCACGGCACAACAACCACTACCACTCCCAGGCGCAGACAATATCAATGCGCCCTCTGGTTCTGCTGCAGGAAATGCAAGTCCTTACCTGGCTTCTAATTTGGCCTTGTTGCATCAGATTCGCGAGACAGCTCAAAGGTGTCTCGGTGTACCTGAACGTTTCCCAGGTGGAGCCTATTTGGATGTGAGTATGCTTCTAGTCACCTTCGTCGTCTTTCGCATTGCGGCTGTGTGGGGACTGCATTACAATGGGAGATACTTGTAGTGCTAGTAGCTTTTGTCTTCTCTTCTAAGACTCAGTAAAAACATAAGTTGAAATTTCTTATAATCTAAGTTAAAGGCAGAGTTGCTCCTTCTCGTACCCCACACTAGCGAGGAAACCTTCACCTTCATCTTCCTAGAAAGAAAAGAATTAAGACCTCACTTAATCCATCTCTATTTAGCCCATCTCTGAGCTGTTTTCAGGTAGAAAAGCGGAGGCAGATGATGGAAGAGATGGATTGTAGTCAGTTCTAAAAGAATCGACAGAAAACATATATATAATGAAGGAAAGAAGCGACATAAACGTGGCCGCAAGGATCAACTTCAACATAAACCACCTCCACCTTTACTTCTTTTGCTTTTAGAACCTCTCTTATACTCGTTCAATACCTCCAAGAAATAAATCACGACGACACATGGCGACTTTTCGATTTCGACACTATAGCCAACTAATCCTCTTTTTTGACACATAGACTCATACGACATGACACATACTCATACAACAGTCCTAGTCCTTGTCGAAAGGCTATCAATCATCGTGATTGCATTCCATGGACGCCGTTCGGCTTTCCCACCAGTTCCGTAATAATCATTCGACAGTCCCTGTTAAATTTGTACAACTTGTCCTCGCCCTCCTCAACTTAATACCTGATCATCATGAGTATGAGTTTGATATTGATGACGCTCTTGCTCTCAACTACATCACTGGCCTACGCACGAGTGCGATTGCGCTCGTGATTTGGGCGACGTGAGAAAATTGGCGGAAAGAAGAGGCTCTTTGCGGAGGCGGTCCTATCTTCACTAAAAAGTGCTTACGTATTAAAATATCATCTCCGACGTCCTCGAGGAAGTATTCCTACTTCTGTCCTCGGTCGAATAAAAGCTAAAGCATTAAGTACAAAATCGGTACCACTACATTCTTCTTCTAGAAGATTCATGCAGATGGATATCGGTACTTAAACTCCATCGGATATATTTTGATGAAAAAATATGATATTCGGTATGAAAGAGAGACTTCAGTTGCACCTCCAGCACCACCCTCTGCACCCTTTAGAACGACTCCACAAAGGTTTATGCTTAAGTAACGCGCGTCTTTATGTTGAGAAATTGAGAAGCACTACAACAACATCTTCTACATGCTCAACAACTAGTAGTCTAGTCCTCCATCGTACTCAATTTCTGCGCACGAGACCGATCAGGGCAGAATCAAATGGGCGTTCATCTTGGTGGGCCCTCGTCTACCTCTTCTTTGCTCAGCACGACCATGTCGCTGTTTGGCAGGAGAGGTGTCTCCCAGGAGGAAAGTTTCTTCGCCTATTTTTGCATGAAAAAAGCATCCAAGCCGCCCTCGATTCACATCCCAGAAGCAGGACCTGCATCTCCCGCAACCTCAAGCTCAACGCCTCTTCAAGGACAGCGACACCGCCTCAGCACGAGCACCAGATCATCATCGTTTATCGACGTAAATGATCCTGCAATGATGACTGAAGATCCTGGCGAATCTGGAGATGACTCTTCCATCTCGGACACGGTCCCGATACCTGGTGATCCAACGGCGATTTTGAAACAAACTATGACCAAAATGAGAGAACTCTGGATGGAAGAGGATGCGACGGCTGCTGAGGAGAACGGAGATGTAGAGGATGGAGTGGAAGAGGCTGCGCAAACAATGGGAGGTGGGAAAAAGGATCAAATTTTCCCTAAGAATGCCGTGGATGCTTTTGTTATGATGGTCACCCTTATAGAAAGTACGTAGAACATCATTATAGAGCACTTCTCTGAGGCACGCACCGGCTTCGGCCGCCTTAGATGAGAAGACCTCCAGGGCAGTTGGACGACAGACGGCGCCTAGAATAAACGGGCCCGATACTAGATGGCCAATTTTTTGCTAGTCCTAGTAATATATACACCTCTTCCTTTTTTCTATCTTTCCTAGGTAGGTTGGCTACACCACAAATTATAGAGACACAAACTCTCATTGTTTGCTCAGCTCTATCTAAAACATCAAGAAAATATTAATATTATTAATTGATCTCACCTCAAATAGCTCCTCCACGTGACGCTGCTCAACCTGTACATCCACTTCAAGAATAGGGTTAGTAATGAAGCACGTAATTATTATTATTAATTGATGTTGTTCCTCCAGGACGACGTCCGCCGAGGCCGACCGCCATGTCGTCACCTTCATCTAATCAAAGCAAGCTTTTCTCAGGAAACGTTGCACCTTTGATCACGAAGACGGTGCAAACTGCAGGTGCTGGCGCCAGACAAACTGCGTCCGCTGTAGCAAGGGAGGCGAGAGAAACACTGGAGGATGTGCGGAAAAACGTAGAATCAGGAGAACAAGGTTTCTGGGACACGTACGACGACTTGAGCGAAGTGGGGGAAAAGATTATGGTGTTACTGTTGTAGAAGTCGCAGCTTCTAGTAGGCTCTATAATCATAGGTGGAATTGGAAACTCTAACTCCATTATATTGATCTCGTCTACTTGTTGTAGTAGAAAAGGTCGTAATATACAAAGCAGTGTAGTAGTAATTGTTGTCCAGCCTACTGCTATTTCCAGATCGTCGAGTTCAATCACGGTTCTTTGTGAGTACACTAACGCGGTTTTCGTCCCCCAGCTCCACGTCCTCGTCTAATTCACGTGGTAGTCTTTCCGGTATGCTCGGTAGCTTGGCCAAGAAGGGCGTGAGCAAAGCCATGCTCGGCAAAGAGGCTGACATCAAGTATGAAATGGATAAAGCAGGCCACAAATTGAAGACAGCGACAGGAGAAGCAATCAATCGTTTTGGACAAGTGCCGGTTATTGGTGGACTTGCAATGGGAGCCGCAGGCAAAATTTCTGGAAGCGAAATCGGTGGCGACTTGTTAGGTCAATTGCAACAAGGAGACCTTCTAGCTCGCGCCTCCAAGGAGTTCAAAGCCCAACTAGCGCCGTTGACGAGTGCGAAAGCGAATCAGAATTATGCTAGAAAAAGTCCAGGACCACGTCCATTTCAGCTTTTTTAGTAATTTACTATTTAAAAAAAAAGGTTCTCGTCCTCATCCACCTCCAGATTGTTGATGTATCGTTGTCATAATCATGAATCGTTCCCTCTTCTAACGCCTATTCCACGAGCAGACAGAGGAGTTGAAAAAGCAAGCGCATGGAGCGACGGAGGACCTTTTAAAGCACATCGACAAACGCATCGTCTTGACGGAAGCGCGCGTGAAACGCTACGTACAACAAACTGAGGACTCTTTAACCAAGCGTCCAGAAGGCTTGATCCCTGAACTGCAAGACATGATGAAAGATCTCGCAAAACAGAAGAAACGCTACGAAAAGCAGTTTTCAAAGTTATTTGGAGCAGGCACGGCGGCTCGTCGTCTCCTTGGCGTGGTGCTAGCTGGCGTCATCAGCTACGCAGCTGTCCGAGCATTAAAGGCGGTTTTCGTTCGGCTCATCGCACTTCGCACAAACCCATTGGAGAACATTGAGGGCCGTCTGCGCCGTTTGCCAGAACACGTGAAAACCCAGAGAATATCGGAATGGCTCAACACGTATGCCGATGAGCCAAGTCCCGTTAGTTACAATCCGACAACCGGCGTGTACAAAAGCAGCATCGATACGATCGATGGGTGGGCACAGGAGGCGACGGAAGAGCGGGATAAGGCAAGGAAAATCTACCACTTGGGAACGGAAGTTTTAAACGACGTGAAAGCGGACCGAGAACGAGCAGATAAAGCGCTGAAGATTAAGAATTTGGAACTAGATTCGTTGTAATTCTTGTACTAAAGATTGATCTCTACCTGCGTTAGATCCTCGTAACCCTAAGGCGAAGTCTCTTAAACTTCTCATTCTCATTCATCACCACCACCTCCTCTAAACCCACCTAACTAACGATCTTACCCTAACCCGAACCACCCTAAATAAAAAGGGCTCTAATCTCAGAGTGATTGATGCCAGTTTGCGTCTCCAGGACTTGAAAGACGTACAAAAACGGTTGCGATGGACTTTGCCTTTGAACCAGTTTTGTACTGGAACCGAAGACATGCAGCATTTGGCCAGTGGAGACTTCTCTGGCACCAAGGTGAAACCTTTGCCAGGCAAACTGACCTTCTGTGAGGAAGCGACGCGAATGTTTCCGGCTACAAAGGCCTTTGCCGGTTCTTCCGGAGGTCTTGTTAATATGCTTGGCAATGCACAGGATTTCTCTGCGCCTTTGCTTTTGGGAAGATAAGAGAATAATAGATAATAGATAAAAACGTTGTGAATAAAGACGAGCAGTAGAAGCTGTTTATATGCAACTTTGAAGCTATTTTTTTTTGTCCATGATCTAGAAACTAGATGAAATAGGTCAGACGGTTGCGGTTCTACAGCAACAAGATTGTGTTCTCCTACAACTTCTTTAAACAGAGAGACGAGAGTGTGCTGCAGCGTGGTTTTACAAGTTTTGTACGAGGAGAAGGAATCCGACGAGAACGTCTTTCTTGACATAGATTGATGTAGCAGGCGCATCAGATGATAGCCGATTCTTATCGTGCATGCTCGCTTCGGTAAAAGATCTATTGAACATCAACATCATAACCGTCGTAAAGATATACTATACCCACTTTTGGTGTAGATGCACGACATTTTCCTCCTTCATTCCCTCACTTTACAGAAAAAAATGGTCTCCAACTAGGTACGCCTGTGTAATTATAGATGTTTGAGTTTGTCCCCAAGCCCAGCGCAACACAACCTAGATTTTTCCACTTTCTTATCTTTGATTGTGTGTTTTTGTGTATTTGATAGGTTCCGTTTTTGTTTTAGTCTGGAATTGTGGAGCGGCTTTTCTTGCTCCTGTGTAGGGATGTACGCGGAGAACCCATATTTAATATTGACTTGATTATTCCTAGAAATAGCGAAACGCTTTATTTTTGCCTATGATGTGATCATCAACAAACAAACAAACATTCAACATATAATCTGAAGTGTCTTGTTGTCTAAAACGACCTACAAAATCATGTCCGATCATTCCTCTTCGATTATGTCGCGTTTCCAACCCTTAACGACCACCCTGGTCGGGCCTCTTGCTCGTTACCTCGGACTTCTTCCGCCAGACGATGCTCAGCAAGAAGGTTTTTGGGGTTCCCGCAATGCCAACATCCACTTTTGTGAACCTGCCTATGTCCGTTCACCCTATATTGCAGAGTTCTGGAATACGCTGACGAACTTGTTTCCTCTCTTGCTGGGGATATTTGGTATGATTTGGACAGCGAGGATGCGGGAGAAATCGAGGGTGACGTCAGATAAGATTGCTAGTCGTGCGTCAAAGGTGACAGCAAGTGAAGGCAAGAATCAATCGTCTACTGCTGCTGCATCGACCACATCAATCATGTCAACAGGTGGAGTACCTGGAAGGAGCGCTGAAGGTTTCTCCACGCCGGTGAAAGAAGCTCCTTCTGCCACCAGAAGATCTAGGGAACAAGTACAAGAAGAAACGCGTGCCACAACTACAACCAGCTCGACAGGACGAAGAAAACCAGACAGTTCTTCATCGTGGAGCATGTCCAACACGTCTGTGGTCAAGAAGTTTTTGACTTTGCCGTCAGCTCTCACGGGCTCTCCTACGTTGTCCGATGCCAAACCGAGACGTCCTTCTTCCTGGCGACTCTCCTCAATGTTTTCGTCACCCTTCTCCGGAGGAGCTGCTAATAAAGACGCCGTCGTGTCGCCGCCGAATACTCCACCTCGATCACCGGTTGATAATAAAGACCCCGTCGTGTCGCCGCCGAATACTCCACCTCGGTCACCGGTTGATCAACGAGTACAAACAGACACCGCTCTTCAAAGTTCTTCGTGTGGCGAGAGCTCAGTTGAAGAGGATGAAGACGAGATGGAAATCCTTTCCATGCTAGGCGAGGATGTGGACTGCTCCGCTCTTCTCATGTCGTCCTCCAGTGTGCGAAATCAGCTTGATGTAGATGGAGCTATCACGACATCTACTTCTACTTCTACAGTAATAAAAATCCCCTCGCTGCGAACATGCGACAAGGCCTACTGCCTTTGCCAAGCGTCCTGGGTCAGCTTCATGTTGATGGGCATCGGAAGCGGGCTCTTCCACGCCACGCAGTCCTTCTGGGCCGAACTGTGCGACGAGCTCGGCTTGAATCTCATGCTCGTTTGTTTCCTAGCCAGCCAAGTGGATAGCACGCCACCTCTACGGACGCCTGGCGGTCGCCGTTTTGCACTAGTCTACAATCCGATTGTCGTCCTCATCTGCGTCCTGATCTACCTGTCCACGAATGCGCACGCATTTTTCACCTTCTACTTCACAGTTCAAGTCGCCGTCTGTGGATACTGCATGTTCGCGAGTGCTGACATCCGGAATGCGCGTAGACTGGAAGCTCTTCTCTTGGTCCTCGGACTCGTCGGTCGCGGCGCGTGGGAGCCGGAGATGTGGCTCTGTCGAGGCGATTACTACGCGTATTACGTACCAGAGGTGAGGCCAGTGATTGACCCTCTGGAATTGTACAAGGACGTCGGGATTTTGGATGAAGCGAACGCGAAGGTGAACATGCAGATCGGCACTACAGCTAAAAATGGTGGAGCTCTTTCTGCGTTCACGACTGGATCGTCTTCTAGCACTGTTGTTCTTGATGGAGGTCAACAAAATGATCAGGAACAAGAGTTGAATCTGATCATTGCATCTACTGACTCTCCAAGCACACAGATGAAAAGTGAGTGGTCGATAGGAGAACTCGCATCAGAGAGAGGAACAGCATCATCGTCTGCTACAAACCTCATGTGGCCGTTTAGCACTCTATGGATCGACCTCTTATCCGCCACAACAGCCAAGGGGGAAAACAATTTCTCATCGAAACTCAGATCTTACCTCATTTCTCCTTCCTATATCCTATCAGCAATGTGGTCACCACCTACGCCGTCATCACCTACGCCTATCTCTATTCCATCCCGCTCTTCTACAACCGTTGAGCACAGTGAAAGTAGCACTGGTACTTCATCCTCAAGTACTAGAACATCATCTTTAATATCTGTTTCGTCAACAACGAGAACGACGGATGAACATCTTCCTCTTTCGACAACAAGAACCATGTCCACGACCTCACCACAACTACCTTATGAGTTGGATTTTATCATATGGGGCCATTGGATTTTTCACCTGTTGATGTACACATTGTTCGCCGTTTCCATGGTCTATTCGGTGAAGAGCAGAGAATTCGCTGCCCGTGTATCCTTGAAACGACCCGATTTACTGCCGATCCTAGAGAAGCGTTCACAATCGAAGTTTGTCGTGCGAGTGGGCAGCTTCCTAGAACGCCAAGTCATTATCCGTGCATGGAATTTCGGGAGACTGATGTTTCAAAAGTTCGAAGAAGGACGTTGTAAGAATCAATGAAGTAAGGTTCTAAGTATGTTGTCACGCGTTTTGAAGCGAATTCGTTTAAATGATTTCTCGTGGTCTTGTCCTCCCATTTATACTTGTTTTTATGTTCTTCATGATTCCTTACTCTTACTTATACTTTAGGAAGCGCTCGAGAGTAATTGATTTTTGTTAAGTATGGAAATTAATGAAGACTCATTAATCCACTATCAAGTAGAACTTCCGCATTCTACATAGCAAATAATAAAAACAGAAACACGCACGAGTTGCGGCAAGAGCGATCTTTTGTGTACTTGATAATGTGTTATATCCTTCCTGTGGTGCTCCAACGAAGTACTGCAGCATTGTTACTCAGTTGTGTAAATATTTTCCCACCGTTAACCTCTAGGCGCTCATCATCTCGCCAAGTGGTCAATACTCTGACTCATATTCTAACACTGACTTCTGACATTGACGAGACATCTTATCGTCATACTACATAAATCCACGACCAGAAGGCATCATAATATTCCAAAACGTACCTATGATTTTCCAGCACGCAGCGTTCTATGTAGTGCTGTTTATTCTTTGAAATTATGGAAGACGTGATGATCATTCTGCTTCAAATTCTAATGAAAGAACCAAATGAACACATCAACATCATAAGTACTAGATTCTAGTAATTAGTATTTACATGTGTATAATCATCTCAATAACTCCTGTGTTACTATCTTTGTGGTCCGGCTACATAGTACTTCCTCCAGCATTCATGTTTTTGTACTTAAGTTCTTGTGTTTGTGACATATGCTTGTATAGTTTTTTGGATTCCCAATTCAATATCGAAAGAAAGCACTTCCATCTTAGTCACTAGCTATAGAATTTCTAGATCATATTACCTTCCATGATGAGCATTAGCATGATATATAACGAGCATGAGCGTGATCTCGAAGCGTAGAAGAAGCAAGAGGGCAGTTCTGCTCTTCCTCTACTTCCCTGAATATCCACCACCATGATTATGATGAACATTGATGATCTGGTATGATTTCCTTTTTCATTTTTACTCTCACACTGAAAGAATGAGGATGAGCCCGTTTATCCAGCTAATGCGAAAGAAGTACCCGGGATCATCGGATGAGTAACGAACGCGCATATTGATGTTCTTCTGAGAAGAATAATGCATCGGTTACGGTAGTTAGCTGGCTGATAGATTTAGGTAACAAGTAGCAAAAGAGCTTCAACATGATCAAAAAGCAAAACTTCATTATTTTTTAATACTAACTTTTAGTATGTAGACGGGCGGGAAGAGTAATCAAAGATTGGGACGGCGACAGACCAGTCACAACAAATACGAAATGACTACAACAAACGAAAATGCCAGTCAACAACAAGAACAGCCTGCTCCTCGAAAATGGACACTCTACCCTTCAACAAGCAGCGACTCCGTGGACGGAAACAAGAACTCAGCACCCACCGATTCCAAAGCACACCCACATGTCACCGTAACGAATTTAGGTGCTCGTGTTGTTGATCTGTTTGTTCCGGATGGTGTGGGAAATTTGATAGATGTAGTGCTAGGGTTCGACGATTTAGGCGACTACGCGAACCCAGCTAAAGGCGGTACCTATTTCGGCGCGACCTGTGGCCGATTTGCTAACCGGATCGCGCAAGCAAAATACACAGACCCAGACACGAAAAATGAGATTACTTTGTCGGTACTATAATACTTTGAAAAATTTTTGATACCTCGTAGTTGATCATGTCCTCATCGAGTTTCCGACGTTATAAGAACTATTAAATCAGCACCTAGTCTCACGGAGTGCAAATGAAATTCTGATTGTTCTTTCAACACTGAAGATTATAGTGAACAATTATTATTATTAATTTATACTAATACTCCTGAACAATCAACGTATAGTACCTCAGTGCAACGAAACAAAGCGCGGAGGACATCTCCATGGCGGTTTTGCTGGTCTGAACGCACGGATATTTGATGTAGTGGAGGAAAGGCCAGATTCGATCACTTTTCGCTACCTCTCTCCAGATGGCGAGGAGGGATACCCTGGAGAGCTGGACTTAAGAGTGACCTATCGGTTTCTTAGGGCGTCTGCATCGACGGCTAACCAAAAAGAGGATAAAAATGAGCTGCAGGACGTCGCAGGACCTCTATCTTAAGGACCACAAGTGAGAGGATGATCATGATAAGTATGTGAATGTGCTCTGGTTGGAAGATGTGGCAAGAACCTCCGTACAAAAAAAAATGTTGTCTCTTCCAGCTCTAATCTCTCCTCTCCGTCTCCTACCACGCCACCGTTCGCCACGCCGTCACTCCTCTGAATTTGACGAACCACTGCTTTTTCAACCTACACGGTGACCACTCAAAAAGTGTGCTTGACCACTCTCTTCAGTTCGTTCGTGGAAGTGCGGAAACATACCTACCAGTCGACGAAAATTTGATTCCCTTGAAGCACAAAGAACCGGTTGATGGAGGACCCTTCGACTTTCGAGAAAGAAGGACACTGTATCCGTATCAACCTGGAAGTTCATCTGAACAAGAACAAGAAGCTTCTGCGAAACCTAAATCTCTATTTCCAGAAAATGGCTATGACCATTGCTTCGTTTTGAGGAGTGGAACAAGTAGGCGTGGGGAAGACTATTCTTCTTGTACAACTAGTGCGTCTGTGTCTAATGCTAATGGCACTCCTCAGGAAATGAGTAATGCAGCGAAGATGATATCACCTTCAGCTAGTGGTACTACACAAGAACAATTAGTACATCATGTCTTGACACTAGCTAACCCGGCTAATGCGGTGTCACTGGAGGTGCATACGACTGAGCCAGGGTTACAACTGTACACGGGCAACTATCTTAGCAATGTGGTTGGGAAGAAAGGTGTAATTTCTGACAAGTTCTGTGGCGTCTGCCTCGAAACCCAAAGGTTTCCAGATTGCGTGAATAGCGAAGCAGAACTAGGCTGTAACGGTTTTCTGCGACCAGGAGAAGTTTTCCAAAGTGAAACTATTTTCCGGTTTTTCAGGAAAATGAGTACTTCGCTAAAATAATTCTGAGACAACTGCAAGATTTTTAGTGGAGGTGATGCGGAGGAAGTGCAGAGATGATTGGGATAGCCACCCATCAACTTCGAGTACTACCTCGAGCATTCTGCTGGTGGTCGTGTTGATTGATCAACACACATGCTTCAATGTTGATCAATCATAATTTTCTTGAGGACGATATTAGCATTGGCTTTGTGCTGAGGACTCATTTTGCGCATTGTCCTCGTGCTCGTCATTCTGAAGTCTCATTTTCCTTCTAGACACAGATTTTAGACGCCTCATTTGCCAAGCACCACATCAATGTATCGAGATCAATGACAATGACCTAATCACGATTTTTTCTGACTACGCTATCAAGTCGTATCACAAAGTAAGAAACAACAGCATTTGCTGCTTTTGAGCGGGTGTTCGACTGATTGCTCAACATGCTACTCTTCGATGAAGTCTCACAGAATCGACAGTCCAATAGCGATGAAGAGTATCTCTACTACTGGACCGTCGTTTGTTTCACACGTCGTAGTTCTTGTTTTGTTATTGTTTCTTGCTGGCTCGTAGTGGTCAATGTTTTTTTTGTCTTAAGAAACGTGTAGCATAATATGCTCTTGAAGCTTCTTTCTCTTCTTCAAAAATAGACATACAACACATCATACATCTCATATTCACCTGAAAAAGGCTATCAAAAACATAAAAATGGCTTCATCTTCGTCGAGTACTAGTGGTTTGCCTTCGTCTTCGAGTCACAAGTGCGACGTGAACACTGAGGACTTTCAAATGGGAGGAACTGAGGAAGAGGCGCATCCGGCTAAGCGTCGCAAGAGGACATCAGGCACGAACTTTATCAACAATATGCGGAACCTAGTGGAACAGAGGAAGCAAACTGGTGCTGATGTCGGCGAAGTTGTGCGGACTCTGTGGCAGATGTATGTTGAGCATGGCCAGGCTCAGCCGCAACACGATACCAAAAGTGGCACTGGTAATGAGTATCCTACAGCTGAAGAATTCCATCTGTCGTTTATTAGCAAGGTGTTCGACTACTTCAAGAAGAGCGACCACGCAAAGACGACAACCACGCAAACGTTATGGCTTTGGTTCGCTACATCGGGCTCGGTGCACCTTTCTCCTTTTTTCTTGGAATTCATTGATGCGACTAGCACTGAAGCTAATGTTTGTTCCTTTTTTTCTATATGTGACGAGTAGCTCAAAGACAAATGACAAATAAAGTGAACATTTTCTCACGGCTCTAATGTGTTACACGATGCCCCCGCCTGCACCCTCCGGAGCAGTGGGATTTTTATCTTCCTCCTCCTCTAGTTGTGCGCCACACCCACAACAGCTACATCCGATGGGCGGGCCACCTTCTGGCCTTTCTGGGTTTGTACCCTTCCAACAACATCATGCAGCGCCAATCGTCTCTCAGTCAGCTTTTTCACATAGTTATTTTATGCAAGAAGGGGTTCCGAATACGTCGCCAGGAGAAGATGCCTTCATACTTCCTCCACCAACAAGTGTTCAGGGTGGAGGTGAAGCAGAACAACAATTACTATCCATATCTCAACACTCTCAGCCAGCAAGAGGAGACTCTTCGTCTGGCCCACTAAGCCGCCCCAGCCTCGTTGAAGGCGACATGTCCGCAGAGCCTGCTTCTGAACCTCAGGGTGCTTCTCCAGGACAAGAACTAAGGCTAGGAACTACAATGAGCGACAGCGGTTGATTTTGGTAGTGATGCTCACGGTATAAGTAATCATCTAGACCATTTTTTATATTTTCTGTCCTTCAATCAGCATCTTCTACTTGATCTCTCGCTAGAAGTACTCTGCCTGGTTGCTCTGAAGACGACGAACTAGTTGATGTAACTGTAACTCAAGTTATTTGAAGCGCTTGCTTCTGCCTTTAGCCTGTCACTACTCCTACTGCAATATTTTCAAAAACAATCACAATCACAATCGCAAACCTCATCTAAGACTAAATCTAGATGCAGCCCAGCAGGGCCCGTCGCAGAGCTCCTCAGCTTTGAGTCTTGAACCGTTGCCCAAATACGCAGACTTTCCACGGTATTACGAGAAGAGCAGTTACGGCTGGACGATGTAAGTATATCTATATCTTGTTATAATTGACCACTGGTGTTGTTGATGTTGAAAAGTAAAATTCAACTGGTCAATAACAAGATATACGTGGAACAATTTATTTCCTCCGACTGCTGGCCCTGGCACAGCTCATTTTGGTCTTGGAACTCCGAAAGTCGTGATGAAAGACTTAAGTAGTCGTTGCCTTCGCAGCGGCCTACCGTATGGGTATGTATCATCATCATCATTAGAATATAAGTTGTTCTGCAGTATCCACTGTGTTGAATAATTTTCAGGAGCTACTACAACTGCAATAAACTCTTCTTCTAATCAAACAGAAAAGATCAGAAGATGGAGGTGCTGAAGGCCGCGAAGAGCGCGATCTACAACCTGCATGAGAAAGCGATGGACTCGGGCTTGTACTATTATATTCTGTACAATTACACACGCGAGCCTGGGAATGACCAATGCAGCTACTGCGATTGGAAGAAGACTCTACCAGAAGAAATACAAAACGTCGCTAGCGAAAACGGACGGCGCGCATATTATGTTGGACTTCGTTGGGGTTGGTATAGCAGAGTAGTATATAGCACGCATGGCGCATGGAGTAGCATGGAGCGCAGAGCTTTAAGGGACGCAAGAAGCTCCCCCTTTAGCTCCATGCTCCTCCATGTGATCCATGCACTCCATGCCATGCGAGCTGTGAAACCTTGTAAATTGCTCTGGTATAAGTAGTTGCATCGACTGGCTTTGTAGCAGCAGTTGTTTCGTGGTCTACTTGCCAGCAGGTGGCTTATACGGTAAACGCTGCTATTTCTTTTCACTTAAGTACCCCTTTCTTCATACGTGGTGATGTGTGCCGGCAGTTGCAGTGACATTAGTAGTAAAATCTGTAGTATCCAATTGAGAGCATGAGCCTGTTCGGTCCCTGTTGAGATTGGAGGTCGTAAGCAGTCTAGTGTTAATAGAAGTAGCATGATTCGTCGTCGTAGTTTTGTTATTTACTTCTTCTAAGATAACAGTGACGATTTTTATGGGCTCCTCTCAACAGTCCATAATGCGATAAAGCACGTGAACCAGAAGACCCCCGAAGGGCAACTCGTCCATGCGTACCCAAAATCGCTTTCGTGGCTGAAGGAGTTCGCGCGTATGGTTTGTGAATATTTCAATTACTTCAAGATGAATGACAGCTTTAATGTGTACTACAGGAGGAACAGGACCGATAAATATTATAGCGTAGCCGATGAACCCAACGACCTTTAATCTTCTTCACTCTCTTGAATGATGCGCAAGAGTGTCAACCGTCTCCTTCTTTATATTTGAATTCTTGATCATGCTCTTGGTCATCCGTTTCCGTTCATGAAAGAGAAGAAAAAACCTGAGTGGAAACCATCGTCGCATGAGCTCGATGATTGCGCTGCGCATATCGTCTTTTATCTCGTACACGAACAGCCTGACTTCATACAGGAGGTCGTGAGGGTGTCGAACGAGTGCCACCGCATTCAAGAGCGAGAAAGGGAACGGGAGACAAACAAAGCCATATCTTACGAGCTTCGTGAGGTTTTACTTTAAATCTTTCCAAAAATTTATCATGACGTAGTAGAAGTTACTTGTTGATTTTTCAGGACTAATACTAATTCATCTTGTTTTATTTACTACTACTAGAGCTCCTGCTCTTCTGGACTACTTGGACTGACATCTTGTTGTTCTTGTCCCCTCAATTATGTCCCGGACGCTTGCTTGCTCATTTGGCCGTTTGGTAAAGTGGGCGCGGATAATGGCTACAGCGAGCTTCACAGATGGGTAAAGATGGGAAGTGTTTCCAAGGTCGAAGCGTGTATCAAAGCCGGAATCGACCTCACGTGGAGAAATGGGTATCAAGAGACGGCTTTGGAGACAGCCCAATTCTTGGCTCGTAGGTACCCTGTCAGCACCGATGTGCCTGCGAATAAAGAAGAAGAACACGAAGAAGAGGACCGTCGCTATGCAGAGAGCATAGTGAAAATTGTGAAGCTGCTTGAAGATGCCCATGCAGCTGAACATCAATAGAAGCGTGAGCGCCCGGCGTCATGAGAAGATGCGTGCAGTACGTGAGTGGGCATCAAGGTACTAGTAAAAACTCACTTTTGGTTACGCTTATCATAAAGAAGAAGCATGATATTGCCGATCAAATTTACTTCTAGTATTTGCATTTCTTCACTCAACTACGAATATTCCGCGACAAGAAGAATACCAGGACTTTTGTTTTTACAAACCTTGCCAGGTGTAGAAGTAGTACGTCTCCGGATTTTCAGAGATACAAGCTTGCATGTTTTACCTGAGCCGCATGGAGAATGAGGAGGAAATAGAATAATTCATTGCGGAGTCAGTCTTAACAGACGTTGAAGAAAGTTGTTGATGTGTGCTCCTTCTTGACGTGGTAAATGTAATGGAGAAGAGTTGTGGTAGTGGTCTAGATATTACCTGAGGTTGAGTTTTTCTTTTTTAGCGTTCCGATATGATGTGGAGGTACCATAATTCTTGACGTTCTTACAGTCTATGCCTATCTATATTAACTTGGATTGCTGCTCTCCCTGTTAGGAATTTCATACTAGTAGATTCCATATCCTTAGATGTGTATGTGACTTGATGATCTTCATTTGGATTCAATGTTTTGGTATTGTCAGTGCTGAAGATGTGCATGGTTAGAAGTGTGGTTCGCAAGTAGGTCGACGTCTGATGTTCCTTTGTACATACAACAACTTCCATGCAGTCAATTGTTCACATATCATGATATGAATCTTCCGTAGTGGAAGTGGTCTCTACTCGCAGTACTGGTTTCCCCGTTGTACATGGAGAATTCCAACATGTACCAATTCCTCAAGAACTACATATTTTCTCGTCATATAATTTTGAACAAGAACGAAAGACTTCATCTCGTACTTATAACACTAGGCTCGTACGTGGTGGATGTGGAATTCAATCGTTCTTGTACTTGTTATTCAGGCCGTCCTTGATAACTTCTCAGTTCCAATTGTGAACGAAAGATGAACCGTCTTAGCACGGTCATCATCACCCCGCCATGAAAGTTGAATCATAGAGCTCGGCATCGGTATCTATCATAGTTCTTTGTATCAGATTAATTTTTCTAGCTTCTTGCATCTGATGGAGCATCTTCGTTAGCGAGTCCCTCGTATTCTAAGAAAATCTCGTCCACATTATATTCGTTGTAGCCCCGACGAGACGAAGACTATGAAGAAAATCCCATGATTGAATATCTTCCATATTAAAGAGTACATTCCTTAGCCCCATCACAACTGTTCCTTCCCAAGATAAAGCCATGAAATTCTAGCAACATGTATGAACGCGGACGTCGTTGTGACTTTTTCAACGAATATTCATACTGCATCACATCACATCAGCGGCTTGAGAGGATCATGAGCTCGCCCCCATCCCCTCGCACTAGACAGCGCCGCCCGTAAGTGCAGCGGCATGATCGAAAGGGGGGGAGCGTCCCATCGCTCTACCTCGCCGGTCCTTTTATCTCCCGCCCGGTTGTGGCTATCAGGCATAAGGTAGACCCTTGGGGAGGCGTATCCCACCCGGTTCCTGTTTTTCTTTTTGGATATTTTTTGGCGATTGCGGAAGGCGATCGAAAATGCTCGGGGTGAAGCTTGAAGACCCTACTTCAGTGTCGACTCACCAATACGCTTTTATAGCTGGCGAAAGACTAGAGATTCTTCGCGGGCCGACTTGCCCTAGTTAATTTAGTGGCGCCGCGCTTCATGCCGTGTGTCCATTCATGCGTCACTCACATGATCACCTAATTTAGCTGAGGCCAGACCATGGGTCTAGGGTATCTCGTGTCCAAATCGCAGGGTGAGCGCTGTTTGCTCAGGGTAAATCAGATAGACCAGGTAGACGCGTTCGGTCTTCCAGAGCGATTGCCGCCGTGCTTGGTCGTTTGCGTAGTCTCAGCTCAGGTGCCTGGCTGTCGTGCTTCAGCCTTCTCGCGGGGAAGGATATGCGAGAATAGTAGACCCAGGTAAAAACAGGAAAAAAGTGAACGCGAGGGGGTCTATTTAGATTAGTGGCTCCGCTTTTTTCGCCGTGAGTTCACCCGCGTATCATCCGCGTGATCATTTAGAGTTTGCAGAGGTCTCCCCACTCATCTCGCGTGTCACGTGTTCGATTCTCCGGGTGTGTAGTGTTGTGTTTTCGGGGTACATCAGTTAGTGTCCGTCATGGTTCTTTTTTGACGCCGTGGGTTGTTCATAGCGGTTGCTGTCGTGCTTAACCGGTTGCGTATTTTTAGTGCCTGGCCGCCGTGCTTCAGGCTTTCCGCTGGGTAGCTGAATGTTCGTAGTGCGGGAATTCGTAGACCCAGGTAACAAAAAATCGCGGAGGCCTCCTGACTGACTGCCGGTGTGAATAGCTGAATGAAGTGGTCAAAAACCGACATGAACTAGGACGATTAACGAGTCTAAAGTTGTCACAAGAAGAGAGGGAAGTGAAGAAGAGTGACACGAAGAACATCGGTTTCGGTCATGGTGTAGTAGCCAACTATGTCTCCTAGTTTTTCTAGTGGGCCCACACCTAATCTAACCAATAACTCCAGAAGACACCAGATTCAGATTATTCAATGCGCTGATCAAGTAGTCTCTAACTCAATCGTGCTTTCTCGGTCTAGGGCTCTATCATTGGTTTTGATGATGCAAGGGTCACTCGGTAATGAGAGAAACCGGTCGGTGGCTACTCAGTTCTTTGTGCAATGCTCGAAAACCGCTCCCTCAGGTGATTTATTAGGTCCAAGCCCTTGAACACCAACACTGCTAAACGTGTTTGCATGAAGCGCCTGACGCTGACCTAGAGACATCATAATAACACCACAAGATTTCCACTGAGCAACATCATGTTGACCATATACGTAAAAATTTAGATCTATTAGCGATTTATTGTTGTTCTATTTCTAGGAGTGGTTGTGGAAGTACCACTTCTACTAGAAGATTGAGGTAACGAAGATGTTGACATCCAAGCAAAATGTGATTTTCGATGTGGTTCGTCATGCTGCGCGCTCCCTCGAGTACAACTTGAATGCGTATGAAAACGCCAAGCGCGAAAATTCCAAAACCTTCCAGTCTCTTCTCAAAGAGTTGGAGCAGATCGTTGCGAAGACCGCGACGCAGCAACCTGCTAAGCCAAACGGAGCAGCCGACGACCCACCAGATTTGAGCGAAGAGTTTTTGAGAAGATGGAAAAAAATGCTTCGGATGGAACTGGTTGATAGGGAAGTGGATGGCTCCAACACTGGTGCCAGCACCGAAGATCACGAAGTAGACTCGCCTCCTGCATTAGACCGATACAGGAAGAGGATGTCGCGACCCGATGTCAGGGCAGAAGATTTTGCAGAACAGGCTGAGTGGAGTAGAGAAGGGATTGGTGATGCAGTGCGTAGTATAGGAAGTGTCTTGCGGTTGGATGGTGAGGAAACATTTCTGTAGCTCTACGATAGCAACAAGGACACGATCACGTTCACGAGACTAGAGTTGTTTTATCGTGCCGATCTAAGCGTAATGTCTGCTTCCGACTTTGTCTGTCGTCGGTTCTTGTGAGGATTTTTTGATCTCCTGACATTGAAGTTCAACATAAGTGTTCTTTGTGTATGTCGAGAAGAAAATAGTTTAAGCGTCCTGTTTCGATGAACATTGCCATGCTGTTTGTTCATAGACGAGAGCGACGAGGGAACCGAAAATCTGCCACATAAAGTGTCATCTGAGGAGTGAAAGTAGTGCCGTTTGTTCTACATTCTTGTTTGTTCGACATTCTTTAGTTTTTTTGAGCAATTGAAAAACGAAAAATGAGAGAATAGACATGAAGCAAATAGTGTGCTTCACCACGACAGAAAAACTACAATTCCAATCATTCAGTGAAAAATGTTAGATTTTTGTCGTTTTGCTTTTGCTGCTTTCTTTTTCAATGAATTCTTTTTTATCCCCAAACGCGGTCAGTCCCCACAAACTTCTATGTAGTCGTGTGGTGCTATTTAGGTCGAAGTAGAACTGGTTGGGAAATGCTTTCATTTTTGGATTATTTGTTGATGTTCCTTCATGATCTCGTTGGTTGATTTATATCGGTGGTGTTGTTGAAGTTGATGCCGTTCGTTGCAATTTAGATGTGTCTCTATCCAAGAACAACATGATCGAATTCGAATCGCCCTGACGACCACACGACAGTGTTGAAGACACGACGCGAGGATAAAGATCGTGATATCTGCCGAAAACGACCAAAGATAAACGGGATCACGACTCTGAGACCATGAGCGGGGGTAGCAACGCCAACAACAAACAAGTGATGAAGCAGGACAGTAAGGATCGACCGCTGCTAAACACATCACCAGCGGACTTGAGCGATAGTGAGGGCGCGTGTTTTCTGTGCCTAGAAGGAGACCTCAGAGGTGACCCACTGGCCAAATGCTGCACAAGGTATTATTCACTAGTATACTTCACCTTGTTCAGAGTGAAAATTTACTTAAGTACATTTCCGTTTGGTCCCCAAAATAAGATATTATCTATCAATGTGAAGAATGATCTTCAGTTAAATTTCTCATGTTCCAACAACTACAACTTCCCAGTTGTACAACTAATTCTTTCAACATCAAAATCTTGTTCCACTTCCACCACCACTTCTAGGTGCAACGCCCTCACCCACCAGCGATGTTGGCACGAGTATCGGTATAATCAGCGCGTGGCCAGTTTGAGGTCACGGATGCTCAGAGAGTCGCTTCCCAGAAGTCAGATGGTTTGCTCCATATGCAAGACTGGTGAAGCAAAGCTAGCAAGGGAAGATGCGGGGCAACTCCGCAGTTGGATGTTTCTAAGTGACGAAAGGGATAGACAGCAAGAACTCCCAGATTTCAACGATGAGTCGCAGGATTTGGTGGATGTTGGAGGTACTAATTATTGTCAAATGCCATGATCAAATCCAAATATTGAAGATGAAGTCGTCTCTAACTTACTCTATCGACCTATATAAAAACTCTATCGACCTATATAAAAACTCTATTGACCAAAGGAAAAACCACCCAATCTACTCAAAACAGCTTCGATCTGCAATTTCAAGCTCGTCCTGTGCAACTTACTTCTTCTCGTCGTCTGCGGAACTATCACTGCGCTCATCTTTGCCCACTCTCGCAATGGCTACAGTGGAGATTATCTGATGACGAGTGTCGTAGTCGCCTACGAGTCCATCCTTGTGCAAGTAGTCGCCCTCTTTGTCTACACGCGGAGACGAGAAAGATTGCAAGCGATGCAACAAAGGAGATTGCCTGGTGGATTGCCAACATGAGTTCCACCTGCTGACCACGAAAAGCATCATGGTTGCCGAAGTCCTAGCGGAGGAGAAGATGGAACAAGCTCTACTTGCTGATCGGAGTGTTCAACATCATGAATTGTTGTTCTTGGACAACGAGGCAAGGACAGTGTGGCGCACGACAAACATTTGATTTATCACTACGATGAAGATCACCGCGGGAAAGAACATACAACTAGTCTACTACAACGTACTTAATACCACGTGGAAATGGAATATTGGATTTCGAACGAGTACCATCTCCATTTGCTACTTGTGCTAGTCGTAGCAAGGTTACGCAGGAGAACGAGAAGAAAATCGGCTCAATGCTAGACTGGAAACCGAAACAAGGGGACCAACATCTAGGGATGATAGCAGTACTTTATTTGGACAAGAAGAAGGAGATTAGCTGAGTTTGGCTGTCGCGGCAGCTGGCTGCTCATGAGTATGCACGAGCGTGAAAACTGGTACTCTTCCGTCGAAGAGTCAAGAACACCAAGCCCTCGCAGGCTGGCGGTGCGAACTTCTGAGGAGTGGTCACGACGCTGGTGCGGATTTATTCATCTTGATGTGAATAAATGGGTCTCAAGAAAAGTAAATGAACCTAAAATGTAAAGATCTAGAAGAAGTGTTGATGTGGATATTGTTATTGAAACCAAGATGCTTCACTACATTCAGACATTGAAAGTACACAACGATTCAGATATTGAAACCAAACATGCGCCAAGAACGATCGGCCCCATTCTACTCTAAGGACATCAAATATGAAAGTCGCAGCCCGCTCCTGTCGCATCTCTCCCCCCATTGAGTTCTTGTTATTGTGGAATGAATATGAAAATGAAGTGAAGAAGGGAATTATACAGATATTATCACACAGAGGAGGAGGACATCACGATCACATACGCACTTCCTTCTACTTATAAATAATAAAGGTGACGACGATCCTTGTTGATGTCATAATCGTTGTCTCTCGCAGCTCTTCTCCATTATGATAATAGTTAGTACCCACAGGCACAATCATATTTTGATAGTACCCACAGTCATTGTAACAAACAGATTGGCAGAACAAGAACCTACTGAAGATCGTGTTCCGGTAGAAGATGATATTGGAATTACCAACATCTCAAGATTTCAAGAGAACATCCACAAGAGAATTTGATGGCTCACAACAAGAAAACGTGATTTGGTCTCCGTCTCGTGACGGGGATGCGTCATTCATTACCATGGAACAGCGTGTAGTGTTCGTCGTGCAACTCGTAATATTACTAGGGGCCATGCTTCCTTCACGAAGCTATTTATGCTAGAAGATGGAACTTGTCAGTGTTAGGGTTGGTATCACCAGTGCCAGATCTGCGAGCCGCGATTTCAATGCTACCTCCAAAGAAGTCAGGTTTGCTGTCGATGTGAGGCCTATGAAGGTAGTTTGTCTTTTCGATGTCGATCAGAAAGAGAAAGAGGGACAAGAACATAAGTTCTATTTTCAGTTCTGATCTTAATCTTAAATTTCTTTGAAAAACTACAACCACAACTGATACAAGAACATACAAGAAGGCACAACCGATTTCTATTTCATTTTCAAGAATATAAATTATCCATTGAGAAAGAGAAAGATTAAAACGATGAGCAGTGCTTCTAAGGTCGTTCTTAGGCATCAAGAGCATGCTAAGTCTCGCTCTCGGCAGGAACAAGCGAGGGGAAAACTTGTGCAAGAGCAAGGCAAGCTTCTCCCTGGTAACGAGATGGGGCGTGCGCGTGCTCAGCCTCAATCTAAGTCACCGCAATATGAAAAACGTTCTGACGGACCTCGTCGAGGAACATCTTCTCACGCATCCCAGCACAGCACACGAGCTCACCAAGGCCAACAAGGCGTGATCAAAGGTATGGTTAAAGTAAAGCAGGCTGCTGTCGTTCGTGCCGCAGTTGCCCCGGCTCGTGCTGGTGTTGTAAGAAGTACAACGCGACGTGGAGGAGGCTTCGAACTTGAGAAGGAAGACGAGAAGAACCAAAAGAAGAAAGCTACGACCTATCCACCTCCAATTGAACGGCCCAAGATGAACAATAAGAACTACAGCAACAACAAAAGCAGTGGCCAAGTAGGAAGTATAGACATGACCTGTTGGGATTTGCTGAAGAAGGGCTTCTGTCCACGTGACCGCTGCAAGTGGAATCATGTTGGCGTTGTACCTGAGGTCTCGAGGGAAGTAGCGAAGTTAAGATGAAACTGTAATATGTATAACTTCTTAACTTTTCAATTATGAAGAGGGAAGGCTATAATTTTTGCAGAAGATGTTGTAGAATAAAAAATTTTCAAAGATGAGTTGGTTTTTAGGCTCCTCTATGATTTTTAGTATTTTTTGCTCTAAGAACTAGGAACAAGGAAGCGTGGGAGCGGAATCGCACATCTGCTCAGTATCCACGCAAGCACTGGGAAATTGTTGACAGCAACAAGAATAACCAGTCGTCTTCTACATCATCGGGAGCAGCGTATTCAACTACAAGAGGAGGTAAAGACAAGGGGAAAGATGCAACAAAAGCTAAAGATTCTGCGTCTTGTTCTGGATCCTCTTCTACCCAAAAGAAGAATGATGGTGTCGTGCACCAGAAGAGTTGTCCTAGAACAAGTACTGAAATAAACACGAAGCCCGAAGCACAAGGACTACCAGGTACTAGGAAGAAAAGATCCACAGGACTTGTATCTGGCGAAGTAGTAGAGAGGTCATCTTCTACAGGAGCATCGGACGAGGCTGATCTTGAAAAACAGTTACTGATACGAGAACGGACAAACGCAGCCGCGATGAAACAAATGGAACAAATTTCGAAGAAAACACAGCACCAGGGGAAGAAACGCCAGCTCGTGGTGGTCGAGCACCAGAAACAAGATGTTCTAAATGCTGTAGACGATGCAATCGGAGCTTTCAATGGCGAGGACATTCCAATGAGTCATGATGAGCAAAGTGGAGGGCTTTTCCAAGAACTACAAGATGAAGATAGTTTTTTCCAAAATGACGGACAACACCAAGAGCAGCAACCTTATTCTAACTGCTTCGACGAAATTCCTGGCGATTCTCTGTCTCCTCCAAATATCAATTTTTTTGAACAACTTGGTGAAGCAGAACACGATGAAGCAGAACACGATGAAGCTCGTCATCTTCATGGACAAGATGTTGTTGTTGGGGATAATCCGATGAACACAATCTACGAAGACAAGTGCGGCGCTGCGCCATTCATCGATCATCATGCTCAGGAAATGGATGTGATTAAGGCTGCAGCTCTACTGCTTCTTCATCGCGTTGATCTTGTTATTTAATAAGTGAATTATACGCTTATACAACTCTTACGCTACGTCGTGACAAGCCTAGGTTCTTGATGTTCTATAGCACCAGCTATGACGCCCTTATGGCAGTCTGCACTGAACTTTGTGCGAGATCAATTGTATTGTATTGCATTGCCCACTACGGGTGCTGCTCATGACATAAGAATCTTGGTCATCCAACTCGGTCAGAAAGTCGAAGTCCATCTTCATCTGCTAGGTAAATGAATGAATGAATGAATCTTCTCTTCCATATTATCATCTGAGTACTAGACTTCTAATTACATAGTTGTACCAGATAGCGACGACGAGGACGACATCAAGGGCAACAACTGCAACGACCCTTTTTTCTCGGTCAACATTCCACCCAGTGAGATGGACGGCGATGTGGAATTGTCCACTGTCGGTGGCATGTCCACTATTGCGGGACAGAGTCCTTCCTCTAGACTCCAAGATGGAAAAGGTGCAAAAATTGTTGGGGACTCTAGACTCCAAGATACAACGACTAAGAATGGAAAAGGTGGTGCAAAAATTGTTGGAGGTACAACTTCTATTACATTTGCAGCTCCTCCTACTTCTAACAACAAGCAAGAGACAAGCGAGCGTACAGCTAAGGGTCGTGATCATACTACTACAACTGGAGCAGGTGCTACTTCTGGTAAAAGCTATACATTTAAACAGGATCTTCAGGGTCGTGGTACAACTACTCCTGCTCCGACTTCTACTGGAGGCACTTCTGCAAGAACAGGTGCAGCTACTTCTGCACAAAATAAAGTGACCTCCTCCACCAACATCAACGAGAAGAACGAAGACAAAATTTGTCAGGCTTCATCTACGGTTTTACCTCCACCTTCGGTTGAGAAAGCTGGAGGACACGGCAAAGGAGCAAAGGATAAAAGTACTCAGGTCGTAGGACGAGCAAAAGGTCTTGAGATGAAGATGAAAGGTGGAACTACAAATGCAGCTACCAGCACCACGACTACTTCGCTCAACAAAAGCGGAATGCCCATGACAGCACGACCGGCAGCGTGTAATACAACCAACAAGAATTTCTTCAGTAGTGCTCCTGCTACTTATAACAAGAACTACACCAACAAGATGAATAGTGCTGCTCCTGCAGGAGGAGGAGGTAAAGGTGGAAACTATACCTCCGCTCCTGGTCCTCCTGGCCCCTATTCTTATAACAACTACCAGAACAGCTACCATGATAATTGGAGCTCTTCTAAGGGAAAAGGAAAATGGAAACCCTGGAGACCGGTTCTTGGACCTAATGTTAAGGCTCGTCGACCTAATTAAGTATGCTAATCATGTTAGCGTTAGGTTTTATAACTAGTAAACACCGTCTCGTGGTCGCCGTTACTAATCTAGTGGTCTGGTAAGAGCGCCGTGAGCGCGAGACGTGTGAGGCGATACTAGGGTCGCGCGCGAACATGATAATAATAAGTCTAGTCCTAAGTCCTTTCATCACCTTCTTTCCTTCTTAGGATTCTCCAGAAATGAAGGCAACAAGAATAAGTGAGTTCTTGAACTATTTTCTCGAGCGCTAATAACGGCGAAGGAGCAGACTATCCTTACTGCTGGGACTTCGTCAATACGGGTACGTGCAAGAGAGGTGATCGATGTAAGTGGCTACACGAGATGCCGTTGATGGCCATCTGAAGTGGTGTAACACGAGATGCCGTTTGATATCTAAATCACATGGCTATACACGAGAATATGCCTTTGTATATCTGAAATGAAGTGCGTGGAAGAGGATGCCAATCTATGAAAAAATAGAGAGAAGAAAAGGTTGTAGCTATAGTTCTTACGGATCATTCGGCTATATTAAAGTGTACAACTTTTTAATTAACGACCTCCACCTATATGTATGAGGAACGACAACGGCCACGTAGCCGAGGACATCATCTTTTTCATAAAGAACAACATAAATCTATTTCTATGTATAATATGGTAGAAAATATGAGCATGGATCTTCTAGCGGGAAGTGGCGCTTACAGACCCGGATGTACTTGTACCACTTACACTTAAACTTATATCCTATGATGAAGACGAAGATGAACACCCCCCCCCAGCACGCAGCAACAATAATACAGAATAGAGAAACGAAGTAGAGAAACAAGACTGGAAAATTTGTTGCCGTCTTGACTACGTCTTCAGCTCATCTCCTGCAGAAGCGGACTGCTCAAGCATGTTTTCTTGATATCCATGTCGACCCCTGCCCTCTTCTGATGTATTAATGTGTCTCTTTGCCCAAGCGCACCATTCCCAAGAATGACTCCAGAGAATCAGTTTTCCCAGAAAGTTGTCGGAAAATGCTGAAAGACTTATAAAATCTGCGTCCTTAATATGGGCGGCTTACGCGTTCCTTCTTGTGGCACCCTATGGAACAAAGAAAAACTTGAGACAGTCTCCTGTTTTTATCTGTGCTCGTAGTCGTGCTGGTCACACGATCAACAACAACTCCAACGTGAACAAAAGAGTGAGAAAAAGCACGATCTTATTCTCCTCTTGCATCTGATCTCATTCGTCCGGTGTAGCAAGAACGCCAGTAGACCAGTTGGATCTCAACAAGTCATGTGAAGCCGGTGATGATGCGCTGCCATATTAACGACATGATCTTCTTGAGATTCCGCACGAATACAACCTCTGCCTTTACTACTAACATGACAGCTACTGTAATTCTAGGTGGTCGGTCGTCTATGAACTGTCTGTCTTCTATGAAAAAAGAGCTTTTCAATCATGGATTTTTGTCATCTGCTTGCAATTACAATCATGAATCTATCAACTAGAACTTCTACTTCACTACAAGAACTTTCGTGCTGGGTTATCGCTATTTTTTCAGTTATCATGGTAATGGTTGCAGAAAAAGTAAGTAGTAGCAGCTCCTGAGTCAGAGCCTGACAAGCACAATACCACGACAACATGAAAAGTTTCATAATACTTGCGCTTCTTCATCACGAAAAATTTGTCACAGGTTCCATCGGTTTCCACATGATAGTCTCTCTCTTGAAGATCTACGTGTATTCACTATGTCTATCTGTGGCTACAGCAACTTGTTCTACGTGCGAGTTATTAATAAGTTCAAGAAGAGTCTAGTCTACATCTAATGAGTAAAGTGTACCTCTAATGTTACTGTCCGTTGATGTGGCTTTGTTGAGTTAGCATGTCCTCAATTATAATATCAAGGACATCGACACGCACGCACCTCCTCGCTTTTTATCATTCCATACTATTTCTTTTGCGCCGTCGCTCCTGATCGATGAAGTTTTAAGAGTCTACATTTACTAGATTTTTAGAAATCTTAAAACAATAAGAGCATAAAAGATGGCTTCGTCTGCTGACGTGACGGTCAATTCCCGCGGAGGGAAGATCAATCTGCATGGTGATACGTTGGAGATAACGCCACTTGGTAGTGGGAATGAGGTCGGACGATCCTGCGTTGTCATGTCCTTCAATTAAGGCCATTTTTTATTGTAAAAATGGACGAGTACGAGATCATTAATTATATTAGATCACAACTTCTGTTCCATTTCCAACATGAAGATATTTCAGGCATTGTATGGTTCTGGTATTTGGTAACCTGAATTTGATCCTAAGGGTTCTCTTCTTGTTTTCCCTTATGATCAAACTCAGGTTACCAAATACCGGAACCATTCAGGCATAACTGTTCTTTTCTCGCAGCTGCAGCAAAGCTTAGTTCGTCCCAATCTTTCTCTCGCAGTTGGGGCGAATTAAGCTTTGCAGCGAATCATCATAGAGTCCGCCTCTTTCTGCCTCCCTTTTCCTACGTTTTCAATGCGGAACCTAGTAAGGGCGGGGTGGCCCCTGGTAACAACCAAAAGAAATATTTCTCTCGCAGCTGCGAATCATCATGATCTTCTCACTACAACTACAAGTACAGCTTTGCTCTAATCCAAGGGCAAGACCGTCATGTTCGATTGCGGCGTACATCCAGGTCTCACTGGAATGGCACAACTTCCGTACTTCGACAAGCTTACGGAAATGGGCAAGAAGGTCGATCTCGCACTCATTACGCACTTCCATATGGATCACAGTGGCGCAGTGCCATATTTCGTCACGAGAACGGAGTTTAAAGGTATTCATCTCAAATACTTGTTTTCATTACAACAAGAAGATGAAGAAGGACGGAGTGAGCTTATCAGATAAAGGTACTGTGAAGTTGAAGTAAGTACAAGCAGGTGAAGTAGTAATACTAGGTAGATGTTGATGAACAAGGTGAATCATCTGAAAGAGAGCGAGCGGGAGGCGAGAACTTGCATGACTCCTCCGACAATCGCTAAATATAAAGACTGTCACTCTCCCACTACTTCTCAGGTAGAATTTTTATGACGCACCCGACAAAGAGCATTTGCAAGATGCTCTGGCAGGATCATTCGAAAATAAACAAGATCAACAACGAAGATATGATCTACACTTTCCGGGACATAGAGAAGAGTTGTCAAAAGATTGAGTTGATAGACCTACACCAACAGATCGACGTCGATGGCATGAGGGTGACCTGCTACGCGGCAGGACACGTATTAGGAGCTGCGATGTTTTTAGTGGAAATTGGAGGTACTACTTCTTCTATTTTGATTCTTGTTAGAAGAACTGGTCTCTATCTTGATTGTTAGAAGTACTACTTCTATCGTGATTGTTCGAAGATGTTGAACTAGTGTATGTGTATGTAGTTGATGTACTAGTACCGGCTAGGATTCCGATGTAATGATCTTCTCTAGGCATTTCTTTTCCTTTTCAGGTGCTTTCTTTTCCTTTTCAGTCTAGTACAATACTTCATCCACACCAGGAATCCGTGTCCTCTACACCGGAGACTATTCCCGTGAGGAGGATCGGCATTTGATGCCTGCAGAGATCCCGCCAATGCGGGTGCATGTTCTGATTGTAGAAAGCACATACGGCACGCAGTCGCATGAGGATCGAAAAGTGCGGGAGACGCGATTCTTGGCTAAAGTGGTATCAGTGGTAAAGGGCGGTGGGAAAGTGCTGCTTCCAAGTTTTGCACTCGGGCGGGCGCAAGAGCTGCTTTTGATGTTGGAGGAGCACTGGGCCAAAACGCCTGAATTACAGAACGTGCCCATTTTTACGGCTATATCAATCGTGCTCAAGAACAATTTTTTCAATTACAATTTATTATAGATACATCGATCAGTGACAGTCGTGACTACACCTAGTACAGTGTGGGAGTGGGGTTCAATCGAGGAGGCAATCATGATCAACTCCTGAAGACTTTTCGTTCGCGTTCCAAGAATGAATTATACTAGACCACGTCACGGTGAGCGTGACTTTACAAACTCTAACCTCTACTACAATTCGTGTCAAGAATGAATTATACTATAGACCACGTCACGGTGAGCGTGAGAGAAACTCTAATCTCTACTACAATTCTCCCATGGCTCTGAAGTGCTCTAGGATATTCGAAACGTTTACGAACTTAGCTCGCGGAGCGGATGTTGGAGGTGGGAACCCGTGGAACCTCAAATACGTCAAGAGTTTTGGAACTGAGCACCGCGAAAAGACCGTGGAAGTGATCAACAACAGACACCCTTGTGTCGTACTGGCAGCACCGGGTATTCAACATTCAAATTCTTGAAGAAATAGCAATTTAAGTGGTTTTTAAATATAAATTTAATAAGTACTTATCTTCATATCATTTTGTTTTTGTTGTATGTAGTCGATGATGATGATGATGATGATGATGATTATTTGATCCACCCAATTGACATTCGTCCACTTGCTTCTAGCTCACTTACGCAGAATTCCTTTCGACAAGTACTCACGAGCAACTTCTTTTACAACCATAGGTATGCTCCAGAATGGATTTAGTCGTGAACTTTTTGAACTGTGGGCTCCCGGACGAGAAAACGCCGTAATCATGACCGGCTACAGCGTTGACGGAACTATAGCAAAAGATTTGGAGAAGCAGCCGGACCAGCTTTCTCTGCCTGATGGTCGAATCATCCACGTCCGCTGCACTATAGACAACATCTCTTTTTCTGCTCACAGCGACTACACCCAGACGAGCGACTTCATACGGGAAATCAAGACCAACCATGTGATCCTAGTCCACGGAGAAGAGACGAACATGACGAGAATGCGAAATAAGCTGAGGACAGACCATGGTGACAACTTGAAGATTTATACCCCAGCTAACACCCAAAGCGTAGCCATCACATTCAAACCAGACTTGGGTGTCACAATCGCTGGAAAACTCGCAGCCGAAGTAGCGGACACTGGAGATGCTCGAGAAGAGTCGGCCGAAGGGGATCCCTCACCCGGCGCAAAGAGACAGAAAACGGGACCTTATGAGTGTGGTTTCTATTTTCCGTATTCTTTGTCACTTTACCTATAATACCTCCTCCTGTCATATTCTTGGCATTCATGGTAGTGATAAGAGATTCACATGATTCTTGTTTTCTGTCTGCGTTACGATTACATCAAGAAGTTGTGTACTGATGTGTTTGATGTGAAGAAGATGTTCATCTTTGCTTTGTACTACTCATAGGTACTAAGCTACCTACCCTTTCTAGAAATACTACAACAGAGTTACAGTTCTTGTTGTGAACTACGACCAAAAGTGAGGTTAGGTCTTGCTTTTGTCTGAAAATGACTAGTAAACAAGAGGACGCTCTTCTTCTTCCAATTTTCTTCTCCACTAGTACTAAGAATGTTCAGCGGCCTTACAACTAGTACCCCTCCCCACTCTAAGGAGCGACATCCTCGACTTTCGGAAGCTCCTCGAGTTCATCGAAAAAACTCATTAGCGGTATCTTGGTAGAAGATGCCTATGGACAGCGAAGCCTTATTTCGCCTCAGGAGTTGAGCACTTTCACCAAACTGGAAGTTGCGAGCTTTGAGCAGACACAAAATTATGCAACTGCTAACACAAGTTCAAGTGCACTGATACAAGTAGAAGCAGTAGAGCTGCGTCTAACACAAGTTGTAGAAATATTAGAAGTTGTAGGAGACCTGCAGTTGCAAACACAAGAAGCTCAAGTAGAAATAGTAGAAGTTGACAAGAAAATAGAGATGTTGTTGAGGGTGGTTGTTGTTAACACAAGTAGTGGAAGTAGACGTAGAAGATAGAGGTTATAACAAAGTTAATACTAGAGATGGCTGTGATTGAGATCATTGTATAATTTATTAGACGTAATTCAATTTCATATTTTACTATCCTCAGAGTCGAGCCAGGTGCCGGGGGGCTTCGATGTGCAGGATTCACAATACTAGAGATGGTTGTGATTACGAATGAGATCATTGTATAATTGATTAGTCGTAATTCAATTTCATATTTCACTATTTGCTTTCCCTTTGCGGAGTACGACAACTATCTGCTCTAATGCATGTTTGCCTTCAATCAAAGACTTGACCTCTTAGCGAAGGCAATTGAGGGCATCTATCAGGATGTCTGCTTAGCCGGTGAGGATGAGATGATAGTCCAAAGTTGCGTCAGGATAAAGCTCAAAAATCAGGTACTAGTATTTTGTTCAACATTCTACTGTAGTCCTCACTCTCCTGTGTCATTCTACTGTAGTCATTCTACTGTAGTCCTCAGTCTCCTGTATTTTTATGGCTTGAAGATGATAGGATAAGAATGAGATATCGTCAATATCGACGTCAACCTCCTGTTCTTGCGATTTATAGCTAGAAGACCTCCATCTTTCATCCACACTAAAAACTTGTTTATACGGTGGAAGACAGACATTTAAATTTTGTATATAATACGGTAGAAATCTTATTTCTCCTTCATTCACACACATTCACACTCTCGATCTCAACCTCTATTATCCGACTACAACTCTTGATAATGTTATATTTGATAATTGAGAGCTAGGATGCGGGGGTTGCTCGACGTGCAGGATTCACAACGTAACCTAGCCTAACCTAACCTAACCTAACCTAACCTAACCTAACCTAACCTAACCATAATTCACATATTTAACAACCTCCACCACTACCTCCAGATCCTGGAGCTCTCGTGGTTAGCATCACCAATGGCGGACATGGTCGCGGATTCCATCGTACTAGTGGCCCTGGAGATCACGCGGTCACCGATAGCAGTCCAAGCACTTAGTGCCCAGTTAACCGACGCCCTTGAGAATCGGTCTTCGATCAGCGGTCTCTCCGACAGTGTGGAAAGAAAACTTATGAGGACGATCATAGGACACACATAGACATTGAATGGAAAAGATATTGGTAGTAGAGGAGGTGGTGGTACTTGGAAATAGTAGAGGTCGTTACTTCAAGGAAAGGTAGAGGTCCCACTTCTAGAACTTCGCCTCCTTCGATTATTCCAAGTTGTACACTTCGAGAACTTGTTCATCTCTAATTTTTTTTTCCATGTGTGGACGAGTTACTTGCAGCAAAGTCACGGAGACCACGTGAAGTGGGATGAGGAGACCAGAAGTGTCCAGTTCGAGGTGGATGATGCTGCAGTTCTAGTCGATTTCCCCAATCGACAAGTGGAAGTCATCTTAAGGCTGGACTAACAGTGAATGAGGAAAACGGGCATCTATACGCATAATCTATTTGAGCCCTTTGTGGCTTGGAATTGATTCAATTCGTGCTACTATGACCTATTAGTTTGAGCCGTTCGATCTTGATGCGATCATCAATTTCTATACCTATCCTATCTTATCCTATCAAGAATGCTTGTTCCACTTCCAGTTGAAAATTTAAACGCGTTTTCATCTCTCGGTATCCGATTCTTCATCTCTAGAAGTGCTTCTCTAATGCACAATGCGCCTGACGAAGGAAGGAAAAAGTCCATAGCCGACGACGTACTGCAAAGTCTGCAGCGATGCGAGGTGGCCCTGAAGCCAGTTCCGAAATTGTAGTAGTCCAATCTACTTGTCATTTATACTGCTTCTCTAAAGCCTAAGCCACCAGTGCCGAAATTGTAGTAGTCCAAGCTACTTCGAAATTTTAGTAGTCCACCAATCCCCTTGTCAGTTATACAACTAAGTACTTCGACTTCCTACTGTCGCGGTTGCAGAAGAAGCTGCTTCGAATTCCTACTGTCGCGGTTTTGATTGTAGTCCTCTTCCCACGACGACGCCAGGACCAGTTATATACTGCTACGTACAACTTTCCTCGTGTCAACCTCGACAGTGCTCGTCCCTGTGACCCTTGTTCTTCAGTCCTTCTTCGACAGTAGCATTAGTACACTACTGTCGAGGTCATGGCTAGTTCTTAGACTCTGCAAGCACAACCACGAATTCTTAGACTCCACAACCACAACCGCGACGTGGCTAGTCTTTTCGCTGCAGCACATTGCATTATATTTAAGGCTCAGCTTTCAATGGTCATTGGGGTTGGTCACTGAGATCGAAGAAGCGACCCCTTTAGAGAACAGGGGAAAAGGAAAGGAAAGGGGAGAGCTTTGCAGGGAGTCTCTTCCGTTCAGCATCAGTGACCATTGAGTGCTGAGCTTTAATATATTGCTCTTGTGACTGTTGAACATGTTGATGTTGTGACTGTTGTGTCTGTCGTGAGTGAGTGAGTGCCTGGCTGCCAGGTGGTTATTCCGAAGAAGATAATACCCTATGTATAAGAACAGTGAGGACATTCGTAATTTCTTGTTGTTGAGTCGTTTACGTTTTGATGACTAAGAAAGAGGCATGAAGCTGCAGAGCAGTCATCTTCTGTATAATGTGTGAATAGAGAAGCTTCTGTTCCGGCTACCATTTCTGCGAGTTGAAGAAAGTCTGTGTGTGTGAGGAGGTGCGAATAGCTCATGTTCATTTGATCGAAGGAGTCTGTTGAAAACATTGTAGCCTCAGAAGTAGATCTGGGTCGTTCATTAAATACAACTCCCACTACTAGTTCATCCAGTACAACTCAATAGTACCTCCACTCTATTTGAGTACTAGTTGTACTACAATATAGAAGAAATACACGTACCACTCTAGTTGTACGAGTACTACAATATAGAAATACACGTCGAGGACAAGAGAAAGAAAATGTTGACGTTAGTATCGGGTTCCTCTCGTTATCTACGTCCTTCGGTTGGAGGAGGTGGTGTAGCTGTTGGGCTTCCGAACACTGTCCCACGCTACCTGGAGCTTGGAGTGAAAGGAGCGACAATTTGGTAAGGCACAAAATCAATTTTCCTTGCTTAAATGTAGACCACTATGCAAGAACTTGTAAAGAAGACTGAGACTGGAGCTGGACGTCGAGCGACTTGTTATCAATCTAGTATGGTGAACTACTACTACAGGAGACGAAGGCCTTCTCTACTTTCTCCTTGTCTACTTAGAAGATCAGCGGTCAATCTACTTAGAAGGCGGTCATTCAAGGTCATCTTCTTCAGAGACTACGACAGTGGAGAGCTGTCGTGTACTACAATAAGTCCAGTATCAATGTCTGGACGAGCCGGACGAGCTATTATGCACTCAAGAACTACAGGAACTAGTTGATCTTGATTCTAATATCTGGAGCAGTTGCGATGTTTGCCGAGGGACGAGGTACGAACGCGACTGCGCATGGATGATACTGCGGCTGAAGGTTTTTTAAACAGAATTTTCAAGAAGTCGTCTTCCAGCACACGAACTTATGATGTAGTTACGGTGCATGTCCTCATTCATAACTTATACGATAGATACTACTTATCATGATGTTACTTATTGTTAGGTGCTAGATGTAGATGTTGTAGTTGTGCATGCCGTGTGGTCCATAATTCATTACCTATGTGCGTAGGGGACGAGGAACATTATGATTATGTTTTTTTCGTTGCTTGGTTGGTTGTTGGTTGAGTCACATCTTTTTGGACTCTTTCTAATCCACACATCATGACGAGACGCGGACGACTAAAGAGCATCTGCATGCCTGCACTCTGTTCGATGACATGTTTTGGGCACATGCGGATTTAGGGTCTATTGTCCCACCGAAAACGACGACAATTAAGGCTTTCGGGAATGCATCTTCAGAAGCATCTTGCACCTTCCTTCGGGTAAGATGATGATGATGATGATGATGATGATGATGATGATGTAAACCCACCGATCGGGTGGGGCGGGGCGGGATGCCATCTCATCCCTGCACTCCTTCGGGTAAGGGGGAAACGGGTCCAAGATGACTTTCAAGATGGATTCCCGGAAGGTCTAAGACAAGAACAACCTCTTCTTCATCCTTCAAGTTCTTAGGGTCTTCATCTTCAATATCAACATGTTCTTCATCATCGTCATCGACTGCAGAATTCGCCAATAAATATGTGCGCATCGTGTCAGGATCTATGGGCTGGCTGCGACCCTTCGACCGTGTAGATCCTGGCTATCCTCCACTTTTGTTGGAGTACGACTTCAATTACCAAACCCCAGAATGGCACAAACGGAGAACGAAAAGAGCACCAGTGTCCTACACTCCACCTCAAAAGGCAGGCAAAAAACAGATACAGCAGATTTAGGATGTCGTGAATATTCCAGTAGAGGTGGTAGATGATTGAAGTGGCTGAAATTAGAGAGCTGCTAGAAGCTACTGTTACTCCTACTGCTACAGCTAGGACTAAGTTGTAGAGCTCCCTGCTGAATAACAACTACCATTACAACGAGTTCGACTTTTTTTATATGGTAGGAACGACTAGTACTTGCTTGAACCTTATCTTCCTTGTTTTTCAAGCAAGTCCAAGAACCAAGGATTACGATAACGATTCAATCATGGTAAAAATCCTAATCATTGTTGATAGTCTAACCACCGCAAGACCGGCACGGGCGATTTGGTCGTGTTTCGGAGTACTGGGCAGAAGCCGGGCTAATGCGAGATCTGGTAGTACCGGATCTGCGAGATATCAATTTTGTTTTGAATCTCAATTTGAGGCCATTCGATGAGGCCTTCCTAACACGCGATCAGCGGATCTTTTCCGCCTCCGGAGTCGGAAAAAGCGCACTAGAGGGTGTAAGACAGAGGGCTCGGAAACTAGACCGCAAGCTTCTGGGTGACGACGATTTGGCAGACGACAGCGCAGATGAAGATGAGTTGTATCGTCCAAGCACCAACTTCTTCGAGGACCACGACGACCAAGATGAAGAATATGATGGTGATGCATTTTCATCAGTTTCTTTGTCTTCTTCTTCTAGTGAACGGCTTCGTATGGTGCGAGTGAACTTTGCTGGCTTAGAACCCTTAGAAGCTTGTGAGGCAAAAGGGCGGCTTTTACGTTGGATCGTTCAAAATCGAGTTCAGGATCTAGCTACGCTCAGCGCGTACAATTATGGACATTAGAATGGATCCTTCCGGTTCATCACGTTCATCTAGAAGTAGAGTCAACGTAACTAGAGATAATCTAGATCTAAGTACATCTAAATCAGAAAGAGTTTCATCGATTGCTGGAGTTCTATTTACAGACTCTTTTCCTCTTCTACATCGACTCAGCTCATTCTAGTGCTAGTTGTTCGGCATGCAAACGGAACCAGTTTAGAAGAAGAGTCCTTTCATTAGTTTTTCTAATAGAAAGGTGGCATGTTGACTGGAGCGAGTGGTCCCGCGTCTCCACAGCAAGACCATCATTCTTAAGGGCTTCCAAATTGCATTCTGCACTTCTTGCATCCTTGGTCTTTTCTAATGTGGGAAATTATGGGTCCAGGATGAAGAATGTAATGCGGAAACCTCATCTAACATTGTTGTTCGGAGACTAGCAACAGGTATAGACATAAGGGACCAGGAGAACGCTCTGCAGGAAGATTGTTTGAGCTTCGGCACATGGACGACAATGAAATTGTCTTCCAACCTAGGGGTGCACACTCTTCTTCTTCATCACCAGTAGAGCGCTCCTCTAGAAGTACTAGTACCACGACCAGGTCAGGAGCAGGACCGTCTGTGTCTTCACGGACTCACGTTCCACCGGGTGTAAAATTGAAAATTTGAATTCCTTGCTGGATTAGTAGAGTAGTGCTTTCAATCCTTACATTTGATGATGGCAGAAGAAGGGGTCAACATGCAGCTCATGGGAACGTGCTCTGAAGTAGATGTAAAAATCTTACTCGAAATAAAACTGAAATAACCGAGTTACTGACTGAAATAAGGGAGGCACTAGCTTATAGCGTCCAGGCTACTCTTCCTTCTCGTCAGTCTCTCGATTATTCTGATCAGTTCCTTGCCTATTTCAGTTTTTCGAATAGCGCATCCCGAACTCGACTCTTCAATGAAGATTCGTGAAGAAAGTTGCATGTGGGTGTGCCATGTGGCAGTGACTGTAACAGTTCTCAAATTTAGAAGAACTACTACTGGCATAGTTCACGTAGGAGCTCTTCTTGGCGTTCCATGAGCATCTCGATAGCTGTGTCATTTTCTTCTAGTCCACTCATCTGATGCTGGTGATCTACAACCTGCTGTCTGACGTGGATCCTTTACAACCTTGTTCAGTATCTTCTCGTACCAGTCCTGTCTGACGTTCATGTCTGAGGTCTCCTTCAGGTCTCTCCGATAAAGGTGATGTTGTTGATCATCGCTTTGTGTTGCGATCCAGCATGAAGATTCTTTCATCCTCTCTTGTCCTTTCGCCGTGGTGGTGGTGGTGGTGCTTGCTTGCAGTAGTACTAAGCAATCTCGAATAGAATGATCCGTATGATCCGATTATTTCTCCTCAGGACTAAGAAAAACCAGTATAGATCCGTCGTTTCTTTCAATCCTATTTGCGGAGTTTTTGCTTTGAAGAATATAGCTTAAAAGATAAAGTTCTCAGGTTTGAAGTTTGTTTCTAAAAACGGACTGCTTTCTGATTCTGTATATGACTTACTTATGTCGTGTTTCTAAAAACGGACTGCTTTCTGATTCTGTATCTATATGACTTACTTATGTCGTGAAGATTGTCTTATTTCTTATCTGTTCCCATGATAAATTTCATCAAAATTACAACTCAGGGTTGCAGGATCTACTAGAAAGAGCTCTTGCATCTGTTTCAAACAAGTCACTCCTACTTGCACAACAAAAAAATGATTTATGAATGAGGAGGCGTAATTGTAATTTTACAGCGCAGAAATATAGACGAGTCGAACAAACATCGAAGTTCCAGCTAAGTAGCAAGACAACCGCAGCTGCTAATCTTCGTCTTCCGACCACAATCATGCAGCTGAAGGGCAGGCGTCGTACAGGGCGTGCAAGTAAAACCAAAACCCCCAAGGAGATGAAAAGTCTTGCTGGGCGATCTTTCCATCGTATCCACAGGATGCGCAGGATTTTCCAGCATGCCTTTCTCGCTCACTGTACCTTTTCGCAACTGCTTTCGGATCAACATGTTTTTGTATCCGCAGCTGCACCCTCATCTTTGGTGCTGCGAGCTGCGGCACGTGGTCCAACTCCCATTGATGATTCAGTAGACGCGGATCATTCTCCTCCTAGAGGACAGGAGTTGCAAGATGAAATTGTATCAGATGAATCCCCGAGTGGCCTACAACAGGAAAGATATTCTACAACTAGACCACGGCTACAAGATCAAGAACAATCCTCGTCCCCGACTGACACACATGACGTAACGGTCGTGCGTCGGCCATTGTATGGACGTGCTGACAACTCTTCGCGTTGGGCTGATGTAGAAGAATCGGATCACGAAGATTTGACCTTCCTAGACTTGTGGCAGGACTCTAGGCGAAGTCAGCCGAGTGCAACTGGCAGTGGAGGTTCTGCTCTCTTTATGAATGTTTCTCGAAGATCGAGATTCTGCTACTGCTTCCTTTTATTAGTTTGCTTTTGATTTTGTCTCATTTCTCTCAAGGTCAAAATGAAAATTTTTTCTTACAACATCGATTTCTTGATCATTATATTTTTCTTTCGATGGTGAAGATGCAGAAGGTGTTATTTAAGTGGTTGTGGTTCGGGAAGTAGAGGCTCCTTTGGTAAAGCTAAAGATCATAGAGAAGTACTAAATTGCTTGTAGTACTACTTGTAGAAGAAGTCGTTGTACTAGACACCACGACTAGTTGTACAACTACTAGTAGATATAATTTCTTAATGCTAATGTTCTGGTTCCTTATCCTTCGTCCTCTAATGTGATAGATTCAACGCCGACCACGACTACTGAAGATAGAGGTTGTAGAAGTGCTGCGTCTGCTGCGTCGTCATCATCCGAACGTGGTGGCAGTACCACTGCATTTAAGGCTTGCCGTAATTCATCTTAAGAAGCATCTTTGAGCCCTTTGCTCAGGGGAGAACACGGCAAAGATGCACTTATAAAGATGAATACATGGGAGGTCTAATGCTTGCAGTAGTCCCACGCTAGGACCTACGGGGAGCCCGAGTGGTCCTGGTGCTGGTGGGAGTCCACATACTTCGAACGCGAGTACTAGTCCTCCAGCTGGTAGTAGCCCAATTCTAGGACCTTGTTCTTCTATGTCTGTGGGGAGTGCTAGTGCTAGTAGTGCTAGTTGTGCTCCGCCTGCAAGTAGGAAAGCTAATGATCACCGTGCTCGATTTCAAGCTATGCTAAGCGAGAAGGCCAAGTCGCTTGCGCCTGAATTCGTTGCAAGAAGTACTCGTGCACATCATGAGGGAAGTGGTGGAAGATATCATGACTATACTAGTAGTAGAAGAAATATCAACGAGTCTGGAGGTGTTGAACAAATAAACGTAGTCAGAGTGTTAGCGGCTTTGCAGACACCTCGTGACGGTGAAAAAAGCGAAGAAAAGGGCCGCCATAGCTGTATTGTGACCGATACGAAGACGGCGAACTACATGAAGGACCCTTTATTGTCCCGAATCTCTACAAGTGGCGGTAGTCCTTCTAGTTCGAGGAGTAAAGTTCTTGCTGTTGGGCAGGAGGTTGACGATAGAGAAATCACGACTCCTGCGAGTACTGCCAGGAGCCCTGTTGACGGTCTTCCTCTCACTTCTAAAAGTAATATAGGTGCAGGAGGTAAAAAAGGTCATAAGAAAAACCGTATTAAAGCAAATCAACTGCTACAACTACATCCAGATGATCAGCAGAAACAAGTTAAAGAGCAGCAGCGTCTTCCTTTTCAGAAGCAGAAGGCAAAAGTAGAGACGCATGTTGATGAATGGCCTGATTTGATGACTGGTGCTGCTTTAGCCAAAATAACGAAGCGTTCTTCGAGAGAAACTGAGGTAGAAGGAATTGAGGTAGAAGGTGCCAACATCAACCTAGTAGGAGGTGCTGAGGATGTTGAGCTTGAGATGATGACGGCAGATGAAGACCATGAGCCACGACGAGGTGAAACAAGAAAATCTTCTATTTCTACACAGCAGCAAATGTACGATCAAGACTGTGGTATGATGGCAGCAGTGCCCCTCGTGTCTTACGCTGCTCCACCTCGTGTTTTCAACATCTATCCCGCTGCTGCTGCTCCTGCTGCTTCATCTTCCTATGAAAATAGTAGTAGTGCAGAATGCCAGCAACAAGAACAGTTGCAAGGTACTCCTACTTCCGCATCCACAACCTATACTGGAGGATGCAGCAACTGGTGGGGTAGTTCATCAGAACAAGGAATTGATGCCTGGGCTTTGATTCCCTATCAAGCTGATCATGTGTCTTATTCATCTGGAACAATTGCCTATCCCTGTGCGTTTTACGACACAAGAGCTTCCTCAGAAACACAGGGGCACCACTTTGGCGAGGGCCCAGATCTTCTCCAGTTTTACGTGCACAGCATTGTTGGCCATACGATGTGGCTAAGTAATGAATTTCTGTGGGGAAATACGCTGATGCCGATGCGGCCAAACGCAAAGTTGTTTCGCGAAGGCTTTGAGCAGTACAAAGTCGGCCAAGTTCGAGGTGCTCTTCACAATATTTAAGGCTAGTTTTTCACTATCCCATGTCGTGGACTATGCTGAGCCGTGGGGTCTCCCGTGATTTAAAGTTGAAAATAGGGGAGGAAAGACGTATTACCTCTTTCAACTAGGCATAGCGAAAGACTAGCGCTAAACTATGTTCAACCCCTTACCGAACGCCTCAGCACATTACTACAAAAACAAGTATGGATATACAACTGGAGATCGGAAGATAATACGGCATGGTGATGCGGATTCATCTGTACGAGGAGGTCGTATGGGGAAAAATACAGGAGGCTACATCAATAACAGGAATGATCAAGTTCAAGGTGGAGACACAACAACAAGATATTATAGGTACATTTGTGGCCCAGCAGGGTCCACGTCGAAGTTGCGCCAGAACAATCAGCCCGGTTCTTGGACCCACACACGTGTGAAACCGGAATCCTGGTGGTGGAGAACTCCGCCAAAAATCCAAATGCTGCTTTGGATGGAGGAGAAACACGTCTGGGAAGTGATTCCAAGCGAATATGACGCTCTTTCCTTAAGGAGGCGGGTACAAGTGTTACTTCTTCACTACCGGAATTATAGTGTTGTAATCCTTTGAGTATGGAGGTAAAACTGGGGACGGCGGACTGAGTTCTTGATAAATTCAACAAAATGAGACAAAATGAAAGGCATAGAAATGGATAAGTACGCGAGATAGATTAGATCGAAGTTCTTCAATCTGAATCAGAGGTCCCTTCTAATTTGAGTAAAGCACTTGGGTGAAACGCAGAAAGCAGAACAGCGTTTTCGGAGGGCAAAGGGTCGCTGGGACACCAGATCCATTCAAGAGCCAGGACAACGTGATGTTAAGAGTTGAAACATTTCATTTTTACAAGCCTTCTTTACTCGAGATTGCTACTAAAAAGCGAAATGTTTCAACCTTTAATGATGCTTTCACTTCCAGCAGTATGAACACGAGCTCCAACAAGAACAAGATGAAAACAGAAGCAGACTATACTACTTCTAGTACTTCAAGTTCAACTTCTTCTTCATCTCCTACTTCAGCGATCGATGATGCTACGGCTACTCCCGTCACACCGGTTACGACTCCAGGAACCAAGCATGCTCCTATCGACCTGGAGTCGGAACATCCAGCAGAACAAGAGGATATTAAAGCCCCAGCATTCTACTTGGAAGTAGGAGATTTCGTGGCCACGGAGAGGAGCACGCAAAACGCAACGTCGATATCTTCTGGTTCGTCAGATGCTGATGCAGGAGCAGCTTTGTTAAGGCACAGCAGGTCTTGATTATCGGTTTAGGTTTTGGGATCTTCAAGAACCTGAAGATATCACTGACTGCGAATGTAGTTACGACTTCTAGGCCGCTTGGGTTGAACCTCGGGAAGATCATACAGCCAGCACAGGGACCATACATACTTTTTCATTTTCTAACATTCGCTCATCTCCCTCCTGGATTTAAGACAAGTTGTGGTAGTACTCACACGAAAAACGAAAGCGATCTTCATAGTCTAAATAACTTTTCTTCTTGAAAGCCTAATTCTGAATATGTAAGAACCCGATCGGCTACATGTGCTTTGTTTTCAGAAGCAGAATTAATCGAAAAACTACATGAAGTTGAGCACACCGTAGTTCATCTAAAAATGTCTCCTGATTTACACGAGCGCGCGCGCCAAGTTTCGTTGAATCGGGCTCAAAAATATGTCGACGATGCCATCCAGAACGGTTGGAGTGACAACGTTTCTGACTACGTAGTGCCATTAGCCCACGCTTCGCGAGTGGTGGTTCCAGAAGTAAGTACTACATCTCTGGCCAGTGGTGTGCTGCCATTGCAGATTAAGGAGACGCTCTTCTTTGTTGATTAGAGGCACGACCAGGACCATGAAGAGGTGGAAGGGATGATTAGATTCATCTGATTTAGACGAGAGGGGTAAAAATGTTGAAAATAGAATGAGGCGAGGACTGTCTGTATGGTATGTAGTTGTTGGATGCGGATAGTCCTCTGGTTGATGAGGCAATGATAACAATATTGAAGAGCAGTGATTCAACTACTTAAAGCAACTCCGTATCTAAATCTTTAGATTTGTCTGGATAAAATAATTCATCATCAAGGAAGGAGCACATCGGGAGTAGCACAATCTGTTGAATGATTTCTCATAAAAATGCTTTTGGAAGATTATTATCGTTGAATTCGTAACAGGAATGGAAGATATCGACGCAGTACTATCAACGATAAAAAAGAATTATAGTTGAAATCTAGCGAGGACAACGCAATAAATTCGTAGAAACGATCCTCCACTACAAGAATGAAAATTATCTCGAATTCGCATGTCTATGTGCAACATTTTTTACAGCTATTGCTATCGTAAATCAATGCATCAAGATCGCCTACACGAACATGCTCGTCTATTAGAATCATTGTTTCGTCTTCATTCGAATACGAATGCGACAATCATACGGAGCTATGAAGAGTTTCATTTTTGGTTATGAATATCGCTGTCAGGCGTTCTTGTCCCATGTTGACGTGATGCGTCGTCGTCGTCTTACAGACTTAAAAGCAAACGAAGAATAAGAGGATCTCAACTAGGCCTTACACTATTTGCAACTTGTATGTTGTACTTCAATCTCTGTTGTATTGACAGACAAAACGATTTTCCTTCCACCTTGCATCCAACAACATCCAATGACACTACGAAGAATCTGAATACCCTCTGTCCACGTCCACTCGAATGAAGTCCTCACAAAGAAATGAAAATTGGAGGTCCTTGGTGTGCTCCGAGATCGATTTCGGATCATCTGCTAGTGGTGTTCCTCTGGAAGGTATCCTTATACCGGAAGATGCAACACGATCTTGACAGATTCTCCTGTCCAGACAAGTCACGGCCAAGAGGAGTACTCAGTTGCCAATGATTATTTATCTGGTCTGACCTTCACTCTTTGTCTTTCTTAAGTTAATTATTTACTTGTCTTCAAAGAGTTAGTACCGGCGTCACTCTTTCTTATAATCTTTTTATACAGGTGCGATGCTGGTTTGTCTTTGTGTAATGCAGCCAAGAATTTGACAATCGTTTTTTGGAAGCGCCATCAAGGAAGTCTTGGATTCTTGGTTTCCTAGACGTAGTTGTAGTCCCTCTAGGCTTCTATTATTTAGCTAGTACAAAGAGGAAGCAAACCATGTCATCGTCCTCCGAGGCTGAGCCAGTCGCAAGGACTGATGAAGAAACCACCGGTGAGGAGGGAAAAGAAGGCGAGGAGACGAAGATTGGCATCGGAGGTCAAGAAATACCACTCCAGAGCCTAAATCCGCAACAATTGCAGCAATTGGCGCAACAGCTGAAGGTAGAATTATCGCAGATGGGGAACAACATGAAGCAGTTTCAGATAGCTGGTGATCGGTTTCGCGGTAGCGCAGAATGCCTAGGCATGTTGCAGAAACAAGCCGGGGGACAGCCAGCCAACACGAAAAAACTCTTAGTTCCGCTTAATAACGCAGTTTACATGGATGGGTTTGTGTCGAAGCCGGATCAGGTACATCAATGATGTGAGTGATTGTTTGTTGTTGTAGTTGGTGATATTCGTTATAGTCGGCGAGAAGTGGAACTACTACATCATAGTGGTTTTTGTCAAATCTATCTTCATCGCCTCAAAGTCTACGTCTTCCAAAACTCCAAGAGAACAACACTCTCGCTCTCATTATAACGGTACTTTATTTCCTACACCTTGATTAAGGTCCTCGTCGACGTCGGCACTGGCTATTACTGCGAGAAGAGTATCCAAGGTGCGACGGATTTCTTGAATAAGAAGGTAGACTTGGTCCAAGAACAAATGGCTAATATCAATCAAGTGGTGAAGAAGAAGCAAGCAGTCTATGAAGAAGCAGTTACGATGCTCATGAAAATGCAGAAGGAAATGGGTGGCGGGGAATGACCAAGTTTAGCATCAGCGTTACATGCTTCTTCCCGAGTTGAGGGTAGGATTACATTTTTAGATGAGTTCTTCTTGAAGATGTTGATGAACATAGAACATCTTCAACTAGTTAGTACCAGCACTTTCTCAGAATCAAGATCATCTGTAAATGGTGGTGATGACAATGTCGATGTTGCTACGTCGAGGTGGTCATGATGGTATTAAATTAAACTGATTTCTTCTTGTTTTCACAATCACGACTGCTCTACTACCTCATCCTCATTTTAAGCGAACCCTCCCAGGACGACATACCCTGTCCCCAGTGAGTTGTATTTGCATGAGATACCCACCTGTCTCGTCAAAACTATCATGACTGAAAATGTGAAGACTATTACCACCGCTACCCGCGGCCTCCCCTCGTGCGTCGGCGGGGGTGGAAAGAAATCTCTCCCCACTTTCTCCTGGTACAACTGGTTACTAGTGGGTGAAGTCTGTGTTCGTGCAGTTTCTCTGATAAACGGAGGCCAGTAGGTACTACACTTTCAGTTGGAGGCCAGTACTACACTTCCAGTTGGGCTTGGAGGCCAGTACTACACTTCCAGTTGGTCTCGGAGGCCAGTACTACACTTCCAGTTGGGCTTGGAGGCCAGTGCTACACTTCCAGTTGGTCTCGGAGGCAAGTACTACACTTCCAGTCAACAAAGGATCTAACTATGCGATCTTGTCGTATTTGGTGGACGAGCGTAGGAAGGTGTAGTGACCGTTCTAACATGTCGTTCTAACATACTGAGTGCGAGATCAATTGTATGGTATTGTATTTTATCAGGTCGTCGGATGAAGAAGTCTCCGCAAGGTCAAGATCTCCCCACCCAGAGAAGGATGGCGAAGAGAGCAGTGGAGATGACTGAGAGAGGATACTACTTAGTACTGAGAAGATGTTTTAGGTTTTCATTTTCAACGACATGATTGAATGATGGGGCCCATAGTACTACTCACGTTCTACGAAGAAGAAAGTCAACAAATAAAAACATAGACGATTACGATTTTTCTAAAGCAAATTCAATCACCTTGTGTCTTCGTCTTGTGACTGTACATCGGCCTCCCATATTAACTACAATTAGCACATCAACCTCAACAAGCATACCAACTACGAGACCAAGCACCACAACGACGATGAACTCCCATTACAACTTACTCACATTTACATAAGTACTTTCTTCTTACCACACCAAACGCAAGCTACCAACAACCACTTGTACCCCAGCACAACATCACTACTTCTACCTGACAAGAACATTACATACTTCTACACAACTATCTCCTCCTCTTACCGATCTACTCCCTCTTCACCCTCCAACATCACAAGCAACACAAAGATGATTCAGTGGTTTGAGGTCTCCCGTGTCCCTCTCCTCCTAGAGGAGTTAGTCGCCAGTGCCGACGCAGCCTGGCTTCTTTGGTTTCTCCGGATTGCTTTGCCTGCCATCGGCGTCTGCTACTACTTTCGACACGAAAGTGGTACTGTTGGAGGGATCGGCGCGGGCAATAAGGGTATGGTCAAAGGCAATAATGTCTCGTCTGTACGACTAGTTGAGCTCAACAATGTTGTGCTTGTGGGTGGACCTGGAGATGGACTATCGAGAACTCGTCCAAACACATATGAACATCTTTTGGAAGACTAAAGCCAGGCACCAACTAGAAGATCTTGATTTATTCTGCATGTAAATGATATGTCCTTTCTGTTTATGTTGTACATCCCCGCCTCTACTAAGTCTGATGCAGGAGCTGTCAACCAAGACCGCAAATCAGGAGAGGAGAAACTCCATCTCTCCTCGTCTGCAGAGGTGGTGCATTTCTCGTCTACTGGCGCGACTAAGAAAATTATGTGCATCTGGGCGTGGTGAAAAATTTCAATTTTTTTATCTTACCTGAAAGACTGATCGTCCATGATTAGCAAAACATGAAAAGAAACCACATGTGATCATTCAAGCGGAACTAGTAGAATCATTTCTAATCTTCTCAGAGATGACACGCTGCATCTCAGAGATAACTCGCGCGGAGGTGTCAGCTCTCTTCTCAAGTCCACCCAGTCTCGCTCGACTCTGCAAGATGACCTTGAAGTGTCGCAACTTGGAACTGTCTCTGCTGGTGGAGCAGGCGTACGAAGCGGAGATAACGATATTTCTGCCTCTGCTATTGGCAGCACAAGTATCCGGAAAAATGGCGATGTTCACGAGACGCTGTTGGGTTCTCCAGGTCTGGGTGCTCCAGGTCTGGACTGTAATGGAACCAGCTCTGCTTCTGCTGGTCAAAGTCCTTCGGATGAAGACAGCGCATCTACTTCAGGTACGGACTTCACCTCCTAGCTCCTCTTGATATGCAAAACTCTACTCGTATCTCTTCGATCTATTCCATGATAAGAAGCTTCGGCTTCACTTTTCCTAATCTGCAACCGCAATTGCCGATTATCACCGTCATTTTTCCTATTATATTTATAAATACTCACAGGTGGAAATACAAATAAGGATGACAACAACGAGTCCGCGAAACCGCAGGAAACCTGTCCGATCAACCGCGAAGCACAAGAGAAACTGAAGGTGTTATTCGGTTTGTCACTGGGACAGGAACTGGATTTAGTTTTGGAAGCTTAAAGGAAAGTGTGTTGTCACTGGGACAGGAACTGAATTTAGTTTTGGAAGCTTAAAGGAAAGTCAAACTGACATCAATTCTTTCATATTCATCTAAGTAGTAAAAACCAACATACTTTTCTTTATTTTACAGTGTGGTCACGACTCAGTGACGTGTAGGTGTAACATGATCACACTCTTGTGTAACACACTCTTCTTCAACAAGGTCACAAACCGTGCCAATTTGGGTGGAATTGAAGCCATTTGGCACGAATTGAATGAAAAAAACGTCAAAATTTCGGACAGAACTTACCGCTTGCTTGTGGAATTGTGTCTCGATGCTGCTCGTTGGTCTGATCAACAGAGCGTGGGTACTATTGTAGTTGATACTAGGGTTCATATGTTGCTCTTGCTTGTGCTTTTTTTCTCTGACCCTCTCTCTGGAACTATAAGTAGAGCAGGCATTCTTGTAATATTAAAGGATGCTACGGCTTGCGATTGTGTCCTTGAGGGACATCCACCGCATCGAAGATGACAACCTTTAGATGAGAAGCAATCCGACCATATAAACGTATAGCTTTATTCACACTCTACATCTACTCCCGCACTCTACAGCCGAGCCCGCTTTCTGGAAGACGCCCAAAAAGCGTGGTTTTGCCGAGTCTCCTTCTTCAACTCGGGTTCCGAGTTATCAGAATACACCCTTGCACGGTTCAAGTGGAAAGTCGGTAATTATTGTTCATCTAATGAGATTTTTGCTAACTATTAAGTAGGTATCTGTAACTAACTTCTGTAAGTAAGCAGATTATAGCACTGGTGGCAGGTGTGACCACCGCGGCCAGGTCTTGGATTTGATCATGTAGATAAACATAAAAATGACATTAAACTACAGACAAGTGCGCGTTAATCAGTTGATGAATCATCTGTGAACTTATTGTTATTTTCAGGAACAATCGCCGGACAAAAATACTATCAACGACTTGCTTGCGCTCGTTGGGGGACAACAGAAGAAAGAGGAATATCCAGCAGCTTTGTGTACTTTTTACCTGGTGAATTTGTGCTATTTAGACTCTGTTGGGCTAGTACTAGTACTAGTTGATGTCATCACCATGATCGTAATCAGATCATGTTGGTGATCTAGTACATCTTCATGATCTTGCCAAAAACTAGATACAGAAAACGACCGTCTGATCAAGTTCGCACATCATAGACATGATTCCTCAATTTCAACATCCAGATCCGACCGCCGAACACCATGGGGCCATGTTTTATCATCCTATGATTGCTGATTACAACACGTGGGCCGAATACTGGGCTTATTTTGGCGCTCCTGCTGGGGCGCCACCTGGTGTAGTTCATCCTGGCCACTATGGACATGGAGCTGGTGCAGCGGCCCCCGCGTCATGGGCTGCTGGTGCAACACATCATGTTGTACAACAACCTGGACCTCCTTCAGCAGGGCACCATGTTTAAGGCTACCACGACTTCTAATCCTTCTCGTCTAGTAAGTATCTGTGGGGATGTTGATCCCTCTAGAACATTACGGATAGCTGCTCTAACAGATGCAAGGAACAGGAGCCGCTTCAGGAGCACACCAAACAGTGACAGGTGCTGGAGTTCCACCGCAACCTCCTGCTCTTCCTCCTTTCGCAGCTCCTCCGGCTCCTGCGATGCCTCCGACTCCTGCGATGCCTCCGACTCCTGTTAAGATGCCGGCTCCAGTCGAACAACTTCTACCACCAGAGACGAAAAACTCATCAACTACAAACATGATCCTGATCGAAGAGGCTGAAGAACAAGGTAGTTGTTCTACTTCTGCGATTAAAGTTGTCGGAAGTCGTGGACAAGAACAATATGCTGCAAACAAGGCAAAGATGAATGCGGGTTGTACTACAACCACTCCGAGTTCGACAACGCGTGGTGGCTCAACATCTGTTACCGCAACACCTGAAAAAAGCAACAAAAGTAGATGGTCAACACAGCATTTTCATTCTTCTCGTGCAGCGACTTCAACTTCTCCAGAGATGAAGGAGCAACCTCAAGACGAAGATAAAGTTGTTGATAAACAAGATATTAAAGTTGTAGAGGACGACACAAAGCAAGAAGATGAAGTTAGCGAAGGAGTTGAAGATCTTGTTCAAAGAGGGAGATCCGCTGAAGCAAACAAGAGTGTTGACGAGGCAGCTACCTCTGCTCCTAGCACTACAGTAAGTGCAGCTCCAGCTCCGCCGCCTGCTCCGCCGTCCGCGCCGACGTCTTTGAGTCCTAACAAAAATGTCAAGCATCATGACCACAATCGTGCTGGCAATACCAGTAACACTGTTGTACCCGCTCCGCCACCTGCCGCACCACCTGCCCCACCAGGATATGGAGCAATGTGGGGACCTGCTTCCCGATATCACTACAACATGCAACAGCACAACAACATGATGGATCCTGGTTCGATGAATAACGCAAACAATTTTGCTCATCATCACCAGTATTACAGTGGAGCTAGTAATATGCAGCATCAACAAATAAAAGGTGCTGGTGCACCTGCTCCGGGATATAATACGAATGCATCTACTAATGCTAAGGTCAGCTTTTATCCATCTTTCTCGGCATCTTGGTGCCCTTTATTTCCCTTGTAATTCATGGGAAAGGGGTCGAGATGAGGGGACCAAGATGAATAACAGCCGACTCTAATAGTGGGGCCTATAATCAACATCATCTTGTTGCAGCTGGGACTACAACTTCTGCTGGTGCGGCAGCTGCTCCGGTGCCACTGGTTCCTGGTCCCGCTGGCTCTCATGGGTCTCAAAAAGGCGGTTCTTCGAATCATGTCAATCATCAACACACTTCTCAGCACAACAATTATAGTCAACAGATGATGACACCAGGAGGTGCTTCGACAAACCACAATGCTTCTTTGGCTACGCCAACCGCGATGACCACTAGTACAGAAACTACACATCCGACTACAGCTGCTGCACAGCCTGTATCTGGAAATGGGTCGACAACATATCTTCAACAGCAGGGTGCTTCTATGATGAACCAAAACTATGTTCAACAGATGCCGACTGCCTCAAGCACGCAGCGTGATGGAGCAGGACACAATTTCTACGGAGGAGGCGGGTCCCATGTTACAGCGAGTCCAGGGAAACGAGGCCAACACGACCGCAATTACCACAACACGACCGCTTTTAACAGCATTATGGCTGCAGCTGGAAAAAAGATGTCGAGTCTTTTTCTCTCCAAGATTATCTGTCCTCCTATTCAAGTCCACACACAAAGCATGATCTAGAAACCCACACATTCAAAACATCAGAGATTCCAAAACATGAAACTTTAAGGTAATTGAGAGCCCACCATTGGGCCTAGAAACGTAAGCAATGTCTTGGGGGTTCTACAATAGTTTCACGTGCTTGCAATTATAGAAGCAATATGTTCTTTGTGCACACCTATGATCTTCCTCTAATCACCACACCAGCGCCTACAAAAACAACGGTCAGCACTACAGCCATACGGAGAAATTGCAAAAGGGCGTCGCAAATAAAGGAGAGACGCCTTCTGCTGATTCATCTGGTACTCGATTATCTATGTATGTTTCTTTCTGATATATTAAAAATACAGAGAAAATCGAGTACCAGCTGAATCAGCAGACAAGAGTAAATCTAATCATGAACATATGTAGTTCTTCTAGTAACTAGAGGAGTTTATTACCAGTGGATAAGCATTTCCCTTTCCCCCTTTCCCCTTTGCTTTGTTGGACTTACCCCCAGCATTAAGTGCCTCTAGAAGTACCTGCTCACGTGCTTTTGGATTTCCTCTTTCTACCGCAAATGAGAAACTTGCGTGGAAGTTGATCCTACGTGATTTCCATCTTACAACTGCATCTACTACATCTTCAGGTACCGACGCGACCACGACCGACCAAACACCTCCGCGCTTGCCAGCGTCCGACAAGAAATACCAATGATCACCATGTGACCCATTCTACTTGGGTTTCCGACATCGTCCAAAAACAAAATTGAATCACAAATAATTAAAAGAGAGACGCACAAATACAAAAAAGACTAGAAACTTCTGTTCTTTTTCTAAATTCTACACTTTTTTATAACATGACCATATAATAAATATATAATGATAATGTTGTAACAACATAGAAGATAATGTTGTAACAACATAGACGATTGAATCGATGATCATTATATACGGCATATTGAATCATCTTCATGCATGCTACTCATATAAAAAAAAGCTCATATCATCCCAAGAGGAAAGGAGGACTCTTCGAGGATCAGGATTGGAATTATTTACTCTTTTTACCTACTGAAAAAATTTGACTCTTTCTTTTTCTTGTTCAATTTACAACCAATAAACTACAACTACATTCTTTCATATGGATTCTTTCTTGCGAAGAAATACCATCCAAGATCAGAATGACGTCTGCAAAAAAAAAATCGAACGATATGGATATTTTGATTCAAATTCAAACTTTTTCTCTGCATTGATGAGATATAATTTTCAGGATGTAAGCATAGATATGGGAACGGATTCTTATTTTTCTCTTAGATGAAATTCAAAGAAAGGTCCTCTTCACGACTATGTTATGCTTACGAAATTTAGTAGATGTTCAGGATCGTTGTTATTGTTTAACATTTACTCCTTCGTACTCTACGGCTGCGTTAATCCGCTCGAGTATGCAGGTAAAGCTGTGGGCGGCGGACTGAATCCTAATCCTAATCCTAGCATTAAAACTTCGGATTCAGTCCTTCCACAGTGGCAGTCTACTTATCTCATCGTGTACAAAAAACAGTCGTATAATTACATAGGCGCGGCTACAAAAAACAAGATCTGACGAGAAGTGACCAAAATAATTGAGTAGAACGTTAAAAAACTAAGTCGTGACTATGATCCTCGTAGCTGTACGAGATTTGGTGAAGAAATATGGATAAAAACAAGATAGACACAAAATATAGTGATGATGGTCTACAAAAAAGAGAGATTTTGATGTTTGAAGATGTCGAGTTGCAGTTGTTCTTGTAGTTGCTAAGTATATAAAAATTCAAAAAAGGTATACCCCGTGTCCTCCCAATAATTATAGAAGTCGTAATCTTACTAGAAATTGACTAACAAAATCAAAATTGATTATTCTTGGTGAGAAAAAGTATCCGCATCGTGCTGGATCAACATCGCACGAACGCTTCTAAATATGCAGATGAGTATCCGACTACTCAATTTGGCCATCCATCATTGGAGAATCAGCGCATCAACCTTCAGTCGAGATGAAGCATTCAGAGAGAGAGAGAGATGTCAGTGATGAAAGTCTGTCTTGTTGTCATCCCGTACCGAATCTGTATCGTCTTGCCTGCTTGTTCTTGTTTTGACAGATCTTCATCTTCTTTATCTTCTGTCATTTCCTTCGCCTTCCGCAGATGTGGATTTTTCGGCTTGTTGCTGCACCTATTTTGCGGATATAAAGTAAGGAGAAGTGTCCTTCTCCTGCATACAAGCCTCCATACTGGTTGTAAAACGATAGGTTGCAAGAATTCTCTTCATCAAATAGAGCAGGAAAGAGGACACGACGACGAGGAACTACTGACAGCATTCCTTGACCGTCACCACTTTCTAAATAGACCTAGACCTACACCTACAAGGTATTAAGTCTTCAACCTTTATTTGTTAGAAATTTCCCAGACGCCTACGCCATTTGTATCAAGAAGAAGAAGAAGAAGATGCTAAAAATATCTGGCAAGCTTCAAGAATTTGGCAATTTTGTGCAAAAAGAGGTGATATTACCTCTCAGTCAGTTGACTGCTGCACAGAAGGCGTCCTGTGTATGTCTGGGGACGCATACAGGTCTCTTTCCGGTCCCCTTCTCAACGATGCTGTGCCTCTCATTGCATCTGTTCTTGCTCGGGACTTTACGGAAGTGTCTGGAAGACACAAAACCTAAAGTATTTTCAAAAAAGGCAGAACTAGAACACGAAGCGGCCGATCTTTCAGACTGTTGTTCCGGAAGCAGCTCGTCAAGCCCTCGAAGCAAATCATGCAGAAGGAGAGCGAGTCGTTGCCTGAACGCCCTCTTCTCGCCCTCGATTACCGTGATCGCGGGAATCGCCTCTGCTATAAATCTGTCCGTCGTTAAGGCAGACCACGTGATGTTGAAATACTGATCATTTAGACATGTTGACAAAAGATCTGATGTTGTCGTTTCTACAGGGCACACGAGGACAACCTTCCTGTGATCAAGGCTCTCGAGTACCTGGACCTCGTTCTCATCTAAGGCAACCCCTCTCCAACTTGTGCTGATGCCGATCTACGTACACGTTGGCAACGTCCTGTTTCGCTTCGGACGCCAGGACAACAAAGTAGCGAATGTTGTTGAAGATGATCAGCAGCTTTTCTCAGGTTGGGATTCTGCGAGAGAAAAGGGGACCTGGAGTACACTCGAGTACCTGATACTAACATTCAGCGGAGCGATCGTTGCATGGAGTCTAGGTATGGCCGTGTACTAGTTGCCACTGATTGAGAGTGTTGAGATGATGATGACGGCTGAAGCAAAGAGATGATGAAGCAAAGAGATGATCTTCATCTTATTCTTTCCCCTTGTGCAGTAAGTCATGCTGGTGCCTCGTCAGGCGCCTTGCCTTTGCTTCAGCCTCTCGTGCTCTCAATCAGAGGCTCCACGTTGTTCATGCTATTGGGGGTAGTTGTGAACATTGTTCTGTTTGCTGTTGTCTACATCGTTGCCACCAAGGCATCTTCCAGTAGAAATACAAACGCTCACGCTAAGTCAGAGTAGTCGCAGTCTGTGAAAATGAGTTGACTGCCTACAATGAAACAGCGTGACAGAAATTGAAAAAAATCATGATGACGCAGGATCCTTTAAAATCTACAATCAAACAAGTGGACAAGCGCACCATTTTGCGAAGGAGTAGATGAAGCAAGTCCTCCTGCTACTGTCTGACTCATCTTGGATTCAGACTCAGGAATTGCATGAGTAAAAGAAGAACAAGAAAGATGTTGAAGACATGCCATTTCCTTTTTCGCTTGTTTATACTAGCTAGTTGTATGCAACAATAAATTACGTGATGATTGAGCTGAAGATGTGACAATAGAATTAATATGTGCTGCTTCTATGCAGAAGCAGTCTAGTTCTTCCTGGGGTTCTGAAGCATCCTATTGTTGGCTCGTCTCGTTGCTCCCTCCTTGACCTTGAAAAATTGATAGCGCCGGCACTTTTATGTGACTTTCACTTTGAGTCAGACTCTAACTACGTACTTCTAGAACAAGACAGAGTATTTGTCTATGGAGGATCAACTACATGGTCGTGCCTCTGCTGCCCAGTCGTGGTGAAGATGCAGATGCACGTACCTGGTCATCTTTGATGCCTGCACGAAGAACATCAATAGCTGTACAACTCACATGTAACGGTCGTCAAGAAGAACAAGAATGATGAACGAGCAGAACGGAGACGGACGAGAGCTGCAGAACGCTGCGCCTGCGCCAAGACCTAGACGACAAGACCTAGACGGCGTGCCTGTAGTTCCTCCTCCGGGACTACAAGAAACACAAAGGACGAACAAGGTAGACATCCAACTCCGACAGCAACGAACAGAGTTGATCGAGTCATCTCAAACGAACTACTATGCGAGTTCGAACTGGTCGTCTTCAGCGTCTCCGGTTCTCGTATCATCCTCGTCAATGGAGGTGGTCTCATCTTCAAAGATTAATACTAGTCCTCAAAGATTATTGCCCTCCACGCCTGCGGCAGCGCCGCTGACAGCGCTGCTCGAGTCCACAGGTCTCATAGCGCCGAGAACCGAGGATGTCTTGCTGCTGCCTACGTTGAGCAGTAGAGCAGGACGAGGTGTAGTTGGAGGTCCTCCTAGTACAACTTTGGTACATGTTGTACATGATGGGGTTGGGGTTGCTGGAGGATCGCCAAGAATCGATGTTGCTCTCCAACTACCAGGACGAGTGGAACAAGTCCTGTCATTATCGTCTCCTCCACCTTCGCTTGGAGGAAGTAAATCCAAAAGTAGGAGCAGAACTAGGAGTAACAGTAAAAGTAGAGAACAGGAGGTGAACAACACTCCTCTTCAAGGAGGTGCTGCTTCTCCAGCACTCGTTGGGTCTGCTGCAAATGGGTCTGCAGCTGCTATTGGATCTCCAACGCACAGCACTCCCAAAGGAAGTCCAGCTGCACATCGTCGCGAAGAGGTGAATGCGAATGGTGGAAGTAAAAATAGCAATGCTGTTACAGCTGCTGGAGGACGAGTTCTTGGTGCTACAACTGACTCAGGTTGTTCATCTTCGGGGGCAACAGCATCTGCTTCAACTTTATCTCAACAACATCAAACGTCCCTTTCCTCTTCCTCGTCAGCTTGTTTCAAAAGCATACGGACAAGAATGAATAACCTCCAAGTCTGCTCCAACCTTCGTGGTAGTTTGAAGCAGACGAGATATGTTTGTAGTGAAGCTGGGAGTGTTGTTGCGGCAATGTGTGCTGATAATATGCCACGCACCTATGGTTCCTCCGTTTCCGCAGTCGGTCGAAACGCGGGACCGGACTCCACCACAAGCTGGGCATCGATCTACTCGCAGACTTGCGCCTCTTCGGTGCCGAATGTGCTTAGCTTTTTCTTGCTGCTGGCGCCTGAGACTGTAAACGTTTTTATGGTGGCGCATTTTGCGAAGTCGAATCCTTACGCTTTGCCAGGAGTAGGACTCGGGAATTGCTTCTTCAATTGTCTGGTCATCGCACCGGCAGTGGGACTGAATTGCGGTCTTGACACGTTCATCTCGACTGCATACGGCGCGAAAAACTATGCGATGATGTACTTACCTATTCCTATTCCGTTTGCGTTATTTTCAACTAAGGTACCGCTACCTAACTCAGGATTTGAATTGTCCAAACACGACCTCTAAGGTACCGCTACCTAACTCAGGGGAGGTCCAACAGGTCAAACATGAGGATCACCAAGGGAAAACGAGACCACAAAGACCATGGGAAAAGTCTCAAATATTCAGATGAAAAAAATGCGATTTCTGAATATTCAAATTCCCATCTGAATAGTTTGAACGAATTCCCCGGTCAAATTTGCATAGTGTCAATTCATAATTCATAATTCAACGACCTCTAAGGTACCGCTACCTAACTCAGGCGCAGATTACTGTGCTGATCTATTCGGTGCTTGCGACGAGTATTTTGTTGCTTTGCGTCGAAGATTTGATGATCCTCTGCCGCCAAGACCCGCATGTTGCACGTGCCGCTTCTTCCTACTGCACTGCGGCCAGCTTGGGTGTTATACCCTGTTACGTCAGCGATACCTTTCGTAAATTTTTCGTGAACGTGAATCGGACTAGCGACATCCAGGATGTACAGATCCTTGTGGCTGCTTTGCACATCGTCTGGTGCTACCTCTTCGTTGGCTTTTTCCAGCTTCAAAATACTGGTGTTGGGCTAGCTAATTCGTTGACAAACTGCGGCACCTGCATTGTCTTCGGGTATCGCTATTGGGCACTGCACTCCGCAAGTAGGAAAGTAGAGACTCCGACGAGAGGTACTAGTTGTAGAGCTCCTCCCGCTCTACAGGAGAACGAGTTTAGCGGTCCTCACTTCGTTCTCAGGGGTAGTTGTACCAAGAATTATATGACCAATTCAATGGCGGAATCTCAGGATCTCAGTGGGACGTGGAACAGACTAGCTGCGCCTTTGCTGGAGCACAAGAACATTGAAAGCAACAGCAGGGCTAAAAATGTTAATGTTAATGTTGATGTTGATCATCTTGATGATGATGACAAGAAAGATAACAACATCAACATGCCTCCGAAGTGCTGGGTTCGCCCTTTAGACCAACTACCTGTTGTGGACCTCCTACCACCTGAAGACTCGGAAGATGAGGTGAACGAATTTGCAGGAATGGCAGAACGTGTTTCCGCGAGTTCGATTACCTGTATTCTTGGCGAAGCAGCAAGAGAAGAAGCAAGGCAGGAAGCGCAGATTGAATTGGCGAGGCATTGTGTGGACTCTGATGGTGGCGGTCTTAACCTTTTAGCAGAGGCGCTCGTCCACACAGGCGGCGCCGTAAGCAGTGAGTCGTCACTGCCTCTAGGAGCCGTAAGCGAGCAACGTCCTAGCACGAATAGTGTGTCACTGTCTTTCAACCCGGTAAATGCTGGACTACGACTCGAAATTGGTCAACTCGGAGCAGGTGGAGCTAGCACGTCTGCTAGGAGTATGTCGAACTCGAAAGAGAAAGGAGAACCTCGTTTGTTGAATTTGAATTCAGGAAGAGGAGCCTCGATGAGTCCTAGATTGTCAGCAGCGAAGAACGAACTACCGAGTCCAGAGACGTCAGGGTCTCTCGAATTGATACCTGAACCTTCCACGAGCACGACGCCTGAACGTGGTAATGCTACTGAGCACGCATCTGTCTTTTCTGCAACATCAGAAGTCTCGCGAGGATTCGTTACTACTACCAGTAACTACAACATCGAAGTAGAGCAACGTAGAGGTACTAGTACGACTGCAATGAGCAGTATGAGGCGAGAAGAAATAGGTGGGTCGCAGTCATCGACTTCTCCTAGAGGGAACGGGCAACTCCATGACCAGCAGGTTCCAGCACAGCCAATGGCCAATGGCGGTGTAGTTTTTAGCACTGGAGGACATCAAAGTACTACAACTGGTGCAAGTACTAGAAGTAGTAGCGATCAACAGGTGGGTCTGAACCTTAAAATGAAACGACAATCACGGACGAGCTCGTCAAAGATATCGAGTAGTTCTGCAAACGGTCCCCTGGATGAGCCTGTAGCTTCACGACCGACCTCATCATCTTTGAAAAAAAATATTTCACCCGGGAGTCAAGTTGGCGCGCTTCTTCGCGCACCGCAAGTGAGGAAAGGTCATGACGCTCGACTAGCTGCGCACTTGATGTCCGCTGGCCATGATAGGGCGTCTCGCGCATCATTCGATGAGGGTGCGATGCTATCAGGTGTTCGCGGCACAGTTGCTGGTGAAGACGGAAGAACAGAGAACCGAGATGATGAATATGGAAGCAGAGTGGAGCCGGAAACAGTGGTGCCACAACCGATAGGTGCTAATGGCAGTATCAAACATACAAGGTCGAGAGACAACTACGCAGATGAACGATTGACAGGGAGATCTGCTAGATCAGCTTTGTTAGTAGAGGAAGAAGAACTTGATCTAGTTAGCGAAGGTGACCAAGACGGGCCCAATCAAGGTAGAGGAAGTCCAATGCCAGAAAGGTGGATGCAGCATAAGCTAGTGCAACGCTTCATCTTTTACAAAGATGATAGAACAAGAAGACATCTTGTTCATAGTAGAAACGGACGAAACGGACACGGACACCATCAAGCTCGACGTCTACACCCACACCATCAAGCTCGACGTCTGGTCCGACTGGCGCCAGAAAATACGAGAGCAAAAAGACGTGTTTATCAAGAAGGAACTCTTGGGACTGGTGCAGCTCAAGTAGAAGGACCTGCAGCACCAGCGATCATACTGTTCTATGACGAACTGGAGGATCATGAGGCAGACTTCTTGCATCGTAGTAGAGCCAGCTATGCTGCGAGGACACAGAAAAAGAAAGTGCGACTGTATAAAAGGGAAGGGGAAGCTGCAGCTCCTCATATCGAAATAAAGGATAACAAGACGGACATGAAAGCAGGTGGAGGGGATCAAAGACTACATGGTTCCGCGAATAAACCACGACGTGAGCAAGTCTTTATGAAAAGAACACGTGTAAAAAATACTAGGACGTCTGGAGGACAAAATCAACACGGAAGTAGTGGAAAAAAGCGATCTGGATCTCCCTCTCCGAAGATGACCACTACTACACGAATCGCTCAAATCTCTGACTCGAATACTGAAAAACTGAAAAACTACGTCCACTCCTGCATCTCAGACTACATCCGGAATCGTGGCGATGCTGGGATCACGATGCTGTGTCAGATCTTCTTGGACCGAGATGCTTGGCGCACGTCAGGTCTCCAGACGTACATGAAAATAGCTTTGCCAGCTGCGGCTCAAGTGGTTTTTGAATGGATCCTCTGGGAGCTGATGGCTTTGCTTGCAGGGCTAATTGGGCATGGAGCACTAGCGTGTCATGTGGCAGGTAATATACGACGTGTTCTATCATTGACATTCATGAGAAGTTCTCGTCTGTTGAGCAAGAGTATCCATTTTTGACTTCTAGTACTACTAGAACTAGTCCTCTGTAACTGTATGACCTTCTTCTTCTTGCAACAGACTGACCATGACCACCACTCAGCAATTATGTACAACATTAATACAACTCAAGCATCTCCAGGTCTAACCATTTACACGATTACTTTCACCGTGGCTTTGGGTATGTCGAGTACCTGCGCGCAGCTTGTGGGCCAAAGCTTGGGTGAGGGTCGTGCCAAAGAGGCGAGGAATTTTGCGGTTGCTTCGGTCGTCGTTTCGACAGCTCTTTCTGTGGTTATAATGCTGTCCGTTAACGTGTTTTCAGCTGACTTGGCTGACTTCTTTTTCCCAGTCACCAACTCTACTAACAAGTCGCCTGGTTCCCTGCAAGCTCTGACCTCTTCCACCTCCACGATGCTGACAGAGATGCTTCACGACCTACATTCCTATCAGCAAAGCTTCTACGACGGATGGGATGATCTGAATGATTATTTTCAACCAGCACAGGACCATCGTCCAGTACTAGATGTTGATATCGTGCAAGAACCATACCAGCAACTCCTACAACAACATACAACGTCCTTGCCATCAGCAACCACCTTGCAGTTCTTGCCTCCCTCAACATCTTCACTTAGTACTCCCGCGTCTCTGAATCTCCTCATCGAAAATCAAAACCCTTCAAAAACAACATCAACCTCCACTTCGACAGCGGAAGCACTACAACTACGCACTACGCCTCCTTTCTGGTCCTTTCCTTCCTTATCTGAGAACGACGCGTCGATTGAAACCCCTATGCAAGAATCAGAGCTGTTGCAGAAGTTGCTTTTTGTCATTTTTGGGCTCTGCTTTTTACCCGATTGCGTGCAAAATGTGGCTGTAGGTGCTCTGCGTGCCTGTGGTTGGAACCAAACGTCGGCGACACTGTATTTTTTTCATTAAGGCGAAAAGGCGACCACAATCAGATGCTTCCTAGAAGATTCTAGAATGAGTCTTGAGAAAAATTGTTGAAGAAGTAGAATGAAAATGTACGATGCTGTAGTAGCATTAGTAGGTGTAGTTGATAATCATAACCTCTTTATTTATTTCCTTTAGGATTCTACAGCAACAACATCTCCTCGTCGTCCTCGTTTCTAATTCCCACATTACGTCCTTGGCCTCGGACTTGGCTGTATTGCGGTTACGAAATTCCGTTCCCTCCTACTCCTGTGGATGGCTATATTCGTCGATTTGGTCGTGGGAATCATCGCAATTTTAGTTCTGCTTTTTTGCTGTGTGGACTGGCGCAGGGAGAGTCAAATCGCAATCGCGAGATCTGCTAATGCTGCCAGGAAAAGAAGCGTGTCAGCGTCATGATCAGACAGGAACTTGTTAGTTGTTCCCACGTGGTGGTATTATACGTACCTGGATTAGGGCGCTCTTCAATTTTTTAAATCACATGAAATTCCTCCTGTTGATTGTGATGTTCTTGGAAAATTTTTGTCAAGCAAGTCGTGCAAGGTGCTGCTATTGTTGCAAGATCACCTGTACTAGAACTAGAAATAGAATTCAACCAAAGTCGTGTTGACTTTCTATTGTAGAATGAATACCTCCGGACCTGCTTCTTCATGGTCTTTCGCTGTGGAAGTTTGGTGTGTGCAGGATGGACCACCTTTTTTCCTCTTCATGAAGATGAGAAGAAGGAAGAGTCGAAGCACTAATTAAGTTATACCTCCAGAAGAGGTAAATGAATGAATGAATGGAAGTAGTTCGTGGATAGTTCTTCGTGTTTGTAGCCATCGTCCCTGTCGTCGTATCCTTTGTGCATCATAAGGATAAGAAGGCCGCTAAACAATAACCCAAATATTTTTCCATTTGTTTCCCCCTCATTATCATTTCTACTTATCCTTTTTCCAACCACGGGGACAGCGAGTGGTCCATCTCCATATAGACCGGCGACGGTTATTTTTGGCATCATGCGAGGTGGTCACTGGTCAGTATCATATGACCTTCCACCTCGAGGACGATTGAAAATGAATTCATAGCATCTTTGCGTCTGCAATACGGTGTTCTGGCTCTAAAAATGATCTCGTCTTCAGTCGGTGCCCATGTCAGAACTGAGAGAAAGTGGAAGCAAATAGAAGCAAAGTGAACAAACTGAGCATTATAGAGAAAAACCTTTGAGGTTTTTGAGACAGGATGTTGAGTTCGCCGTTTTTGCATTTGCATTATAGCAGTTTTCATTCAAAGTGTGCTGTGCTAGTGAGTCACATGAATTTTAGTTACTTGGATTCAGATAGTTAGGATATTTTCTTTTTCAGGCAACCAACTCCAACTCATGGTTGTTGTAGGGAAATCATTATCAGCGTTTTTCTGCACTCCATCACGATCACCACTTCACAAAATAAGCTTAATGCTTAAAAATACAACCTGACTGTTGCAATCATCTTCTCCCAACAACTCCAATTCCATAGGGAATAAAAGAAGTATTTCTTCGAGACCGATCATTTCTTACAAGAAATCTCTGGAAGAAGAAACAACTTCTACTCAAACGAGTTTGGTTTTATCTTACAAGTGGTGCTTTCGCTATCCACGACTTCCACAAGAATCATCTTCAATTTATTAGACAAGATATTAAGTCCTTTGGTCTTCCACGGTCCACCTCATTATTAGACATAGCTTGACTTTTTAGATTTAGATTTTTTAGTCCGAACCCGAAGTCGCAACCTTCTCCTCTTCACAAACGTCTTTTTTCTATCAACAACTTCAAATCGGTCTAGGTAGCATCTTTACGTTTACAATTATCGGATCGGGTATCTATAGTACTATAAGAACAAGAGAACATCAATCAATCTAAGCATCAGGATGGCAGTTGTTGCTGAGGAAATTGCTACTGCTCTCCCCGTGTCTGCAACACCCGAAAAGCAATCGTTACAAGAAACGATTGAAAAACTACTCAGCAAAAAAAATCTCGGTAAGTACATCTAGAAAAACTAGTTGTTTGATGCTACCACGATAATTAATCGTTTCCTCCGACCCCGAAGGTTTTTGGCTCATCCTTTTTGTTGTAGTCGTACAATGTAATGCTTTGCATCTTCATGATGATAACATTTTGCCACTATTTTCCCGCAAGAATTATCCACATCTCAGTGAAATCATCACTCATCCCACACCAGGTCGCGACCAGTATCTCCGAGGATGTATCAATCCGCAGATGTATGTTAGCGCTGCTGAACTAGCAGGTCATGAATCCTTGGTCGGCCGCTTCTCGGAAGAGGAGGTCTTAGACGCCGCAACGAAGAGCAGCAAATTGTCGGTTGATCTTGAGGTATGGACGGGGTTGTTTAAATCTAGAAGTTGATAAGCAGTGCTGCGTCCTAAATGCAAAAGCAATATATTCAAGTTATTTGTTGATGATGTTGAACGAAGAGGGCACGATATAATGTGTAAAAATTGAGAAAAACTACCACCCGCCCAGTAGCAGTACTAATCCTACTGAAACAAGGACACCATTGCCCTACTTCTTCGTCCCCTCCTAGTCTTTCCCTGATGCCTGCACTTGATGATGTTGAACGAAGAGGGCACGATATATTAATGTGTAAAAATTGAGAAAACCGCTTCATAAACCGCGCGTGCCATCCGGCCCTTGCTTCGATCGAAGAGGAGTACTATCATCGTCCGCGACTTTCCATACTCCGAAGATGTTCTGAGGAATGAGGTACTTTCCCTACATTTCCCCTCCAACTACATTCTGGATAAGAGCATCATGAAGTTCGACTCTGATAAGATCATCATGATCATACATCATCATGAAGTTCGACTCTGATAAGATCATCTACAAATCATCATGATCATATACATCTACTTACGATCAGGAGCAACATTGACTCATCATGATCATCTGTACATCTACTTACGATCAGGAGCAACAAGTAGCCCAAGACGAGATCTCGAAAGAGACTACTCCAGCTTGTTCTTATACTAGTACTACAAATCTTCAAAAATTATCCTAGGATTAGGAACAAACTACATAGTGAACTTGTTCTTGCTTACGAGATTGTTCTTGTTTCTATTCCCACAGGTTCTCTCGCATCTGGAGCCGAAACTTCAAGAATACATCGTTGGAATCAAGGCTGACGTTTGCGACACATGGTTCATCAAGGTGAAGGAGGAAGATGAGGTGACTCAAAAGATCGCTATGTGGCTGCGAGAACAGGAATACTTAAGGCGAGATGTCCTGATGTCCTGACTCATGTCGTGATCCATCATGATCTTGTGATAGATTGGGGTAAGCTCTAAGACATCCCGTTGGTCGGAAGATTCAATCCGCGGTGAAAAGCGAGCATTTGCTACGCAGCGTCTTTCCCGCTGACGCTGTAGAACAAGGAGGTGTTGCTTCAGCGGACAGCGCGGTTGATCCGATGATGGCCAGCACTCCACCTCCACCCGCCATTGCAGCTAGTGCGGCTGGCCGTAATTAGCTTCATTGCATGGTAGAGTTGAGAAGTACAAATAATAACGCATCATGTTTTTCATTCATTTCTAGATTGATCACAACGGTAACGAACATCAGACCTCATTCCGCTCTCCGGACTTCCCGCCGGAGATTTCATGATGCCGCAATATCTTACCCCGGTTCCCTTACAAACGCCAGGACCAATGTGGCCTGGGTCGGCGGGTACACAAGGTATTGAATGATCATAGGTACTTTGTAGTAGTGAGAGTGACAAGTAGAAGAGGCATGATGAATAGCATATTGATCATGACATGATTTTAATATTCTTTGATTATATCGTGGAGGTTAAGGTCGTTTCCCTTCATCCCCTCGATGGTACATACCGAGTCAGTATTACTGATACTTTCTCGTCCCAAATAAATCCCACCCAGATCTCCTCAATAGCAGTTCTCTTGGATTTCCAGCTTCGCCTCCTGGTGTGAACACAGTGACGACTCGACCTGTTTTACGTGTCCTCGCTCAGGTCAACGGTGGAACGTGGCAACCTTGGGGACATAACCATCGGGCTCCACGTACTAAACTGTGATCGTGATGTAGTATTTTTTCTAGTTGTACGTAGGAGGACATAAAAAACATCTTCTTAACCTTTTATTCAATCCACGGACTAGGGCGGGTTGGACAAGGACAAGAACATCTTTGTTCATTTATGATAACCTTTCACTGCTAGGCCAATCAATATCAAAGGAACCCGTCTAGCTCGGTAATCAACTCAATTCAGACTTCATTTCAGGCACTTTGCGTGTTCCAGGACCTGGAGATTTTGGTCCTCCTCGTCCCGCAAACAAAGGCAATTGGAACAAGGCCTCCAGCAGCCCTGAACAGCCGACGAAAAGCGGCAAGGGTCATTGGTTGAAGGATAGTCCGCAGTGTTATGGTTATAAGTCAAATTTCATTCGTTCGACCATTTTTTTATCTACTTCTACTTATTCGAAAACTCAAAATAAAAACAGAGTTAGACTGACCACTGAAATAAGGGAGGTAGCTTAACGTCAAGGCTACCTTTCCTTCTCATCAGTATCTCGGTTATTCTGATCAGTTACTCGGTTATTTCAAATAGTAGACCTGCGCTTCTACTTCTTCTACCTAGAAGTAGATGACTTCGTCTTTACTCTGATTGCCGATACTCATACTCCCCAGGAGCTATTCTAATACCCGGCTTCGCCTGAACAGTACGGCGGCGGAAAGCACAGTACTGCGACGCTGCGGTCAAATTACTACTCATCCCAGTGGATCCCGCGTTCTCAGCTGGTAAAGGGAGAACAGGTGAAGGGCGAGGTGAAAGGCGCTGAAATGGGAAAAGTCGGTCAACATATGGGAAAAGAAGCCACGAAAGGGTATTTTTAAGTACTTTTTTTCGTAGAAGATATTATAGCTGTTGATGAAGAACATGAAGAACTACTTCTGTCAAGAAGAGCATGGACGATATATCTGATACTACGCACTTCAGCTCCAGCTGGTTCTCCGATCGCTACAAGGGTCGCGGCAAAGGATATACACAATGGCAGTCTCTTGGCGCTTACCACGAAGGTCGTTATCCTTACAATTTTTCTCGCGGAGGTGGTCCACGTCGCTCTTCCAGCGCCAACAAGAAGACGAAAGGTCAAGAAGAAAAGACTCTTATGGCAGACGAGGCTTAATCCAGTACTATGTAAAAACAAATAAATATAAATGTTGTTTGTTACAACCGGGTTTTGTACCTTTTGTTCCTTTTCCTTCAACATGATCGAGTAGATTGAGTAAAGGTACTAGCTCCATCTACTTCTCCATTACTAGCTCTAATAGTCAAACACAAGAAGATGTCCGCAGACCAACTGAAAAGGGAGATATCGAAAAGAGGTCTGACGAAGATGAAGTCATCAGTGAAGCTCTAGATCTAGCAGCCGCACAAGTCGCAGCCTTGTCACCGAAGATTATGCCGCGAAATAATTTCAAGTCATCTAAGTCATATACCATAGATAAGTGCTATTTTCACTAAACTAGGAGAAGTAGAGGTTTTCGTTTTATGTAAAATTCTCAGCACGGTGGAACTCGAAGTGTGATTCTTATTTTCCTACTCTCCTGAGTGATTCCTAGGCCGCGTGGTAGAATATTCTTCACTCCTCCGACGTTATAAAAAGCTCTTCTGCATTACCTCCTCCAGATCTACCTCTAAAAACTTCAAAAAAGTATCACCAAACAAGAAGGATATTGACGAGGATGAGCAATTAATGGGGAGGTGCACACCGGTCGGAAGCAGCACGAAGATGGAGAAACTAGCGGCTACATGCGCTAGCACGATGTCGGCAACCACTGCTCCGTCAACAGGCTACATTTCCAAGAAACTCTCTTCGATTAAGGGCGTCATATGAGCCTACAGTAAGTAGCCGATCCAGAGATGAACCATGCAGCTATCCTATTCGCCTTCTTCGCTAAAAAATTAGATAATCCTTATCTTCCTCTACAGTGGTAGCTTCTTGAAGATGTTATCTTCTACTGTTCTTCTAATTCAACCGTGACCACGCCAAGCTCGGTGAACACGAAACACAAGACTCCCGGAAGTTCAACCTCGAAGAAGGCAAAGACCCTTTTCAAAGTGTCTCCTGGGGATAATGAGAATTATGATGTTGCAGACGCTTCTCAATCTCAGACCATTTATAATTTCTTCTTCATTATCTTCCAATCGTCTACTTAGCGGCACCAATCATGCAGCATGCCTCTCAAGAACAGTACAACACTAACATAATGAGAATAGCAAGCGAACACCTTTACCTCATGCGGAAAGCGGTAAAGAAGTACTTTCTTTTCTTCAAGAAATTTCAAATTCTTTCTCTTCTAAAAATCCCAAAACAATGGCGACGAATTCCTCGAGCAGCATGTGCCGCGAGCGAGTAGGGCTGATATCGAGCGTGAGTTGGAGCGCATGTCGAAGACGTCTGAGCAGGATACGAAGGTGCTGGACTCAGTGCTGTCGCGCGAGGTGAGGGCGCAGCATGGTGGCATTTTCAGAATGCCGTCAAAGAGTACCACTGTTGCTGCGGAAGATGAAGATGACGAGTGATTTATGAATACTAGACTAGAAAGCGGTGTTGATCAACATGGGTGAGATTATAGTCAACATAGTTGTCAAGAATTAAGGTTTGATATGTTTTCTTTTTGCTGCATGAATTTTCGATCTCTGAATGAATCCGAATAATTTATAGAACGGATGTAGGATGGACTTGGATGGATCCCCCTAAATCTTCCGATTCTACTTGAAATTTTGGGAAGTCCATCCGATCCATCCCATCCTGGATCTGACACCCCTCTAAATTATTAAAACATAACTTAACTATCATTCATAATGCCTAAGCCTTTCGACATTGACATTGTTGAGAGCAAAGCTAGAAAGACAAGCTGCTCCTTCCCCTACGATAGAGAGCACACGTTGTAAAAAGCATAAACTAAGATGAGGCAGGATGGAATGCTAGTAAGTATGTTTAAGTATACAGACGTCGAGATATTGGGCGGTGGGGCTGCATGTGTGGGGGATGACCATAAGAATGCTAACTGGAGGAAAACATGACTAACAAGTACGACCTTCCTGTTTGTGTACACTTTTCAAGACTGAAATTGTAATTGAAAGTCACGAGCAGTGTCCAAAGTGACCTCCACGATGATACTGATTTTTTTTTGCAGTTGTTACTTTCTGAACAACATTAAAAACATTAACATTAATGTTTTTAAGATTAAGACCAGCACCGAAAACATGATAGGATATATAATATTTAATGATTGAACTTTTACTAGAACTAGAAGTACCAACTACCACTCACAATTCGAGTTTGGTGTTTTTCAAATAAGTACCTGATGTTGAAGAACTGTAATTTTAGTATGTTGGCTTACCTTCAAGGTTATGGTTTTTAGTAATTCGTCAAAATATCCAGTCTGGAGTTCAGCATGAAAACATTATGTGCGAGCTTGATTGATATTTGGACAGGTGGAGTGTGGGAGTATGGTAGTTATCCTTATCGTTATCTAATACAGAATATATTTGCATCTTCCACCATGACCATGATGAACTAGGTCTGACAGGTATGTACTATTTATTTATGTCTATCATCAAAAATCATATGATCACCATGACGAGGTTGTATCATGTTAATGAGCTAGATTCTTATTTATTTTTCTAACGTTCTAAGAAACTGTACTACATGATTCAGATAATTGAAGAATGAAATAGAGATAGCGAGTTGCTCTCCACCACAAGAGCAGCTGTAGTTAGATAGCATAGAATGAGCACCAGACTACATTCATTCTTGTTTGTTCCCCGCTGTGCCGGGTGACATCTACAACTTCCGCGAAACGTTACATCAGTTTTTCGTTTCCGATATGGCATTTTTTCATCTGGCATTTTGCCAGTCGCCGTCGAGACGAGATTCATAAACAATAGTGAAGCTAGCATGGACTTACTCCAAAAGATGTTGAGAACTTTGTTGTTATTGAAGATGATTGGCTTTGGCATTGGTTAAAACAAGAACTTAAACTTCACCGTTGAGGTGTCCAGGCTCGACAAGAGTCCTTCTCCTGTCTGAGTTCTATCACGTAATCCTGCTACTCAGATTTCGGCGTGGTGGATGTGATGCTTTCGGGAAACAAGATGTAGGTCTTAGATAGATGACGATCGCAACAACGAGCTCGACGAGTGTGATAGAAGAGACGTCGAGATGAGGGGCTGGAAGTCTACCGGTACAAATGAAAAACAGAGCACGTTCTCTGAGGAAAAAAGTATCGAAAATCTGAAATCGCCTAGATGTTTACTTATTTCTCGTCGTACCACGTAGTCCATTTTCACTGAAAATTTCAACATGATGCAGCACAGGTGGGTCTTCGTGCTAACCATTTGCTCGTCAGTTTTTCGCTTTGCTGACTCCGCTATCGGACAAGAAGGTGTTACGAATGCGGACGAGGCAAAGGTGGTCGGGCGAGCGGAAGCGACCATATCCGCAGCAAGCAGCTCAGCATCTGCTCTACTTAGCGAAGAAAAGGACCTCGACATCGAGCAAAGCTCACGAGTAACAAGCACATCACTGGAGTCAATTATACCTCGAGATAAGACTACGGATGAAGCTCCTGAAGAACAAGATGGAACTACGAGCAAGACGACCAGCAATGTCGTAAGTCTAAGAGAACCCGTTCTCACCTTCTTACGATCGTTAGCAACACCTGACAGTTCACTACCATGGGTCGCGAAGCTGTGGCATGGTGGAGAAAGCCACTATCCAACTCTCGAAGAAGGGACCGCCATACTGGACGAATGGTTGCTGGCGTATTCAAACTGCTTTCACTTATGGAGAAGACTCAGAGTAGTACTAGTAGATTGGGAATGTCGTCGAAATTTTTTCAGGAAGATTCAGATCATTGTTCAACAGCTTATTTCTTGTACTTCTGAACTACACCTGCTAGAGGATCATCCACCAGGAAGTGGCCAAAAAAATGATAACAAAACGAGGTTGTTGAATATGATCATGCTCGATGCAAGATCATGAAAGGCAATTCTGCTGGTCATCGCCTCTATCTCTAAGACCCAAAGAAAAGGTCGGCACTTCTCTACAAGGTCGCGAGATAAATGCATACATTGTAGGCTGTAAATACGTCGCTCCGATTAAAAAGGACAGGAGACTACGTGTAAATGAGGAATCCAATGAACCCGAAGATCTACTCCAGATTTTAGAATTGGAAACCGAGGAGGAAGATGATTCGGAAGCCTCTACTAGAGTCGAGGCAGGTCAAAGCTTAGCAGGTGGTCACACTACAAACGCATACGCAGCTGCTGGAAAGGAACTAGAAGTAGTACTTCCATCAAATGTTGAACTACCAGCTGCATCTACTGTTTCTCAAGACCTCTCTCCGGAAGAACCACGCCAGCTTGACGACCAGGAGGAAGCTGTTTCTCAAGATCTCCCGCCAGGTCAACCACGCCAGCTTGACGACCAGGAAGTGCCAAAGTTTTTGCTGACAGGGCTGACGCATAGTCGCGAACCAGCGGGGTTAGTTGTGGTCCTTTACTTCGTCGGGCAATTGCTGTCGAGACAAGGCCAAGACCCTGACTCGGATTTCATACTGAATGAAAGACTCATCTACGCCATACCATACGTCAACCCCGATGGGTAAGTCCATAGTCTACAGCAATGTGTTTTTTTCTCAATATTGATATTCCGTTCCACTCTCGTCGACATCTTCTCTACCGCTACGATAGAACAATAAGCTCAAAAGGAGGAGCGCATTTTATTTCCATCTCCTCCAGTTCCATCTCCTCCATTTCCAGTTTGATGTGCACTTAGACTTAATACACCTCCTATACCTATTTTTCGACCCCCGCTCCACCAGGTACGTCTTCAATTTCCACAGTCGCACCAAGATGAAGCGCAAAAATATGCGGGCAACGTGTCAGCATCGACCTGAGGATGGAGGCGTAGATTTGAACAGGAATTTTCCCACTCACTGGAAACCAATACGGAATAAGTGCTCAGAAGAATACGGTGGAACGGAACCGTTTTCAGAACCCGAAACCCAGGCATTAAGAGATCTGATTGGGCGAATCAAGTTCTCAGTAGCGAGTAACATTCACGGCTATGGGTCCATGCTCACACATCCCTACAACTACAAGCGAACGAACACATTGCCGCAAGACGACAAGCTGATATACACAGAGATTATTACGGCAACATTGCGACGTCTTTCTCTGTCAACTACTACTTCAATTACAACATGCTTTTCGCCCGTCATCTTCTTCTTCTTCTTGTTCAGTTCTCAGTGTACTGCCATGTGAAAAGGCTCGGATCGATGAAGATGGCACAGCCGCTCTATATAAACTACCACTCCTTCCACCATTTCTTCCATACCATCTCTTCCTCTTTTCATACTCCACCGCATCTTCAAGTATGCCAAGTTTGGTACTGCACAGCAAACGGTGGGCTACACAGCTTTTGGGGAGTCTGACGATTGGATGTATGATCAGGGCATCATAGCCATGTCTCCGGAAGTTGGCCACGAGGAAGATGGCTTCTGGCCTCGACAGGGGAAGATTATGTTATGGCAGAGGAGGCTTTTTTGATTGCTCCTTAAGATGCCGTTGCTTCTCGTTGCAGTTTTAATGTAGATGTCGATCATGAACTAGTTGTCAAAGTTCTTGCTCCCGTTTCATGATCATGCTTGTGCTGGAGCTGGACGTCATCCTCTAATCCTAGGTATAGCAGAGCGAAACTACATTCGCATGCGCTACCTCGCTCTCAAAACAGGTTGCGAGATCGAACTGGATTACTCCACCGACGGCGTTTTGCGCATTCACAATAGAGGCTTGGCGCCATGCTTTTCGCCCACAGTAGCATTCAGTATCGAAAACCACCGAGGCGGAGCTGGAGGGACTTTGTCGAACTCTGGTGGTGGTGGTGCAAGTACGAGTAGTAGTGAAAAAGCCAAATTGGATGACATTTTCAATACGATGGAGAAGGCTAATGCAGCAGTGACAGGAATAAGTGCAGCAGAAGCAGCAACGAGCGGTGCACTGTTTTTAAGACCATGGATATCGTAATTGCGTTTGCGACCAAAAGGTCTGAGTCTTCATACTTTTTAGTTGCCACGAATAGCAATTTTTTTATCTTCTAATTTTCATTGGCCCAGGCAACGAGAATGTGGTTCGTGACAGCTTTACCGGGGGAAAGACGGTCATTTTTACCTTGAAGGGAGAAATTGCACGACGCAAGTCTGTTGACGTCCGTCTTATGGCCCCACTGCCAAAAGTGAGTCCGGCGCTTGTGGTTTCATGGTACGTCTCTTTCCATGTGATTAGCCTAAGCCTCTTGTCGTTGTGCTTGTGCTTTCTACAGTAGCTAGAACACCATGTGCATCCTTTTCAACAGCTACAAGCACTTTATCTCTTCCTACTGAAGATGATATCAATCTTCGTGATCTCCAGGTGTTCCCTCAGCAGCCGCAGTCTAGTGGAGATGTGTCAGTGTCGACAGAATGAAGTTGTACCTAGCAAGCTCAAGGAATCAAGTTTCGAAAGCCCAAAAAAACACAACCTCTGCAACGCGGCAGGCATCAAGAGGAAGCAGACCATCATGGCCGAATTGCAGCAGTCGACAGCCTTCGCCAAAGTTGGTGCGGTTCAACCACTCCAGTGGACGAAGGATTTGCTGGCCAGCAAGAATGATGCGAAAATAATAGGCTCAACAGCACCACCAGCACCTCCGACAACTACGACTCTGACTAGCAGTCCTTCGACACAAGAGACGAAGAAGAGTGGTCCACCCACATCCCCAACATCCAATACGGGCGTCCTTCCAGGACATCAAAATAAGCATGGCGGCTACTTCATCACAATAGGCCATAGGAAATTGCCGGGGGATCTGGTGCAGACAGTGGGACTATTGTCTCTGTTGGCGTTGATTCTAGTGATTTGCAATATCCAGATGATGTTCCGAAGATATTTCGCCAGCAGACGAGATGGTGCGCGACAATTTTCCGGAGTGGAGAACGACGACGGAGGCGGATTCGATGGGGGTTTATCTGGTATGGAATGGAGGCAGTACTATGTATATTGCTTAATGATAGTGTGAAGAATCGCAAGTAGTCACTATTTCACTTTCACAGCATCAGTATAATTGTTCACAAATATTGTTCGCTTGAGATTTTTTTACCCCCACCTAAATTCTCTTATATTCACCATCATCATCTTCATCATCATCATCATCATCATCATCATCATCATCATCATGTTTGACCTTGACTTGTTTGATCCTGCATTAATATTCGCAACGCTGCGACGATAAGGGGAGGTAGAACGCCTGTTGCTGTTGGAGTGCCTGCATTAAGCGGTGGCGATTCCAGTGGTGCAGAGGGGTATGTTGACCTGGGAGGTGGTGGAATCAAAATGGGAAGAAGTGGCGGTCGTGGTCAGGTCGTTGATGACGATACCTTCGCTATTGAAGATGAACCTGACACGACTGTTGTTGGTGTTGTGGTCAAGAAATGATCTCGTTTGATTTGCGCAAGAATCTTCAGCATGATGAACATAACACTTACTATGAATGAAGACCATGTTCTTCCATACTAGTTGCACCTTTCTTTTTTTGAGTCATGTCGCGCAAGTTAGGAACTACTTACTTTCCTTGATGCTTTCTGATGACAATGTGCAGCGCTGAAAAACAAGACCCAAAAGTGTTGAAAAGATTGCAGACAAATCCTGTTCGTGCGCTCGAGAAGATTTGTACCAGCGTGATATTGATGCTGTTCTGATCATTTGATGTGCTAAAAAATGGACACACTAGATGAAATTAACGGCGTACTTACTTGCAGAAGGTTTTCAGAACATGAAGAAACGATGAAGTACACCTCTAAGACTTGCACATCAACATCAGTGATTTCCCAGGAGAGCCGTGATCATTGACGCAAGCAAAGAATGAAAGCATTCAACATTTTTGCTTTTCAAAGAAGATCGCAAATATCTATCTATTGAGAAAGTAAGTGTAAGCTCCTGATGATCCAAGCTTGGTTAAATTGAATCAGTGCGTTGTCTATAATCTTGATCTTCTTCTAGCAGTTGTAGCACTCCTGGAAGAAATAAAGACTTCTCTTACTAACTTAGTCAACAAAAGCCTGACTCAGCACTAGAAATTCTTGTAGAACAAATAAAAAGACACATCTAGTATTACAACAAAATGCCGATGACTATGGAAGAGCGCGTGCAGAAAATGCAGGCTGCCAGAGCAAAAAAGAAAATGGACAAGGAAAAGCGGCTAGAGGCGCTGCGCATTGGACGCGAAAAGGCCAAAGCTGCCAGAGACGCTAAAAAAGTAGATAAACAGGGTGGGAAGTAGATAAACAAGGCTAGAAGTTGTTGGTAGTGGTAGTGTGGACGAGGAGGACTCCTTTTTTCATGGTTTTACCCGTTTGCGGCCGGGGTGGTGGGCGAGGAGAATTCCTTTTTTCATGGTTTTACCCGTTTTTTCATGGTTTTACCCGGATAAGATACTAGTACTATGGCAGCACCAGGCGCTACTTGAATAGTCAAGAACATGCAGTACCGCGAAACTATTTTCAGCGCATTCTTCAGTTGCTGTCGTGATGAAGATGTCCGCCGACGTGATGTTGATCATCGATTGCCGATGTTAGCACGTACTTTTGATTTCTTGTGGTCTTCATTAGTAGAACTACGCCATTTGGATTGAATTTATGGAGTACCTCATGCTAGCAAAATGAATGAATGAATGAATGAATGAAATACTAGCCACTAAGCATAAAAACTTCAGGTCAAAGAACGTCATCATGCGGGTATTGAGCAGCGGAAAACGTCGTCTGGTTGCTATTTTACGACGACGGCAGTACCAGCAGAAGGAGATGGAGCAGAACATCATAAGAACTAGAATTATTTACGGCTACGATGCAAGAAGTGCAACTTAGAAAAGTCACGGGATTAGCACGAGCAGCGGCAAAAGGATGGAGTACAAGTTCACTATGTGCGCCGCTAGGATCCCCATTATAATATGTGCCAACTAAGTTGTACAAGAAATCCCTGTTGTTGATGAAGTAGAAAGCTTTTTGTCAATAACGTATTTGTTGATGATGTAGAAGATGAAGACTCACACCTTTCTTCGCCGAACAAGTGTATGAAATTACAAGAATTCCATAAATCGATTTCGGTAGACGAATGCAAAATTCCTGCTCGACACATCATCTGCCTCCAAAGGTACTAACTACACATTTCGCTTATACAAATAGACTGTTTAATGTTGACATGGGTCATGGAATGATCACCTCCACTAGAGGAATGATCTGCGTCTGCGTCTGCCAGCGTGAACTGGTGATGTTTTGACCATCTGCCTTCGCTGCAGGAGCAGCTCTATTCGATCGTCGCGTACTTGGGAATACTTGCTTTATCCATTCGGAGACGAGAAAAGATCGGAAGATACGTTCTCCTTCCATGGTTATTGATCCCTAAAAGTATTCCGAGAAGAAGTTTCTCCTTTTTCGGCCTTCTACGTGAAGATGCATTGTGCATTGTGGTCGGATTTTCTCGTCTTCTTCGCGTTCGACGAAACCGAAGGCGTGTTTCCTCAGGAGTCGTGTTTCAGTGTCATGTAGAACACTGAAAAAAGATAAGAGTCGTGTGTTTCAGAGGGAGTTGAATGATGTCGTGCTTGTGAAGTCGTTCGTCCGGAGTCGGCATTATAGATACAAATAGAGGTCCTAGTACAAAAGCCTGATAAAATGGAAAGCCGACAGGACTCAGTGAGGAAAGCAAATATTAACGCGCTTATAAACGAAAAAAGCTTGAGAATCCTCTCGAAACTTGCAACATCTTCATCTTCGAATTCAAACTTCTAGAACGAAATAAAGCCAAGAGGAGCTTGTAATATCAAATTTTCGATTGAAAATTCAAAGCGAGTAAAAAAAAAATGTCGTCTTCGACTCCGCAACAACACTCCGCCGCGGCGGTGCCGCCGCCAACAGACGCCGCGGCCTTTCATGCACAACCTCCCTCATCCTCATCCGCGAGCGCGTCTACTTCGTCTGTAGCGTTAACGACCGCTCAGAATTTTTTGGAGGATATCCTCAGATTTCTCTCGAACGCTCTACTGTCTGAAGAAGGTGCAGATCTCGGTGGATCGACTCATGCAGCAAATCCAAATGCCATCGACACGTCGGCAGACTCATCATCCGCAACATTGAGACTCCTCAGAGGCAAAGGAGGTGGCGGATTTAGCCCTGGAGCCAGAATTATGCTGGCAGGATTCGGGATCGTCTTCAGCTTAGGCTTCTGCTACATCATGCGACATCGAGTGACGCAGTGGGCGAGTGATTACTTTGGTACTTCTTGCTCTTGCTCGTGCGCATCCTTTGCCTTTCGCATGACCTGGAGGACCATACGAGCGTGAGAGTGAGAGTTGACCTTGACAAGCACCCCTTCATGTTCTAGTTCCTCTCTGTGCTCAATGATCAGGGGTTTCTAGTTGTGGTTTTGAAGCTCTCTATGCATAAGTACATACATTCTAGAACTAGAAGCACAACTACAAAGACCTCCACTTCTTGAGGTGGAGGTTGTACATTCGAAAAGCTTCCTCTTAATGTTTTAAAACGCCCTCACTCACTAACACTACAACACTCGTCACGCACTCACCACGACCCTCAGAACCGCCCGTCGATATTCGACAAGTGCGTGCGCAACATGCCAAGACCGCGAATGACAAGATGGCCGATGCGATTCGAGCTGGCGCCTCTAGTCGTGTGAGGCCTTTGGACAATGATCTGGAAATGGGTGGTCCGCTGAGTTCGCAGTACGGCGGCAGGGGTCTTTACGCACCAGACGCATTACGCGCTTATGCGATAGCGAAGCAGAAAGCGCCGCCGCCATCGCCACCCAAGAAACGAAAGAATGTTGTGATGTAGTGACGTGGGCTGCTAGAGATGGAACAAGGGGTCGAATAGATGAACATGACTGCTGCCTGATGCAAGAAGTTGTATCATCAAATAATGAAGAAGTTGAAGATATAGAAACGATCTAGCACAACGACAGTAATTAATGCAGAACCTCTTCTCCAACTGATGAACAATAAATGTACTTACCCAATAAAGAGCATGATTACGATTACGAAGAACTAGCAAACACAACAAGACGAGGATGTTGATGATTCCTCTTACCGCGGCTGTAATGAACAGAGCTTTGAACAGCAGTCTCATGAATTTGAGAATATAGATTCTGGGAAGAAGGGAAAGGTTACAATGGACTTTGATGAAGAGGACTTGGTCTGAAACCGAAGGCATAGAGGCATCCTTCTACGAAACTGAAACAAGTGTTGACCTTGTTGACGCACAGAAGATCAGAGGGCTGAGATGACCACCTCATGAATGTTGACAGGTGAGCAGGGACATCGAAAGTCTTTGTTTAGCACGACTGGAAGACAAAATGCAGATGGCCCCTAACTACAAAGGAAATCTCTGTACTATGTTACATTGTTTTTGGTAGTAGTTTTTGAACTAGACAGGAATCAGGAAGAGGCCACGTCGGCACTTCGCCTTCGTGGCCAATTTTCGACTACAACAAATCGAACATTGCTGAAGTTAGTTAAAAAGAAGACGAAGGATGATCATGTTCATGACGGGTCCACGTTATAAACCTCCTCCCGGCGTAGGCGTACTGGCCGCGCTGTTCACGCTGCTGAGCCGCGGAGTGGTCACCGGAACGGAGGGGAGGACTACAACTAGGGCTGCAGGAGCATTAAAGGGCTCGTCAAACAATGGCGCCGTGGGCAAGATCCTTGAGACTCTGCAGAATCTCGCAGATTCTATGGCAGAGGAAAACAAGGCTGATGCAGAGAACTATCGTGCGACCTTTCAATGGTGTCAAAGCACGTTCAAGAGTCGTAAGGACGCTGAGGCTGAGCATGAGGCGATTGCAAACGAGTTGCGGTCGAAGGCGAAAGTTTATGATCGACCATAGAGGTTGTAGATCTATTAACCCTTAAGAATTATTATACGATAGGAGGTAGTTATTTAATAGGTTCTCCTTCTCTTTTTCATCTCCCATTTATTTCTTGACTTCCTTTCTTCAAAATCATCACAAATACAAATTCATAGACTCAGAGGACATAACTTTTTCCTCTTCTAACTCCTAACCGAAGCAGTAAACCGCCAACTCAAAGACGAAGTAGGCTCCCTGAACGCGGAAATTCAAGATGCAGTGGCTGCTATTGAGCAAGGATCACGTCTGCGACAGACCGAGCATGAAGACTACTTGCGTGAACAGAAGGGCACGGCCGACTCTCTATCCATGCTGAACCGCGCAAGCGAAGCCTTGAGAGGTCGAAATGGTCAAGTCGATCGGCAGACGCTCATGTTAAGGCTATAATATGTGACTCATCCCCGACCGCAGGCGTGCATAGGGGTCCGTCAACCAGAGTAAGTATCTACTATGGGATATATTAAAATTTGAGGGATCCATCTCGGCAGTCGTGATAAACTCGATTTATATCTTTTTAGCAGGTCTAATCGTTCAGGTAGCGGCCAACGTGAAGCAGATTGCAGAGGCCTCTGGCCTCGCGAGTGAGGCTGAGAAGGTGCAACTATGGGACGCGGCTGAATTTGGAGGGAGGCAAGTCGACTTGCATTAAGGCTTGTAAGTACTCATCGCATTGTTTCCCGGAATGAAATGAAAGTTGATTTCAGCTACTGAAAGCTCTGCTAATTCCAACAAGACAACGACCAAATCGCTATCCAGAGCACAAGGCAGAGTGTGGAGGCAGTGCTGAAGCAACTAACGTCGACGTTCACTCAATCAATCGAAACAGCGCAAGAGCAGGAGAAGCATGCTTTGTTATGTTTTCACTAGGCTTTCTTCAACATTTCGTGGCACCATTGACTCCTCATAATTTTTCTACTTGCATACAAGAAGATGAAATTGGACTTGAACAATGTTTTTTACACACTGACACACAGACTCTAATCCCAGAGGAGTACGACTCCCTCATCCGCCTCAAAAAACAAGCGCTCCTACAGCTACAAACGGCCAAGGACAGCAAGGACGCAGCCTTGGCTGAATCCGAACAGCGTATTGCCCAGCTGAAGCGTGCTCTACAGGATGCTGAGCAAGTAAGCGGCGCAAGTAAGGACTACATCTCGGCTTTGAAGAAGGTATGCATGGACGCCAGCAACGGATGGGCAGCTAGACAGTCAGCGCAACAGGAGGTCCTGTCTGGATTGCAAGATGCTGGAAGAGTGATTCAAGATTTGGAAGCGCCACAAGACCAAGTCCAAGACACTAACAATGACTACCCCACGACGACCGAGCAGTTCATCCCAGCTACAACATCATTTTTGCAGGAAATGAGTACAACGACAACTAAGACCAAGAGTAGAGGAGAGACCTTTTCTTCCACCTCTTCTTCCTATGACGATCTTGGCATGTTTGCTCCGGGAGAACTTGGACGAGGTGCTAATAACGACATCCTTCCTGCGTATTCTTCTTCGAGAATGTACTCTACTGCGCCCTCTGTTAGCTCTTTGAGAGTCACGGCGTTTCCATCCTCAAATGGACAAGAAGCTGGGCACGATCTTCGAAGCGAAGAGCAAACCGGGAGAATCAACACAGCGGAAACGCCGATCTCATCTTTATCAGAATCCTCTAGTTCTCCTTCTAGTTCTTCTTCCAGAAACAACAAAGAAGCCACGTTTGCTAGTGTCAAGAATATGGTCCAAAAGATGATGCGCGAAATCAAGGAGGCCACGGAGAACGAGGACTCCCACAAGAGGTGGTGCGAAGCAGAGGTCTCAAAGAGTGAGGGGATAGAACAGGATAAGAGCGCCAAACTACGACGCGTGAGCACGAAAGTCGACAACGAGAAAGAAGCTTTGGGGGAAATCCAGCAGAATTTGGCTGTTTTGATTATGCAAGTTTTTTTTGGCTGTGCCATGTCATTTTTTTTTTGATGTCCTCGTACACTCCGTCATCTTCTAAGTAAGTGCTTAGCTGCCATAGTATGCCAAACCCAAAGGTAGTATGCTTCTTTATCATGTCTCCGTCTTCCTCCTCTAATTCCCAGCGTGAGCAACAACTCCTCAAGGGTGAGTTCCAATCCGGATTCGTCCAAGGCGCCAGACGCAGTGAAAAAGCGCTTTTTCAGAAAGCCTCGCAGAATCACCAAGTCGCTGGACAAATTTTACAGCAAGCGGTGGTGATCTTGCAGCGTTACAACGCTTTGATGCAAGAGAACGCTCTGCATGAACAGCAAACGAATTTCCTCAGTGCAGCTGCGGCTGGAGGCAAGGCAATGCGGGAGATGGATAACAAGCCCATTGATGGACTGGCAGCGCTGCAGACGAAGTATTACTAGTAAGTATGATATGATCTTGTTCATAGCTGCATGATCTTGATCTTGTTTTACTTACTTTGTCTTCGTAGTTCATGATCCTCTCATTCTTCATATTCCAGTAACTGCGGCGTCTCTGTTCATGATTACTTATACTTTGTAGTCCATATTCCACTAACTTCCCTTTCATCTTCTACATCTTTTCGCCTATACTTTGTAGTCCAAATTCCAGTAACTTCCCTTTCATCTTCTACGATTACTTATACTTTGTAGTCCATATTCCAGTAACTTCCCTTTCCGCCGAGGTACCAACAGCTCCGAGAAGCCGCTGAGCGTAGCGAGAATGCTGGTGAATTGGGTGAAGAAGTTCTGGGTCGGTCCCTAGACACTCTCGAAGGCAAGCTCCAACAAGCCGTCCAATATCGAGAAAATCTGGCCCTCCAGGCCCGCGCCGAGTTGGATGCGGATGGCGAAGATGCGAGCGGTTTGAAAAAACAGGAACAAGCCGCAAACGACTACGTGACATTATGAGAACAAGTTGTCTTTGGCCAACATGATCACTTTGTTCCACTGACGCATGTTGAGGACTAATTCTTTTCGTTGTCGTGTAATAGTAGCGGCTGCGTCTGCAGCAATTGCCTTCATCATTTTGCTGTCGTGGTGTACTAGAAGAGTTGCTGCTCCTCCTGCTAACAACTGTATATAATTAAGAAAGATCATCTTCTAACTCCCAAACTGAAATCCGCCTGTGGTGACATTCTTGGGCACTATGACGAGCGACAGGGGCGTCGCGAAGCAAATCTGAAGGCTCTAGAAGACGCTAGAAACCTGATCAACGTCGATAACGCAGACGAAATCCATGAGCAGTTGAGCAAGTTGGCGAATAACGCCGATGCTGCTGCTGGACAACTACTGGAGATCAGTACTAGTGCTAGAGGTCCTGCTTCAAGTAGAGGAAGAGGTGGAAGCGATGTTTCATCTGGTACTCCTTTGTTCAAGAGCAACATCAACAGCATGATGAGCACTATGAACTTAGTAGAGGACAGCAGGTACGAACACAGCAGTGGTCCTAGTAGCAGCAGAGGCCCGCTTGTGACGATGACAAAAAGACCACCTGCCACACCTTCTAAGGGAGGCAACATGCTTCTGGATCTGCAGAGTTTGCAGTCAATCTCGAGTACGCAACGCGGTCTTGCTGAGGAAAATCAAAATGATGTTTCTGGTGGAGGAAGCACATTGGCTATGTTGCCTGCAGGGGGGATGGGCATCTAAAAACGTAGGAGGCTCTCTGTCAGAGCATCACTATGGTAGTTAAGTTCAAATTTCATATTTTTTCCGTGTCGAGGACGAGGAGGTGTTTGATGAAGATTGATACTTGATGTTGATTCATTCTGATTGTTTTTTCCTGCATAGTATGAAACTAAAAGTGTACAGCAAGAACAGCTAGCATGATTTCAATACATCTGGAATTTATGGCATATGTGTTTTATGCACAGAAAATACCTTTACACGCCCGGCTTTGGCAACAGCAGTTTGTTGTTCCAGGGAAATACGTTTGCGACGCCCCCTGTATTTTTGCGGGACCTGCTTCTCACATTTCCATTTGTATGAAGTAGGAACATCATTAAATGAACAACAACATCGGTCACAACCTTGGAGTCCTGAGAATCTGTCTAAAAGACGAAGAACCGCTGCTAAAGCGAAACTTAAATGGCTCTGATTCGCTTTGATGGATAAAACAAAAGTGCGTCAAAAAAATAGGAAAAATATGTAGACATGACCATTGCAGCAAATCATGCCTAAAGCTAAAACCATCTCAACACCTAATGTAACACAAATTGTAATTGAGCAAGAAAAAAAAGCATGTCACTACCGGTTACCTAAGGAGCCGTTCTTCATTTTGATAGCCCCCAACGTGGAGGTGTCAAACTTACTCCTGGCTACTACTTGACGTCAAAAATGCCAGCCGTCGCTCCAGCATCGAGTTGCCCACGTGGCGGCACAGGCGCTGCGGGTGGAGCCATCGGAACAGCTTCGTTTTCGCGTGGAGCATCCTACAAGATCGATGACTCGCTGTTCAGCGCTACGGGGAGCTTACTGTACTTCGTGTCTACTTGTCGTCTTCATTCGAAAAGTTTATTTTTGTTCCTCCTGAGTATCCATACCCTGCTCAAGCACATCAATCACAATGACCACTATCAGTACGTAATTAGCCTTCATGATTATACTTCTCAATCTGATGTTGAGCATTCGTGATCCCTTTAAATTTAATGTTCACTTTTCAATCTGATGTTGAGCATTCGTGATCCCTTCAAAGAACTTAATGTATATGAACCACAAAAACCAACAAGGTTCTCTTCCATGCGCCAGATTGAAGATAGCATTATCGTTGAAGAAGTGGAGGATGAGCTGCTCTTTGAGGAGGACGAGAGCAGTGAGCTCGAAGCACAGACACTATGGGCGCAGAGTCTTTTACGATTGAAGCGATCGATTGATGAACTGTAATTTTTTTTACATTTCTTGTAAGTAGTCACTACTACAAGAACTTTTTTTTTATTGAATTAATTTATTATCAGATTGCGATATTAGCCCTGTGCTGAGAAGTACTCCAACGCGTCTGCAGAAAGTTCATTTCTTTGTTCTACTCGTATCTTCCCCCACGACACAGGTATTCCCTCTGCGAATTCGAGTCTGACGTTTTGACTGCCTCGCAAGTGCAGGAGGTGTTATCGCATGCCCAGAAGGATTTTGCTGAGTTGCATGCTAGGTTACGGCTGCAAGAGGCCGCACTCGCTGTCCGGAACACGTCTACTGCAGAAGCCAACAAAATCCTCGAGGATGAAAATCTTGCGGAAAATCTGGCTGCCGGATCGTCCAAGATGAAAATTTCATCTGGTGGCGCGATCGCATGGGAAGTCAAGCCAGCGGCAGACTCAGAGGCGCTGGAAAAAGCGATATCGCTGTTGGCGAAGAAAGGGTCGCCAACAAAGTTTGGGGACGGGTCGTTACTACCAGACGGAGCCCTAGTGGCGGGAGAAGGACAAGCATCTCCAAATGCGCATGGATCCTCGACAGGAGTGTCGCCAACTGGTGCTACCGGACTACTCGGCGCATCGGCTTCAGGAGTAACGAATGCTGTTGCGTCCGCAACTGCTGTCGGTGGAGACGCAGCTACCGTAGTCGGATCGTCGGGTAGTGTTGCCGCAGGCGCAGACCAAGGTGGACCAGCATCAGCCAGTGGCAAAAACGTCAAAGCAACTACCGCTGGTTCAAAAACAACGACGTCCACAATTGTTCCTGGCATACCTGGCGTTGGGAAAAACAGTGGCATCACGTTCAAACCGCGGAAGGAAGAGCCATCAGGTGCCGCAGCGAAGAATACAGCTTGGAAAAAGAAAAAGTTATGTACTTAGACTTCTCTTCTTTATTAACATCTTTCGATTGGTGAATGACTGTTGAATTGGATATTCGTTTTCGTCTCTCTTCCGTCTTACGTGGACTACTAGTGCTGGAAGTGGAGGTCAACTGCATCATCCACGTTATTATATCCTTCTACTCGTAGTAGAGTTTCTCCCTTTAACCTTAGCTTGGGCAGACATGCGAACTGATGACGACACAACTGAGGATGAATCTCGACCTGCGTGGGCTCGAGGCAAAGACCACGATACTACGACAGAGGACGAGGCTGCGAGTGGCCCAACATCTAAAGTTGCGACGACAACTGGCGTTGGTGCCAACGGACATGGCATCATCTCAACCGCATCCTTGTCAGTCAAGCCTGCTCCTGGCGGTTCATCTGAGTCGGACGGCTGCGCAAATGGCGTTCTCGGTGGACCTAGAACTGGCGCAAGCCCGGGTTATCATCAACCTGGCAAGAATCTTAACAACGTAGGTCCTCGTGCAGCTGCAGCTTCTTCCGCATCCTCTGGTCCATCAGGTGCTAGCGGAAGCGGAGCAGCTGGATCATCTTCATCTGCATCTGGTGGTAGAGGCACACCAGGAGTACTAGCTGCTTCGGCGTCGATGATGAAACTAGGCGAGGACAGTCCAGGACGAGATGAAGAGCGCGTTTCTAGAGGTCAGCAGTTAGACGACGTTGTGCGAAGCATGCTCTTCAAAACAAACATGAAAACACGAAATATGCTGAATAAGGAGACTGGAAGGGTAATCTCATATAATTCTAGACTTACTACAAAGATTTTAAAGTTCTATCACAGTACTACGAGTTAAGGTTAACCTCTCTGGTTCTAGTAAGTTGTAGAAGTTTTGGAGTTGGGCTTGGGGTCTTGGGGTTGCTACCTTATTCTGATCTTCGCTTGCCAGGCGGCCTGGCTAGGCTACAACTCGTCATCTCGGGACACCAGCACAGAAATCCTTGAAGAAGTTGTGATCTTCTCACCGCTCCTGTTCCACTTGAGGTCTCCACGCTCACCGAGGAGCAGCTCGAGCGTAAGCAGCAACGAGCCGCCGAATTCCGTCAGCAGCAACAGGCACAAGCGCAGGCTCAGCGTGAGAAAATCGACGAAAAGATTGCTGCAGCCAAGGCAAAGAAAGAAGAACAGACACGAAAAATGCGCGTTGATCTCCTGAAAAAAATGGACCGCGCGAGGAGACAATACCAAGAATCTCTTCAAGAAGTTTTGATGAAGGCGAGGGCAGAAAACGAGAAGGCGGAACTTATGGCAAGAACATTGACGAGTTCATGCCTCTAGCTCTATCGGCTTTTCATTTACTTCTTAGATTCTGGCCCTTGTACCTTCTCAGATACAACAAGGACCACGCACACTATGATTATTATGTTGAGAGAGAGATGCCTCCACCTGTAGAAGTAGGAGACGATCACGAAATTATGATTATATCAGAAGCAGAAGAACTACATGATCATCATGATAAAGAGATGAACAAGAATCTTCCCCATGAGGACGACCCCGTGCCTTCGTGCTCCCGCCCCTTTCATGTCAAACGCTCAATGGCGTGCAGCTTATGTAGCTGGTGGAGGTGCTGGTGGCGACGATCAGCAGTTCTCTGAAGAGCAGATGAACAAACAGGAACAGGCAGAAGTAACTAGGGAGTCGCTGCAAGCGGCTGTGCGGGATCGACTCATGGCTAGTGCAACGAGGATAGCGCGAGCAGCGGAGAAGAGGAAGGTAATTATATCGTATTTCTAACACTTTTGGCTCTCAAACGACCTGCGTGCTGGCAGCACGAGAAAAATCGCAGCAAGTTATTACAACTACAGCGTGTAATTGAAGAAGATGAACGAAACTTGTTGTAACGGTAACCCCCACTAACAAGACTACAACCTCGTCTCTTACCCCACCCACCACAACATCAACAGCTCGAGCTCTCGGAAAAGCAGAAGCAAGTGTTAGATAGCCTCTATGAAAAAGAGCGACAAGCTGCAGTGAACAGGCAGAACGCGCTGGCGGCTAAAAGGCAGAAGGCCTTGGTGAACCAGAGAAAGAGTGAAGAGGCCAGCCACCGACGAATTCGAGCAGAAGAAGAACGCGTTGCCAAGGTTCTAAAGAGGAAAGGCTTGACTCCTGTTATGCTGGAAGGGCTTGTAGTGGAGTTGACTTAATATTGATAAAGACATTGTTGTTGTTCTACTTAGTCAGTTGGATCGAAAGGTAGAAATAACCGAGTTACTGACTGAAATAAGGGAGGTAGCTTTACCTTTAAAAGGCTACCCTTCCTTCAGTATCTCGATTATCCTCATTAGTTACAACTTGCCTATTCCAGCTTTGCGAATATTACTAGTTGGATCAATATACTGTCGTGGTCGTCGCTTAAGCTTCTTGACTCTTAATCCTATGAAAAAATAGATCTGGATGCCCTTTGTACTAACAGCACACCTTTTTGTTTTTCTAATCTCCCGCATAACAAAAGCAGCACAGCCGGTGGTGTGTCTGACGGTGACGCACTTACAGCTGGCGAAGAGGGTAGGCCTAAGAAGAGCACGACGTCCACAGTTGGCGAGGACCCTTCCTTATGAAGGCTGCCGCGCAAGCATCCTTAAGAACGCCATCCTCGGCTTCCTTTTCAAGGGAGAAAAGGGCTCAGGGATGGGCTCTTCAAGGATGCGACGCGGTTGTAGCTCTAACCTTGGTGGAGGCGCCTGGAGGTAGAGAGGCGAGCGGTGCAGACCGAGACGAAGAGGGTAAACTGAAATCCATACTAAAAGTTACCGCTGACGACGAGGAGCAGGAGGACGAAGACGCAGACGACAAGGAAGACGACAAGGACCGGATCGCTCGTTGCGTCTCTGCTGATGAGAACGATGATCGAGATTCAGGATTGACAGGGAGACGAACAGTGTCTATTGAGGATGGAATCATTCTACCGCCATCTGCGATGTTGAGCAAGAACTTGCCACCTGCTCAACAACAGAAGAGGAAAGATAACGATCTTCGCAGGCAAGACATCGGCTTTAATAAGAGTAATAGAGCTACAACTACAGCAGGCGCTGGTGCAGCAGGGGGAACAAGTGCAGGCGGGCTAGGAGCGGCAACATCTTCTAGTTCCAGCAAGACTAAGAAGGAGCGTCTGTTACCGACCACGTCAGAAGATGAAGAGTCTGAGGAAGCCGAAGAGGAGGAGGAGGACGAAGAAGAGGAGGAGGACGACTCGTCCTCTGTAGAACAACAACAGAGCAGTCCGAGACGTGAACCTGAACAGGTGACCGAGAAGAAGAGCTTCGCATCCATAGTACGTGGTCAACAAGCTGCTGCACAAAAGCAGCAAGTAGCTAAAGGCAAAGGAAAAGGAACACGACGTCCTCCTGGTGCTGCACAGGCTCCAACTACATCTTCATCTGGCGAAGAACAACGACAAGAAAGCAAAGCTACCTCAACACTCGAAGAAAAAGATGAAGAGTCACTAGAAGAGGAAGGCTGGAGCAAGATTCCCACTAGAGGCAAGAAAGTAGCGGCTAATCATGATGCAGTCAACAAGCCCGCGAAGGGATCTGGAAAAGGCGGAAAAGGAAGAGGTTCTTCAGCTGCAAAAAATTTCGAAAAAAAAGGAAGTGGTAAGACGAAAGGCACTGGCAAAGAGCACAAGAAGCAAAGCGGTAAGGGTAAGGGGGCAGGCGACGGTGCAGGCAGCAAGGAAGGTAAAGGTATTTTTGTCAAAGAGGTAAAAAACAAGAAAAAGAAAGAAGGAAAAGAGCAGAATTCGGGTCACAAGAAGGATGCTGAGAAAGATCCCAAGTCATCAAGCAAAGCAAGTAAAGATGCAGCTGGCGAAGAAAAAAAGACTGGCGATGATATGCCGGCCGTAGAGACTGCCGTTGAAAAGCCAAAACCCAAGCCTGCACCGTGGAGTCGCGAAAACATGCTAGCCAGAGCAGAGAAGGAGAAGGAAGAAGAAGAACTGGCCACCACTGAAGGGAAGAAGAAAGCTGAAGAAGCAGAGACTTCTGCCATCAAGGAGCAGATGAAGAGTAGTAGTTCGAATGAATCACTGCAAGCTATGCTCGACCAACTACCTGATGCTCCTGCTGCTGCTGTGAAGAAAATTGCTCCGGAGCAGCCTCAGAAATCTGCGTGGACAGGTGCTAAGCACGCTGCCGCTCCTGTTGAGACAAGCAAAGCGGTTGCGGCGCCATCTTCTGCCACGACTAAAAAAGGAGATGCGAAGAAGCAGAACGTGGATTCTTTATGTGCTGCACAGGCGGAAGGTAAAAAGGGTGCAAAGGGAGGCGTCGATTCGAAGCGCGAGAAGCAGAAGAACGCTAAGGAAGCCAGTAGCACAACCGGTGGAGCACGTGATCAAAAGCAGCATGCGGCTCCGGAAACTACAGACAAAAAGGGCAGAGGGAAAAGTAAGGATAAGGAGTCTTCCGGAAAGCAAGGCAAAGATACAACAGCCTCGCGAAATAAAGGCAGCAAGGACAAGCAGGGGGGATCTTCAAAGCCACCAGGAGGTGAAGGTCAGAAGGGGTCTTCTACGAAGAATACAACGAAGAAAGCAGCTGCACCAACTGGAAGTGCAACAAGTTCCGCGACGAGCAGCACAAGTATTACTGTCTCAGGGTCCACCAATTTTTCTTCGAAAGATGCTAGTGCTAAAAGCACCGTGGTAGTACCAAAGGACTCGAAAAATGTTGTTGTTGACAAAAGAACCGCGGCTGATGGTGGCGGCGAGCAAGTAGTCGATCCTGGTACGGCTCCTGCCAAGAAAAAGAGAAATCGTCGACGCAAGAAGCCGGCAGCTACAGCAGATGGTGACTTCTTCGAGAATGAGGATGAAGAGGATCACCAGATTATTAAGCAGGAGGTCACGGAAGTAGTAGAAGCACAAACCACAGTAGCAAAGTCTTCCACGTCGACATCATCGAAGAATCCTGTCGCAGAGACTCCAGAAGCGACCTCGAAAAGCAGGACTACGAGCAAGAGTTCTCAACAGCCTGCGGGGGCTCAAAATCATGTCTCCTTTGCTGCAAAGAGGTCGAGCGAAGTCGTTCTTGTACCAGCATCGGAAGCTAAGACGGCATGGCAAACGCGGAATAGCTTCGGGGGTATGGCGTTTTCGGATTCAGACTCTGACTCAGATGGCGATCATGATAGGGACCACGCTAGCAGGCGTGGTGGCGGGGAAGACGACTCTAGGCGACAGCCTGCTTCTCCGGACTTTGCAAAGACGAAGATTACGGCTCTTGCTTTTTGCTAGATTGAGAGTCAGAAGATTGATTCAACGTGGATTCATGATCACACAAAACCAATATTACCTCCATAGTCCTGCTAGTCCCAACACTACAAGTTTTAGTTCTTCTCCGCACCACGTCCCGCTCTAAAGCATGCATCGAAGATGCTGTTGTCTGTTTATGGGAAAAAGTGAATTTAGCGGGACCAAAGCAAGACGACTCAACGAAGGACGGAAAGTCATCGACTTCGGGTGGCGGAGAGTCGGGAAGTGGCAGAAGGAGAAAGAAAAAACAGTCATCTTCTGGTGCGCAACAAGCAGGAGCAACGAAAATGGTATCTGCAGATGTGAGTACTACCAGAACAACACCTGGTGGCGTGCCAATTCTCGGAGACGAACTACCTGACGACGCACCCCTTCTGCCCGGTGCAACAACTGCAGCCGTAGTCTCCTTCGCAACGAAAATAGAAGAGACAGGCACTCTTGATGGCAGTACTAATAATCTAGGAGGTGGCAAGAAGGCTGGCACCAAAAGCAAGAAAAAGAAAAAGGCTGTGCCACAAGATTCGGATGAAGAAGCACTACAACTTGCTATGGTGGAGAAAAAAGCAGAGTTGTTACCATTTTTCGTATTCCGGCATGGCCGCGGTGGAAGTGCAGCTGCAACAGCGTTTTCATCTTCATCCAGTACAACTATGCCTTCAGGCTCCTGGTCGTCAGGATCAGGCACTAGTAGCGCTACTTCTGCTGGCGCAACTCCCTGTCACCAGCAAGGATCTTGGTGTGCTTCCTCATCGAGCACTGGAGGCTCTGCAGCAGCCACAGCCTCCAATCTGACAAGCTTTCATCTCGAGTTCGAGAATCGTCGTGCTGATTTAGACCGCCTGCTTGCTGGACCTATGTATAAAATGGAGGACAAGGCAGGACTCGCTGCCGCGTGTACGGTTTCGAAATGCGATTTGAAATTAAGACCTCTCATTTTGAATTTGAACTTGATTGAGTGGCCCACGACTTGTTTACTTAAATCTCAGTTCTTTTTAAAGACCACTACAACAAGAACAAAATATGCCCCCTTCCCCTCACTCTAAGAAAAGCTATTTCGAGCCAAGCAGCCTGTCGCGCGAGATGTCTGAAACTCTCACAAGAGTTGAAGAAACTATGTGCGGGCCTCTGGGAGTTCCCAGATCGGGACACAGAAATTGAAGAGGAGGAGCGCTTAGTTATTGAGGAGTTTGCAAGGAGAAAGAGTGCTGGCGCTCCGCTTGTCTTGAAGCAACAGACGCCAGCTTCATCAACGAACAAAGCGCGAAACAGTGGAAGTTCGTTGGACGCCGGGTATTCTTAAATCCTCCTCAAAATCTAAACGATACATAGCGATAGATTCCACTTTTGCTGTCCGTTTTTCATTGTTCTAGGTTGACCAAGCGCTGAGAAATCAGTTTCCATCTTGCCGGCAGAGCAGAACCAATGCCCGCAAACAATGGAAACGAGGCTGGGCCGAGGCTGGAGCCGGGCCAGTGATGGCAATACTTCGGCCCAGTCGTGCCCGGGGGCGTCCCTGAGCTCGTTGAAAAGGTGGGTGCTATCATCGTCGAAGACGAAGGAGCGGAGGGTGGCAGCTATGAACGCACGGGGGCAGCTAGGTCTAGAAAAACACAGGCGCGTGGATTTCACATGGGCTTACTTATCAGGTCGGAGTTTTTAATTAAGTACCTCGTCTCTCACTTTCAATCTTGTTATACCAGCACTCTTGGCGGCGATCAGTCCCGCTTATCAGTATTCTCGCAGACTCGCGTAAAAGGGCTCGATCGCGTACAGTGGGAGAGCGTAGAGAACTGCTTGCGCGAATTTGGTCGATTAGTCGAGCGTTCTTGCAAGGGCGCCGGAGAATACGTCTTGATTGCGCAGCATGGTGCCGTCAACGACATTTTTAACATCGTGCTGAAGCTTCCAGACGTATTTGCAGCACATCTAGCAGCTGGCCTGAGTGTAGCTGGCAACGCTATTGTTGCGTCTTCGCAGAGTGGGAGTTCGGCTAGTAGTGCTTATGGCTGAGACAAGATAAGGAGTAGAACGTATGAGTATTCTTATCTTCGGTTTCAGAAGTAAAAGGTACTAAGTAGTCTGTCTCTGCCATGCCATATCCATAGCTCTTTGACAATTCCAGCGCGGCCTTACATTCTTCTAATATCCTGGTGTGGATGCCACTACGCCTGGCGATCAGTCAAAGCGCAGTCCTTCTTGCTACGAAGACGATGACGACATCTTCTCTGGTGCTGTTGCGAGTAGAAAAGGAAAGAATAGAAGCGCAGCATCATCATCTGCTACCAATGGCAATGTAGACCAATCAACAGCTGCTAGTACTGTTCTTGCTGCGGGCGCGCAGTTCACTGCCAATACCCCTTACATGCAGAAGACAGTGACAGGCAGCATGCTAACTGCTATTGTTGCTGCGTTGAAAGTGTTGGTCCAGTTATGCAAAAATTCCGCTTGCAGGTCGTTCTTCCTCTTCACCGATAGACTGCGTCCGTTGATTGTGTGCGCATTACGGTGTTTGGAATTGTTGGAGATGTTGGAATACAGGGAAAAAGTCACGGGACAGCCGAAAACACCAAAGCAAACGGCATCCAAGACGCCCACAGCTGCGGGTAGTAAGAGCACTGTGGTTTCCCATGTGTCTTCTGCTGCGACAACACTCTTCGAGCAAGAGGGAGGTGCTGGAAGTAGTGCAGTTATTGGAGTTCGTCCTTCAGGCGGTCGTACGTCTGAGAAACACAAAGCAGGTGGACGTGACTCCCATTCGTCGGGAACGACCGCACGAAAGAAGGGCAGCGCTGTCGTGTTTTCGCCGTCCGCAACGTCGCCTGAAGCGCGCTTTTCCTCTTCGGCTGGTGAGCATGGCGTCCATAGCTTGGTAGACTTCGATCTCACAGCACCAGAGTACGAACAACTCCAGCATCAAGTGTTGTCGGTCTCACCTCTCATAATGGACTGCTTTTTCATGCGTCAAGAGCGGGTGGAGGCCCATCGTTCGACGAACTTTCAGTTCCTCTGCACGCACCTGTCGCAAATCTTCCACATTTTGACTCTGAATCTTGGTGGAGCAGCAACAGCTTGTGCAGGTTCTTCTACAACTTCTTCTAGTGGAGGAACTAATATTATGGCTCAAAAGAACCCATCTCCACGTGAGGCAACTAAGTAATGGGGCGATTTGTACTATTTTAACGGGTGCAAGGATGCATTCACGGGAAGATCATGGGTTACTAAGGGTAGGAGCTCTAATATTGATAGTGGTCTTCTACTTGGGGCTGGCAGTACTAGAGGAACATCAGCGTTGACTGCAACTGGCGCACCAATCGTGAAGTTAGATCTTTCTGGTGCAGCGGGCTTCGGAGCCATGGCGGAAAGTGATGGTGGAACACCGACAGGCTCGGTGATGAACTCTGCTCGCTCCGCAACCAGTTCATCCTCAACGACGACAGCCTGCTCTTCTTAAGGCTACTTATATTTATATAATGTCATAGAGATGCGTTTCCACCATCATGTTGTACTTAGTGTGTTCCTTTTGTTACTCCTCCTGAGGACCACATTGATGCACCATTATCAGTTTCAAAGTAGATGTAGATCTATGATAAAAAGCTAGAGTACTTCTACTTCCGTTCTTTAGGGACGACCACTCTAAGCCTTCTCAAACGAACAAGATGCATCCAAGACGGCCGAACACTCACGTACGAAGCTTCGCGACCTACTGGTTGAGTACATGTTTGTATCCGGTTTTGGAGATCGTCTGCGTTCGCGTTTCCGACACGCAAGCATGTTCCAGATCTACGAGACGCAAACGACTTTCTTACTACGTGCATCAATCTTGTTGCAGCATTTGGTCAAAAACGTGTACAACAACGTAGCGCCACCGATAGGGAGGTCATCTTCGAGCAAAGGAACCAGTACACAACTAGCAAAAGGAGGAACCTCTTTCACACTGACGAAGGACAGTGTAAGCGGGATACTGCATAGCACAGAGTGCTTCGCTTCGATCCACTTGCTGACGTCGATGTTGCTGTTATGACCCGTGCTTCGATGTTGCTGTTATGATCAGTACTGCTGATCCCATCAGCAGCACGCTTACTAGAAGGGAAGCCTGAGCCCCCGCCCCCGGCTCTTCCTGCTGTTGGAAGTCTGTTCCTACTACTAGTTCCTTCTGTAAAACAAAACTTCTGAGCCATGATGATGTCGTAGTTTCCCTCACGACCTCCTCCCTTTCTCTCTTCATAACAAGCACCGACCTCGCATGCCGGCTCTTCGTACAAGATGTCGCAGACGACTGTAGCCATTACCTGTAACTTTTTCAAGGTTTTCAACTCCATCGACCGTGCAGTTCTACAGGCAACCCTTGGCGGAACGACATTGAAAATTTCGGAATTGTTTCATGTGCTGAGGTACAACTTCTAGACAATGTCGTTCTTCTAGGTTCTACTTCTAACTATCCCTTGTAGTTTTTGGCGAAAGTGATGTAAAAAAAAAAACTTTGACGTAGTTGTAGTTGATGAAATTCTTGATTATATTTCAATTTCTCTAAACAGAGAGATGAAGTAGATTTCCCGAACCTCTTTCTTGGACATCGACTACAACCCACCCACCAGTTTCCTCTTCGAGTCTACGATTCGTGTCTTGTTTGACAACTCTACCTTGGCCCAGCCCTTACCCGATTCGCTTTCCGGCAAGAAGGAGTGGGAGCTTCTGTCAGAACTGATTGAGTTCTTGGGCTCCTTTTGCAGTTTTCATTCAGAGAATCAGCAGATCCTTCACATGGGTCTTCAACCGCGTGGAGGAGGAAGTACAACTATGGCGACAACGCCGTTTACGCCAACTGTGGTCAACATGGGAACATCTTCAGCTGCGTCGCCAGTGGTCGGTGGAAATAGTGGTGCTGCAACAATAGCAGGAGCTCCTCAACAGGCAGCGGCAACGACGCTCTTGGGAAAGCTCTGCGCACTACCCTTCGCCATGTTTTTCGTGGAACGCAGAGGACAGCATATTTTGTTGCCCACTCTGATCAGATGCACGTTCCAGAACGAACGCAGCTTAGCGATTCTTGCTAGACACGCATCTCTGAAGTATCTCTACATGTATTTGCGCAGAATGAGGCAGTCAGCAGAGGACGCAGGAACAAAGAAGTACTTCACTGCTGACGAGGTGGCTCGCTTTAGCAAGAAATTTCCGCAGGAGCACTGGCAAGCAGCCGAAAACGCGTATCTTGGTGGCGAATGTGTGGTGGAGGGACAGTAGGCTTGTTTTGATGGCCGAGCGGCTCTTGGTGGTCTTTCGCGGGCTATCAAAAGACTGCAAAAGAATAAGTACTTCAACCGATTTCTTCATTTTGCTTTCCTATTCATTTTCCAACACATCAGAAGCCGTGCCGGCCGATTATATCTTCGAGTGGTCCCGCTGTTTCCCCATGATTTTAATATCGTTCTTCTTCTTGGGCCGACGAGCAGCAATAAATTTCGGATGATTCCACGTGGTTTGACAACTTCTAGGTCATGTATGATTGAGGTGTATTTCGGTTTTGCGAGCAGTGTCACAAAACGTAAGGTCCCAATTTCCGTACTGAGTAGAGTAAATGAATTCGAGTTCCAGTAATAAGTTTTTTTTTTGAATTCCTAAAAGAAAAAGTGGGAAAAGCTACCACCCCAACTCGTCGAGCATAGCATGATAGCACAATCACTTCTGTGTGAATGTAATAGAGCAGTTGTTGTTCTGCCTAGTACTTCATTGAAAGATTTTTTGATTTTCGAAGATAGATTCACCACTCTGTTAGTTTCGAAGGAAATGCAAGAGATGCTCTAGTACTAAATCCTTTTTGCTCTTACTCAAAAACATCCACATCACTCAGAACAACAACAAGAACTGTTATAAATACTAGCCTAGAGCGGCGTGTAGCTCATTTCCGCACTAGAATCACCACGCACCATCACAAACCAAAAAAAAAACATGCCGGCGCACGTGCAGGCACCGACCTAAAATTGTCGCTATGCACCCACAGAAAGGAAACCCTTCCACATCCTGAAGGATAGCCAAAAAGGCGCCCGGAAGGGGGAGAGGCGTTCTGGGATCTAGTAACGTCCGAGAAAAGTAGCCGAGGCCGCTGCCCTCTCTCCTTCTATTAATGTCCGAGAAAATTGGCCGGGGCCGCTCCCTCCCTCTTCATCTTCTATATTGATTTGTCTGAGAAAATGCCGAGACCGATGGACAGGGGGAACCGCTGCCCCCCTCTTCTTCTATTAATGTCCGAGAAAAGCCGAGGCCGGCCCGATGGATAGGGCGGCGGCTGTCTCTCTTCCTCGCTTTTTATTAATGTCCGAGAAAACCCGAGACCGATGGGCAGGGCGGCTGGCTGCCCTCTCTCCTTCTATTAATGTCCGAGAAAATTGGCCGGGACTGCTGTCCCCCTCTGCTTCTATTAGAATTAATGTCCGAGAAAAGCCGAGACCGATGGACAAGACGGCGGGCGCCCTCCGCTCCTTCTATTAAATAATGCCCGAGAAAAGTAGCCGAGGCCGCTGCCTTCTTTTTCTTCGTTCTATTAATGTCCGGGAAAAGCCGAGGCTGATGAACGGGACGGCGGGCGCCCTCCTCTTCTTCTATTAATGTCGGAGAAAAGCCGAGACCGATGGACAAGACGGCGGGCGCCCTCCTCTCCTTCTATCAATGTCCGAGAAAAGCAGCCGAGGCCGCTGCCCTCTTTTTCTTCTATTAATGTCCGAGAAAAGCCGAGGCCGATGGGCTGGGTGGTGGTTGCCCTGGTCTTCTTCTATTAATGTCCGAGAAAAGTAGCCGAGGCCGCTGCCCTCTTGCTCTTCTATTAATGTCAGAGAGAAGCCGAGACCGATGGACAAGACGGCGGGCGCCCTCCTCTCCTTCTATCAATGTCCGAGAAAAGCAGCCGAGGCCGCTGCCCTCTTTTTCTTCTATTAATGTCCGAGAAAAGCCGAGACCGATGGACAGGACGGCGGGCGCCCTCCTGTTCTTCTATTAATGTCCGAGAAAAGCCGAGGCCGATGGGCTGGGTGGTGGTTGCCCTGGTCTTCTTCTATTAATGTCCGAGAAAAGTAGCCGAGGCCGCTGCCCTCTTGCTCTTCTATTAATGTCAGAGAGAAGCCGAGACCGATGGACAAGACGGCGGGCGCCCTCCTCTCCTTCTATCAATGTCCGAGAAAAGCAGCCGAGGCCGCTGCCCTCTTTTTCTTCTATTAATGTCCGAGAAAAGCCGAGACCGATGGACAGGACGGCGGGCGCCCTCCTGTTCTTCTATTAATGTCCGAGAAAAGCCGAGGCCGATGGGCTGGGTGGTGGTTGCCCTGGTCTTCTTCTATTAATGTCCGAGAAAAGTAGCCGAGGCCGCTGCCCTCTTGCTCTTCTATTAATGTCAGAGAGAAGCCGAGACCGATGGACAAGACGGCGGGCGCCCTCCTCTCCTTCTATCAATGTCCGAGAAAAGCAGCCGAGGCCGCTGCCCTCTTTTTCTTCTATTAATGTCCGAGAAAAGCCGAGACCGATGGACAGGACGGCGGGCGCCCTCCTGTTCTTCTATTAATGTCCGAGAAAAGCCGAGGCCGATGGGCTGGGTGGTGGTTGCCCTGGTCTTCTTCTATTAATGTCCGAGAAAAGTAGCCGAGGCCGCTGCCCTCTTGCTCTTCTATTAATGTCAGAGAGAAGCCGAGACCGATGGACAAGACGGCGGGCGCCCTCCTCTCCTTCTATCAATGTCCGAGAAAAGCAGCCGAGGCCGCTGCCCTCTTTTTCTTCTATTAATGTCCGAGAAAAGCCGAGGCCGATGGACAGGACGGCGGGCGCCCTCTTGTTCTTCTATTAATGTCCGAGAAAAGCCGAGGCCGATGGGCTGGGTGGCGGCTGCCCTGGTCTTCTCTTATTAATGTCCGAGAAAAGTAGCCGAGGCTGCTGCCCTCTCTCTTTCTATTAATGTCCGAGAAAATTGGCCGGGACTGCTGTCCCCCTCTGCTTCTATTAATGTCTGAGAAAAGCCGAGGCTGGTGGACTGACTCCAGGGCGGCGGCTGTCCTCCTCTTCTTCTATTAATGTCCGAGAAAAGTACCCGAGGCGGCTGCCCTCCTCTTCTTCTATTAATGTCTGAGAAGAGCCGAGACCGATGGACAGGACGGCGGGCGCCCTCTTGTTCTTCTATTAATGTCCGAGAAAAGCCGCGGCCGATGGGCTGGGTGGTGGTTGCCTTGGTCCTCTTCTATTAATGTCCGAGAAAAGTAGCCGAGGCTACTGCCCTCCTTCTGTTCTTCTACTAATGTCCGAGAAAAGTAGCCCAGGCTGCTGCTCTCCTCCTCTCCTTCTATTAATGTCCGAGAAGAGCCGACACCGATGGAGAGGGCAAGACACGGCCTACCCTTCTCTCAGCGCTTGGCCTTCAATTTTGGCCAAATTGCTAAACTTTTGACTTTAAGCCATTCGAGTGAAATTAGAAACCTGACCGACCCGGGCGCGGCGTGTCCCTCTCTTTCTGATCCAGCGCGGGGGCCTCTCTATCTGGGCTGGAAGGTCTACAAATTTTAACCAAAGCGCCAGCTTTTTGACTTTGATCAATTACAATTTGGGCGAAATTCGAAACCCATCGCGCGCATGGCTTCCCTTTTTTTCGGCGTTTGTTAGTTTTTAAATTTTGGCCAAAGTGCTAAACTTTTGATTTTAAACCATTTGGAGCGAAATTAGAAACCAACCGCGCGCATTGCCTCCCTTTTTTTTCGGCGTTTGTTTTTAAATTTTGGCCAAAGTGCTAAATTTTTGATTTTCAACCTTTTTGAGCGAAATTAGGCACCTGGCTGGGCGCGGTGCCTAAGCCATCTGGATCTAAACCATCGGGATCTAAACCGTCGGGGTCTAAACCATCGGGGTCCAAGCCGTCGGGATCTAAACCGCCGGGATCTAAACCATCGGGATCTAAACCATCGGGATCTAAACCATCGGGATCTAAACC